GCAGCCTTGTCGCCCGTAGTGGCTCATTGCAGGTGTCCTAGCCCCACCCGAGGTCGGCAGACTCGTCCGTCCACAGAGCCAAGTACCAACAGCACAACGATTGACATGGAGAGCCACATTTAAAAAAATATATATTTTATTGGTTTTTTTACAGAGAGGAAGGGAGAGAGATAGAGAGCTAGAAATATCGATGAGTGAAATACATTGACCAGCTGCCTCCTGCACGCCCCCTACTGGGGATGTGCCCGCAACCCAGGTACATGCCCTTGACCGGAATCGAACCCGGGACCTTTCGGTCGGCAGGCAGACGCTCTCCACTGAGCCACACCGGTTTCGGCAAGAGCCACATTTTTTTAAACTTCTTCTAACGCCACTTCTTCAAAGTGGATTCCCCCAGGCCGTGGTGTTTTGTGGCAGAGCCACACTCAAGGGGCCAAAGAGCCGCCTGTGGCTCGTGAGCCGCAGTTTGCCGACCGCGGTCCCAGTCGGAAAGACCGCCTTTCGTCGTAAGGCCTCCGGCTCTTCAAACCGTCCCGGCTCTCGCGTCTCCTCACGACTCCCGCTGTTTCCCGGAGACGGGGCCCAGCGACGGCCACGGGGAGGGGCGCGGCCACGGGGAGGGACGCCCACGGAAGGCTCTCGGGGGGCCGCTCTCACACGCCTCTCAGACTGGGCCTTTCGGATCCCCGTCCCGTGTGTGTCGTCATTGTAAAGCACGGGAACGCGGGAGCGTGTTCTGGAATGTCCCGGGTCCTGTGTGCCTCGGACCGGAGGGGGAGGCCGCCCTGGGTCCCTGCGTCCCCTCCCCATGGCAGGGAGGGCGGCTCTGCCCCCTTTCCCCGGGGGCCTCACTCCTCCCGCCTGGAAGGAAGTGTCTGCTTCCTCCCACCCGCCGGGAGTGCCCTGCTTCCTCCTAGCGGGAAGCCTCCGGACGGGCTGCTCTTGTTGCTGTTTGTGTTTTATTTATTTTTATTGATGTGAGAGAGGAAGGAGAGGGAGGGAGAGAGAAGCATCCCTGATGAGAGAGAATCACTGGTCAGCTGCCTCCTGCACGCCCCATCCTGGCGATGGAGCCCACAACCCGGGCCTGTGCCCTGACCCGGAATCCAGCCGTGACCTCCTGGTTCCTAGGTCGATGCTCAGCCACGGAGCCACTCGGGCTGGGCTGGAAGTTTGTACCTTTGGATGCCCTCACCCATTTCTTTTTAAAGAAAATACTTATACATTTTAAAGATATATATATATATATATATTATATATATTTTATTGATTTTTTACAGAGAGGAAGGGAGAGGGATAGAGTTAGAAACATCAATGAGAGAGAAACATGGATCAGCTGCCTCCTGCACACCCCCTACTGGGGACGTCCCGCAACCAAGGTACATGCCCTTGCCCGGAATCGAACCTGGGACCTTTCAGGCCGCAGGCCAATGCTCAATCCACTGAGCCACACCGGTTTTGGCGATACTTATACATTTAATCTTAAGTGTTTTTACACGTAACACATAGAACACAGGTCACCTTAGAGGTGTGCAATGCCACTGTGCCCCCTTTCAGTTCCAGGCATGCATTTCCCCACAGGTTTTTAAAGAGCCTGCTCTGTGATCAGGATGGCCGCCACATAGTTCGTGGAACCTGTGGTTTGTGCTATAAAAGCTGGTACATCCGCAGGCCTTTGTCCCCCCGCCTCCTGGCCCCCCGGCCCCCCGGCCCCCCCGGCCCCCTGGCCTGTCCCCGGCCCAGCGGCCCCCCGGCCCCCCGGCCTGTCTCCGGCCCCCCGGCCCCCCGGCCCCCCAGCCCCTCGGCCCCCCGGCCTGTCCCCAGCCCCCCGGCCCCCCGGCCTGTCTCCGGCCCCCCGGCCCCCCGGCCTCCCGGAAGAGCAGCCTGGAGAGAGCTGCCGGGGTGACGAAGCTCTTGGCCCAGGTTCCGCCTGAGGGTCCTTGTGTCCCAGGGCGGGAACCAGGGACGTAAATGAGGAAAGTGCCCTTCCTCCTCCTCCTTCCCGCGGGGAGCTTGGGGCCCCTGAGAGGACGTCAGAGCCGCCGACCCCCAAGCCCAGCCCGAAGGTCCCCGCACAGGGCGGCCGGCACCTCGAACCCAGCCGTCTGTCCGGCTGGCAGGGTTCTGCTGGAAACACCTGTGAGCACGCCGTCTCTGTCAAACTGCAGGAAACGAAGTGGAACACGACGCGAACAATAACCGGGAGGAGGAGGAGGAGGAGGAGGAGGAGGGAGAGCAGTTCGACTTTGACAGCGGAGATGAGGTTCCAGAAGCGGACAGAGGGGCCCCGGGCGCCCCCAAGGCCGGGCCCGTGGGAGCCACCGCCCCCACCAGCTCCGGTGAGTGCCCGGGGGCCCCGGACCCAGGCCGCCTGCCCCCCTCCCTCCGGGCCTGGAGCGAGGTGCCGTCTGGGATGTGGCTGGGCACTTGAACTCGCCGCTTCCAGACTGCCAGTCTCGGCCAAAGCCTGCTCCTCGAGGGAGGTCAGTGTCCCTGGCGTCCATGAGCCGGCCTCCCAGGTGCTGCTGCCGGCGGAGGGCGGTCCCGCTGCTGGGGGACCCGAGGCGGGACTTTGCCTGTTGGCACCGAGGGGCCCGGTCCGTCTGTGCCCAGCCCCAGCCTTGTGCTTCCTGGTCTGTAACAGCCGCTCACCGGCCACTGTCTCCTGCCCAGCTCTCACCTCCCGAGGGCGGGGTGCCCTGCTGGCCGTCCGTCCGCCCAGAGGGCCCTCCAGAGCCCTGGTGTGGGGGGCAAGGGGACACTGCTGCCCGAGCCCGGGCCTGATGCTGGGTTTGCCTCCAGGCGGGGAAGACGGGACTGGCACCGACGTGGCCGCCCCTGTGGAACTGGCTAAGCCTGGGGCCCCAGCGAGAGTGAACCCCTACTCCGTCATCGACATCACGCCCTTCCAGGAAGAGCAGCCTGCGCCCCCGGACCCCGAGGCCGAGGAGGAGGGCGTGAGCCTGCACGTGCCCAGCGGGTACTCCGTGCCGGTGCCCTGCGGCTACGCCGTGCCCTCCAGCCTGCCCGCGCTCCTGCCCGCCTACTCCAGCCCCGTCATCGTGCGCTCCACGTCCCTGGACGAGGAAGGTGGGCCCTTCCTTCCCCTGCCCCTGTCCCCCTGCGAGACGGACTTTGTGTGCACACGCGTGTATGCGTGTGTGTGTGTGTGTGTGTGTGTGCGCGTGCGCAAGCACAGAGGTGTGGCTGTCAGTGTGAGTTTGTGTAGGAGTGTGGAAATGTGTGTATGCAAGTGTGTGTGGCTGTGTATGTGTGAGTGTGTGTGCATATGTGAGAGCAGGGACGGTTTGGTTGTCCACTATCACCAACTTAACACCCTGCAGGCCAGTAGTTTCATTGCCAGCTGTACCGAGTAGCCAGGTAAGTTTCTATCGAACGAGTACAAAAAACGTTTTACATACGTGTTAACGGCACGCTTTAAATTACATACCTGATGCATTTTGAAGTTATTTGTTACATGTTCTTACAAGCTCACATCTCTTTAGAGTATGAGACTTGTGCAGCACCGTGTGATGTGAAAACACGAGTACTCTCGTGACCCGTCCGCAGTGTGTTAGCATTTCTGCCTGGGACTCTGAGGTCACACGCAGACACTCCCCGTGCGCCCCCGTGTCATTCCCGTGGAACATACGGAACGGAGGGGCCTCATGTCCCGTGAGCGCCCTCCGGAGGAGCAGCTGGACAGAGGGTCCTGTGTCCCAGGGTCAGGACACACGCGCACACACACCACGTTGGGTGCCCTTTTATTTCTGCCTGTGGCCGACGCCCTGGGCCATCGCTCTGCATGTAACCCCATGTGGAAGACATTCCTAAAACCTAAAACCCCTCAAACCCATCACTCACCCACCTTCCTGCGAAGATACGTTGATGGTTGGTCAGAAACAAAGCAGGAAATCATTTTGGGGTGAAAATCAACTTGTGTTTTTATTGGCCACCGGCAACACCAGTTCCCTCTCTCTCTCTCTCTCTCTCTCTCTCTCTCTCTCTCTCTCTCTCTCTCTCTCTCTCGGCAGAGGCCCCCCAGGCGGCGGAGGACGGCCAGTGCAACTCGCTGAGTTCCGAGGAGCCAGCGAACAGGTACTGGGCGGCCCTCCCGGGAGGTCCCGAGTCATGACCCACCCCTGGCGCCCAGGGCCGTGGCCGGTGCGGGGAGGGGCCGGCTGCCCAGGCCCCGGGGCTCCTCACCGCTGTCCGTCGGCCTCTGCCCTCGCGCCGGGGCCCCACGTGGTCCCCCTGAACACGGACTGCGAGACGCCCGTGCCATTCCGTGTGGAGGCGAGCGGTGAGACCTCGGCCCGAGGGAAGGAGCCGGGCCGGCCGGCCTGCCTCGGCGAGGCGCCGTGGGCCCGGGGTCGCAGCGGCTCAGAGCCCTGGAGGGAAGGGAAGGGTTTTAACTTGTGTAAGCCAGATTTCACCAGCCCTCCCAGCTGGTCCACTGACCGGCCTTCCTCTCTCGGGGTGCCGGGGAACCCCCTGGGCAGACTCCTCTCACCCCGCAGCCGGGCGGCAGCGTGGGCAGGGCGCTCGGAGCCTGGGGGCCGCGGGCACGTGGGTGGCCCGCCGGGCGGTCAGTGTGGGCAGGGCGCTCGGAGCCTGGGGCCGCGGGCACGTGGGTGGCCTGCTGGGCGGTCAGCCTGGGCAGGGCGCTCGGAGCCTGGGGCCGCGGGCCCGTCTGGGGAATGGGCCACGGGCACATGGGTGGCCCGCCGGGCGGTCAGTGTGGGCAGGGCGCTCAGAGCCTGGGGGCCGCGGGCACGTGGGTGGCCTGCTGGGCAGTCAGCGTGGGCAGGGTGCTCGGAGCCTGGGGCCGCGGGCTGTCTGGGGAACGGGCCGCGGGCACGAGGGTGGCCCGCCGGGCGGTCAGTGTGGGCAGGAGGACGGTCTGGGTGACGTGCCGTCTGCTCTGCAGTGAGGACCGGGCCCTCGCCGAGGACAGCGCCCTCGCCCGCTGGGTGGCCGACCCCGCCAACACCGCCTGGATGGACAGTAAGCTTCCCGCCGCCCGCCAGCGCTGCCTGCGTCCCGGGTCCTCGCCACTCCCCTACTGTGCCAGGCTCAGCCCCTTAGCCTCGCGCCCTCCGTCACTCACTCCGTCACTCACTCCGTCCTTCTGTCACTGGGAGCGCTCCTGCCAGCATGGCGCCCCCTAGTGTTTGTGAAATGGCTGGGGGTTCCGGACTGGACCGAGGGGCTGCCCCAGGCCCCCAGCCAGCAGCCCCACCGGACACTGAGCCGGCCTCCTCCCGCCAGCTGGTGCGTCTCCCTGGGGGGGCGGGTGCAGCCGCCACGGACCCCCGGCGGCCAGGCCTGGCCTCGTGTGGTTAGAGAGGGCCGCTGTTTTCGCTGGATTTACTTGTTTTTCGTTTTTTGTTAATCCTCACCTGAGGATAGTTTTACATTGATTTCCAGGGAGAGTGGAAGGGAGAGGGAAAGACAGAGGGGAACACCGATGTGAGAGAGACTCACTGATGGGCTGCCTCCTGCATGCACCCCGACCAGGGCCTGGGCCCGGGAGGAGCCTGCCACTGAGGTACGTGCCCTTGACCGGAACCGAACCAGGACCCTGTGGTCTGCAGGCCGACGCTCTCCCCACTGAGCCAACTCGGCCAGGGTGATGTACTCGTTTTTAATTTTTAAAGGAAAAGCAAACTTGCTTTTCCAGCCGCCTCCTTCCCACCTGCTCATCAGTGGGTTGTTTCCTTCAGCCCCGAGCCCACACCCTGTCCTCCTACAGTGCTCACACGTGGCAGGTGCGTGTGCCCGGCCGATGGCTGCGGGACGGCCGGCTCCCTGGGGACGAGCCCGGCCCTGGGACCTGCGCTCGGTGGTCAGCTGTCCTCACAGGCCCCTCTCCCTGCAGACACCGAGGAAGCCGTTTACGATGACGTGCCGAGGGAGGAGTCGGACTCTGAGCCAGGTGGGCCCCGTCCGCGCTGTGTGTCCGGAGACGGGGGCCGTCTCTCCCCGCGTGCAGATGCCGCCTGTACACACTCCTCTCTCTGCGTGCGCCTGTGTGTCAGCCCATGTTCTCTGTCTCACAGTGTCCCTGGATCCGTGTGGGGGGCCCACCTGTGCGTGTTCACAGCACAGCACTTTATAGAGGGTCGTGTTTTCTTTTAAATATATTTATATTGATCTCGAGATGGGTGAGAGAAACATCAATAATGAGAGGATCATTGACCAGGTGCCTCCTTCACGCCCCACACTGGGGATCAGGCCTGATTGATCCCAAAGGGCCCACAGGGATCAGAGGATTTAACTTCAGGAATCGAACCTGGGACCCTTCAGCCCATAGACCGACGCTCTAACCACCTAGCAACACCAGCTGGGACTAGAGGGTTTTCTTAATTTCTTTAAAGAAGCAGAAGGAGTTGAAATGTGAGATGTCTGAATGAAAAGGTGGGGAACATGTAGATGAGATGCTCCAGTGTACATCTAACAAATGAGAAAATAGAAGACAGGACTAACAACGTTCTAGAATTAAAGGAAGACACAGTTCCCGGATGGCAGGAATGCGGCTTCGCAGTGAGCCACACCCGGGCCGGGCACCGGCGCGCCCCCGACTGGCCGCAGGCGGGCGGTGCCCACGGAGCCACGGTTCGGGCAGGAGCGACGTCTGGCTGGGGGGCGGCGGGGCGATAGGCGCAGGGCGCCGAGGAGAACCCGCCCCCTCTACCCCGAGTTCTGCCGCCGCCACGGGAACCTCTTCCAGGAGAGGTGGCGACGGAGCCCTCCACGCCAGGCTCTGGAGAAACACCCGTGCCGTTCCGGTTCAAGGAAAGGGACGTGGAACAGAAAGGGAAGCAGGAGGACGGTGAGCAGCTGAACCGGCAGACAGTGAGTCGTGGGAGCCGCACCGAGCCGGCGGGGAGCGGAGCCGCAGCGAGGCCGACCCGGATCTGCCGTCCGTGTCCGTGCGATGTTCAGGAGAAGCACGTAGACGCCGGCTTGTATGTGCCAGGCCAGGCCTGCCGTTCGTGGGCGCCCCTGAAAGGTCAGAAACAGAGGATTTGCCTTCAGGATTGGTGGAGTGACACCCACCTGGCGCCAGCAAGAACACGTAAAGTGAGATGGCACGGCGAACGGCGTGGCAGGAAGATGGCAGAGGGAGCCCAGCGTATTGCTACTCACAGCAAATACTAGCGGCCCGGGGCCCGGTGCACGAAAATGGTGCCAGAGCAGGCCTTCCTCCCCCGGCTGCCGGCACAGCTTCCCCCTGGGACGCGGACCCGGGCTTCCCTCGCCCGCTCGTCCGGAAGGTCGTCCGGAAGGACGTCTGGTCTAATTAGCATATTACCCTTTTATTGTTATAGATGATTGGCTCCAGGCACCCGTGACAGAGGCTCCTGGGTTGGATAACATAGCAAAGACAGAGAACTATGTAAGGACACAGGACATTTGTACGGAAAAAGGAATATAAGCCAATGCTCACCACTACATAGCCAGTACGACTGGAAAATATATGGTGTGTCAGCGATAAAACATGGCTAGATAGAGATTCCTCCACAGAGAACCATGTCACAGTTCTCAACGTGTGTGCATCCAGCAACATGGCCTAAAACAGAAAACAGCCTGGCCGGTGTGGCTCAGTGGCTGAGTGTCGACTTATGAACCAGGAAGTCAATTTCCGGTCAGGGCACAGGCCCGGGTTGAGGGCTTGATCTCCAGTGGTGCGGGCAGGAGGCAGCCAATAAATGATTCTCTCTCACCATGGATGTTTCTATCTCCCTCTCCCTTCGTCTCTGAAATCAATAAAAATATATTTTAAAAGATAAAAAATATGTATGAAGCAAAATGTGACAGAGCAGTACATAGTTGTGTACTGTGGACTCGAAAGGCACACATGGGATCCTGAAGCGAATAGTTTCAGGACGCACAGCTTCTCGAACACCTGGGGCGCTTCTGAAAACTGACTGCGCAGTAGTATGCTCCAAAGCAGATATTAATAAGCGCACACATTTGACCATTAAAAGTCACATGACCTGGCCGGTTTGGCTCGGTGGATAGAATGGTCTGCGGACTAAATGGTCCCCAGTTCGTTCCAGTCAAGGGCATATGGCGGGGTGTGGGCTCTATCCCCAGTGTGGGGGTGTGCAGGAGGCAGCCAGTCAATGATTCTCTTTTTTTTTATTTTTTTATTAAATTATTATCTGTGTACATATTTTAACATTGCCTCCTCCCATACATACGCAATGATTCTCTTTCATCATTGATGTTTCTATCTCTCCCTCTCCCTCTCTGAAATAATTTTTTTTTTAGAATATATTTTATTGATTTTGTACAGATAGGAAGGGAGAGAGATAGAGAGTTAGAAACATCGATGAGAGAGAGTCATCGATCAGCTGCCTCTTGCACACCCCCTACCGGGGATATGCCCGCAACCAAGGTACATGCCCTTGACCGGAATCGAACCCGGGACCCTTCAGTCCCCAAGCTCTATCCATTGAGCCAAACTGGTTTCGGCTGAAATAAATTTTTTTTAAAAGTCACATGGCCACACACACCCCATGGTCAAAGATGAAATTAGAGTGGAAGTTAGGAGATGTTTTAACTTGAATAATAATGAAAATATTACATAAGAACTTATAGAGTGGATTTAGAATAGTTAGAAATTAAAGAGATTATTGCATCTGCTAAAAAAAACACAGAAAGACTGAAAAATAATGAGCTCAGCATCCGACTCGGCAGAGTCAGAGAAGGGGAGGGAAGAAGTAAAAAGGACACACACACTGGAACCAGGAGACAGAAAACGAGAGGATCCACCAAACGCAAGTGTAATTCTCTGAGAATGCAGAGCAGGAGTCCCTGTGAGGACAGGCTTGTCATTGCCTTGGCGTGTCCTTCACAAGTCAGAGGGGCTGAGGTGATAGAGCCCTTTCAATCCGGGAGCAAATTATTTATAGTCTTATTAAGCCATTGACTCATCTATCCATATACCCATCCATTTATCCACCCGTCCATCTATCCATCCACCCACTCATCCATCCATCTAACCATCCATCTAATTGTCCATCCATCCATCTAACCAGCTATCCATCCATCCATCCATCCATCCACCTACCCTTCCATCCATCTACCCATCCATCCATCTACCCACCCTTCCATCCATCCACCCTTCCATCCATCCATCCATCCATCCATCCATCCATCCATCTATCCATCCATCCATCCAACCATCTACCCATCTAATCATCCATCTACCCTTCCATCCATCCACCTATCTAACCATCCATCCATCCATCCAACCATCCAACTGTCCATCCATCCATCCATCCATCCATCATCCACCCACCTACTCTTCTATCCATCTTCCCTTCCATCTATCTACCCTTCTATCCATCTATTTGTCCTTCCATTCACCCACCCTCCCATCCATCTACCCATCCATCCATCTAACCATCCATCATTCATCCATCCAACAATCCATCCATCTAATCACCCATCCATCCATCCATCCACCCACCATCCACCCATTCATTATCCATCCACCCATCCACCCAAAACATTTCTATCCCTTACATTTATCTAAACAAAAAATTTCCTCCGTGGGAAGGTCTCTGTGACCAATAATCATTGTTGTGAGTGGATTCTGTGTCAGGGTGAGTGTGGATTTCGTGTTGGTGTGAGTGGATTCTGTGTCAGGGTGAGTGTGGATTTCGTGTCGGTGTGAGTGTGGATTTCGTGTGGGTGTGAGTGGATTCTGTGTCAGGGTGAGTGTGGATTTCGTGTCGGTGTGAGTGTGGATTTGTGTTGGTGTGAGTGGATTCTGTGTCAGGGTGAGTGTGGATTTCGTGTCGGTGTGAGTGTGGATTTCGTGTCGGTGTGAGTGGATTCTGTGTCAGGGTGAGTGTGGATTTCGTGTTGGTGTGACTGTGGATTTTGTGTTGGTGTGAGTGGATTTTGTGTCAGTGTGAGTGTGGATTTGTGTTGGTGTGAGTGGATTTTGTGTCGGTGTGACTGGATTTTGTGTTGGTGTGAGTGGATTTCAAGTCAGTGTGAGTGTGGATTTCGTGTTGGTGTGAGTGGATTCTGTGTCAGGGTGAGTGGATTTGTGTTGGTGTGAGTGGATTCTGTGTCGGGGTGAGTGTGGATTTCGTGTCGGTGTGACTGAATTTCGTGTCGGTGTGACTGGATTTCGTGTGGGTGTGAGTGGATTCTGTGTCGGGGTGAGTGTGGATTTCGTGTCGGTGTGAGTGTGGATTTGTGTTGGTGTGAGTGGATTCTGTGTCAGGGTGAGTGTGGATTTCGTGTCGGTGTGAGTGTGGATTTGTGTTGGTGTGAGTGGATTCTGTGTCGGGGTGAGTGTGGATTTCGTGTCGGTGTGAGTGTGGATTTGTGTTGGTGTGAGTGGATTCTGTGTCAGGGTGAGTGTGGATTTCGTGTCGGTGTGAGTGTGGATTTGTGTTGGTGTGAGTGGATTCTGTGTCGGGGTGAGTGTGGATTTCGTGTCGGTGTGACTGAATTTCGTGTCGGTGTGACTGGATTTCGTGTGGGTGTGAGTGGATTCTGTGTCAGGGTGAGTGTGGATTTCGTGTCGGTGTGAGTGTGGATTTGTGTTGGTGTGAGTGGATTCTGTGTCGGTGTGACTGGATTTCGTGTGGGTGTGAGTGGATTCTGTGTCGGGGTGAGTGTGGATTTCGTGTCGGTGTGACTGAATTTCGTGTCGGAGTGACTGGATTTCGTGTCGGTGTGAGTGTGGATTTGTGTTGGTGTGAGTGGATTCTGTGTCAGGGTGAGTGGATTTGTGTGGGTGTGAGTGGATTCTGTGTCGGGGTGAGTGTGGATTTTGTGTCGGGGTGACTGAATTTCGTGTCGGAGTGACTGGATTTCGTGTCGGTGTGAGTGTGGATTTGTGTTGGTGTGAGTGGATTCTGTGTCGGGGTGAGTGTGGATTTTGTGTCGGGGTGACTGAATTTCGTGTCGGAGTGACTGGATTTCGTGTGGGTGTGAGTGGATTCTGTGTCGGGGTGAGTGTGGATTTCGTGTCGGTGTGAGTGTGGATTTGTGTTGGTGTGAGTGGATTCTGTGTCGGGGTGAGTGTGGATTTTGTGTCGGTGTGACTGAATTTCGTGTCGGAGTGACTGGATTTCGTGTGGGTGTGAGTGTGGATTCTGTGCAGCACCAGGGCCTCAGGGTACAGATGGGCGGAGTGTCAGAGCTTCGGGAAGACCCAGGCATCTCCAGCCCCCCAGGTAATGCCCCCGGAGGGGCAGCCCGAGCCTGCCCCAGCCACGCGGTGAAACGAGGACCTGCAGGACTCGGTGGCGGGTGAGGGCTGCGCTCCTAACTCCGTCCTGTGCTCGCCCTCAGATGAGCTGATCTACGACGACGTGGAGAACGGAGACGAGGGTGGGAACAGCTCGCTGGAGTACGGGTGGAGCTCCAGTGAGTTCGAGAGTTACGGGGAGCAGAGCGACTCCGAGGGCAGGAACGGGGTCCCCCGGTCCTTCCTGCGCAGCAGCCACCGGAAGCAGGTGCGTGTGCGCCGTCGGCTAGCGGCACGTCCCGGGCTGGCCGCGGGATGCCGGCTCCCGGGCGGGCGGGCACAGGAGCGTTTTAGGTGCCGGTGGGCGGCTCGAGGCGAGCACAGGTGTTGGCAGAGGAGAAGGGCCCGCATCGCGGCAGGTGGGAGCGCACGTGTGGAGCTGGCCCCGCAGAGGCCGGAGAGCTGCTCCCTGCGTGTTCCAGCGAGCTCGGCACCGTCCTCTGGTGACCGGTGCTCGGTGACTGCTATTGAGGGGGAGCCGGGCTGCCGGGCTGCCGGGCAGTGACACCCGCTGTCCCTCAGGGGCGTGTGAGTCCGGTGCCCACCATGGGCAGGAAGACATACATAGACCACGTGACAGGACAGGCCCAGGCTGCCCACGACCACCCTGGAGGGGAGCGTGTGTGTGACTGACCTCAGGGCCCAGCAGGGACGCAGGATTGAGGCGTGGAGTCTGGGACGGGGCGGAGGCAGCTCAGGGGTGTGAGGTCCCGGTTGCCGTGGTGACTGGCTGTGCCACATCCACTCTGGTTGCTGGGGTTTGGGCTGTTTTCCAAAGGGGTGCTTCGCTCTGACGTCTGCAGTGATGGCAGCGTCCTCGTGTACTTTGGAGGTTGAGATGCAGCCCGGGTGTGACCGGGTGGGAGGGACAGACACAGCCCGGGTGTGACCGGGTGGGTGTGACCTGGTGGGTGGAACCCCAGGACCAGGCTCCTGGCTGGCTGAGAAGTCAGGTGAGGACCACCCTGTGGCACTGTCCGTCGGAAAGGACCTTCTGGAGTTCTCGCCCCGGTACGGTGGGCATGCTGCCTGGGAGCGGGGCCCTGTCCTAGCAATGTGGACACTGTGGTCACACAGACCTCGCTGTGTCCCACCTGTGAGCCGCGCTGGCCATCCCCCTGTGAGCCCTGCAGGCCGCGTCCAGGGTTCTTCCGCGTGGAGAAGACGGACGGACAGACGGACAGGCGTCCTTCCCTGCAGGCCTCCCAGATGGGTCACTTACCTCGTCCCGATGGTGGGACGGGGCCAGGCCTCCGGGTGTGTTTGCCCGCACGCACAGACAGTTCTCCCGGCCGGCTCACCAGGGGTGGTGTCTGTCCCGAGCTGTTGTCATCACACGTGCTTATTTTTATTTTTTTTAAATGTATTTTATTGATTTCAGCGAGGGAGGGGCAGAGAGGGGGAGAGAGAAACACCAGTGATGGGAGAGAGTCATGAACCGGCTGCCTCCTGCACGCCCCCCACTGGGGACCGAGCCCACAACCCAGGCCTGTGCCCTGACCGGGAATCCAGCGGTGACCTCCAGGGTCTGAGGTCAGCACTCGGCCAGGAGCCACGCCGGCCGGGCTGCAGTCGCTGGTGTTTATCTCTGGGCTGGCGGCGTGGCGGTGGCTCCCGGAGACCCTCAGGTAAGACCGTCTGCGGCCCCCGGAGGGCGCCTTGTGAGGGATGTCTCTCTGTGCCCAGCTGTCCCACGACCTGGCCCGGGTGAAGGCGCGCTATGAGAGAAAGATGAGAGAGCTGGTGGCCAGCACAGTGGGCGCGGGGGAGATGCCGCAGCTAAAGCAGAAGCAGGAGCTGAAGGTAGCGTGGCCCCTCCCCTCCCGCTGTGTCCACAACGCGCCCGAGGCCCGAGGCCCTGGGCGCCGCTCGGCCGCACCCAGGGAGCAGGTCTCCCCGGGCCGCCCGGGCGCTCAGCAGCTTCCTGTCCAGCGGGGGCCATTTGCCTCCCTCTCCCCCTCACTCTCCCGCCGCGGGCAGAGGGTACCTAGAGGCCCCCAGGTGGGCCCTCCCAGCCCCGGAAGGCAGGCCCAGCAGCCTGCCGCCAGCCGCCTGCAGAGCGCCCCCTGTGGTGGGGAAAGACAGTGGCTTTTGGCGAAGACCCATGAGTGGCGCTCTGAGGACGTGTCAGTGACGATCAGTGGCAAACGTTCAGTTCCCCTCAGCGCCCGAGGCCGCAGCGGGTACAGGCGCAGGGCGGCCGGCTCCATTGTCCCGCGCGGGGCGGGGTCCTGACCCGGTGTGCGGGCTGCGTTTGGACGTGTGACGGCCACCGGTTCCTTGAGATGTGTTTCATTTACTTGTTTACTTTTAAAATATGTTTTTTAATTGATTTCAGAGAGGAAGGGAGAGAGATGTCAGTGATGAGAGAGAATCACGGACTGGCTGCCTCCTGCGCACCCCCAGCTGGGTATGGAGCCCACAACCCGGGCCTGTGCCTTCATGGGGAATGGAACTGAGACTCTTGGCTCATAGGTCACAGGCCGCCGGACCATTGCGCTGTGTTTAAAGCCCCTGTCTCATGCGGCTTCCTTCAGCCCGGGCTCCTCCCCTGTCCTGTGGCCGTGGCCGTGTGCTGAGTGCGCTTACCTGGAAGTGCACGTCTGCCTAGCATCGTCCCCTCCCTTGCTGCTCTGTGCCCAGTGTGTGTGTGCTCTGTGCCCAGTCTGTGTGCTCTGTGCCCAGTGTGTCTGTGCTGTGTGCCCAGTCTATGTGCTCTGTGCCCAGTGTGTCTGTATGGGTGTGTGGGGGGACAGTGTGTCTGTGTGGGGACAATGTGTGTGGGAATAGTGTGTGTGTGCTGGGTGTGGGGACGGTGTGTGTGTGTGGGGACAGTGTGTGTGTGGGGATAGTGTGTGTGTGCTGGGTGTGGGGACGGTGTGTGTGTGTGGGGACAGTGTGTGTGTGGGGATAGTGTGTGTGTGCTGGGTGTGGGGACGGTGTGTGTGTGTGGGGACAGTGTGTGTGTGGGGATAGTGTGTGTGTGCTGGGTGTGGGGACGGTGTGTGTGTGTGGGGACAGTGTGTGTGTGGGGACAATGTGTGTGTGTGGGGATAGTGTGTGTGTGCTGGGTGTGGGGACAGTGTGTCTGTGCTGGGGATGGTGTGTCTGTGTGAGGATAGTGTGTGTGTGGGGATAGTGTGTGTATGGGGATAGTGTGTGTGTGCTGGGTGTGGGGACGGTGTGTGTGTGTGGGGACAGTGTGTGTGTGGGGATAGTGTGTGTGTGCTGGGTGTGGGGACGGTGTGTGTGTGTGGGGACAGTGTGTGTGTGGGGATAGTGTGTGTGTGCTGGGTGTGGGGACGGTGTGTGTGTGTGGGGACAGTGTGTGTGTGGGGATAGTGTGTGTGTGCTGGGTGTGGGGACGGTGTGTGTGTGTGGGGACAGTGTGTGTGTGGGGATAGTGTGTGTGTGCTGGGTGTGGGGACGGTGTGTGTGTGTGGGGACAGTGTGTGTGTGGGGATAGTGTGTGTGTGCTGGGTGTGGGGACGATGTGTGTGTGTGGGGACAGTGTGTGTGTGGGGATAGTGTGTGTGTGCTGGGTGTGGGGATAGTGTGTGTGTGCTGGGTGTGGGGACGGTGTGTCTGTGTGGGGATAGTGTGTGTGTGGGGACTGAGTGTGTGTGCTGGGTATGGGGATAGTGTGTGTGTGCTGGGTGTGGGGACGGTGTGTCTGTGTGGGGACAATGTGTGTGTGTGGGGATAGTGTGTGTGTGCTGGGGATGGTGTGTCTGTGTGGGGATAGTGTGTGTGGGGATAGTGTGTGTGTGGGAATACTATGTGTGTGCTGGGTGTGGGGGCAGTGTGTCTGTGTGGGGATAGTGTGTGTGTGCTGGGTGTGGGGATGGTGTGTGTGTGCTGGGGCGGGAGCAGGACCAGGGTCATCAGTCAGGCTCGCTCAGTCAGGGTCCGGCCGGTCCCTCGGGTGGCCATGTCTGGGCTGGGCCGTCCCAGGCGAGTACAGGGTCTGGCGGCTTCCGGGAGCCCCGTTAGTCAGCGGAAGCGTGTGAGGGTGGCTGGGTCCTCGGAGCGGTTTGGAACCGGCGGATGGTCGGTCGGAGCGGCAGGGCCCCGGGGAGGCGGGCACATGGGCAGCCTTGGGGAGGTGGGCAGGTACCCGAGGGCCTGCTGGCTCCTCCCTCTGGCCAGACACAGAGGCCCTCTCCTCTCCTCTCCTCTCCTCTCCTCTCCTCTCCTCTCCTCTCCTCTCCTCTCCTCTCCTCTCCTCTCCTCTCCTCCCCTCCCCTCCCCTCCCCTCCCCTCCCCTCCCCTCCCCTCCCCTCCCCTCCCCTCCCCTCCCCTCCCCTCCCCTGCAGTTCCCCCCGCTCCGGGCCAGGCCTCCTATCCCTGCACATGCAGGGGGGCGGGCAGGGGAAAAGGGAGGGGGTTGGCCTCCGACAGACGGAGCCAAGACGGGAACGGGCTGGACGAGCACAGCGGCCAGGTCAGGGGAGGAGAGTGGGGCTCGGGGCCATGGAGGAGGGAAGCCTCGGGGGTGTCAGGGCGCACCGTCCACCGGATGCCGTGGTCGGTCGAAGGGACACGGGAGCCAGGGGCCCAGCCGCTCGCAGGGTGGATGGGGAGGGGGGTGGGGGCAGAGGGGTCCTCCGGCTGCGGAAGTGGAGCCTGCTGGGCGCTGACGTGGTTCAGTTTGGGGGTGAGCGTGGTCTTGGTGGACGGCTTTGGGAGGCGCCTGCGGCTGGGGGCGGGGTGGGGGGCTGGAGATGCACCGTGTGTTGTCACCTGGGAGCCGCTCACGGGGGGTGGGGGAGGGGAGAGGGCGGGGGGGGGGGGGGCGGCATGCTCACACCGGAGCCCCAATCTGCAGGCACAGGGCAGCCCCGGCCGATCTGGAGTGCCAGCCGCCCGCCCTGGGCTGGCAGCAGGTCCGGGGCAGCAGGGCCGGCCAGCACCTCTGCAGGGCGCACAGCAGGGCCTGAGGCCAGTGGTGCTGGCGGGAGGCAGGCGGGCGGCAGCCCGGGGGTACCTGAGCCTCTCCCGGGACCAGGAGGCGGGTCCCAGGTCACTCGGAGGTGCTGGGCCTCCCCTCAGAGGCCGCTCACGTTTCTCTGGAGGAAGCCCTGGTCCCCGAGGCCAGCCCTCAGACCGGGCCCTTTAAGATCCGGGCGTGCTCTGCCGGCCACTCTGAGACGCTCGGGGGGACTCGGTCAGCGAGGCCCACGGCCGGGGCAGCCCGTGGCCTCAGGTGTCTGCAGAGGCGTGGAGGCCGGCCTGGTCCTGCCCCCGCTGTCCCTCTGTCTGTCCTGCCTGTCCCTCTGTCTGCCTGCAGTCACTGTGCTGCGTCTTGCCATTGAGTGGGTGCAGTGCTCTGTGCCGTGGCTGTGGGCAGTGGACGGGGCTGTGGGCAGTGGACATGGCTGTGGGCCGTGGACGTGGCTGTGGGCAGTGGACGAGGCTGTGGGCAGTGAATGTCGCTGTGTGCCGTGGACGGGGCTGTGTGCCGTGGACGGGGCTGCGGGCCGTGGGCGTGGCTGTGGGCCGTGGACGTGGCTGCCCGAGGCCGGGGTGGGCTGGGGAGCGCCAGGGCTGGCGGGCAGGCTGGTATGTCCTCTCCGAGGCCGAGGCCTTCCCCGCCTGCGGCTTGCCCCACCGGCCGCTCTGCCAGCTGCTTGCCCTGCCGGTGTTCCCAGTGAAGATGTAAACAGAAGGCTCTAACTCCTCAGTCACAGGAGGCTCTGAGTTAGCTTGCTCTTCCCTTTAAAAAAACGTGTTTTTTTTTTTTGTTTTTTTTTTATTGGCTTCAGAGAGGAAGTGAGAGGGAGAGAATGAAACATCATGATAACAGAATCAAGGACCAGCTGCCTCCTGCACACCCCACACTGCCTCCTGCGAACCCCGGGCCTGTGCCCCAGCCGGGAATCGAACTGTGACCTCCTGGTTCATGGGCCCACGCTCAGCCCTGAGCCACGCCGGCCGGGCTGCTTTTCCCGGTTTCCGAAGACAGACCACCGGCACCGCACACACGCACGCAGGCCCGCCAGGGCCCTCCGTGCTGGTCCGGACCAGCCATGTGCTCGTGGACAGGCGGGGACATCGCCTGGGGAGCCCGGGCCCGCCTCACGCCCCTCGCCCGCAGGTGCAGAAGCTGATGAAGGCGGCCAAGGAGGGCACACGGGACGGGCTGGAGAGGACCAAGGCCGCCGTGAAGAAGGGCCGCTCCTTCATCAGGACCAAGTCCTTCGTTTCCCCAGGTGAGCGCTGCAGTGGAGACGGGAGAGGCTCCGGCCGCCGCCGCGCTGGCCAGCGAGAGCCCGGCCTCCGGCTGAGCGGCGCCCCCTGTGGGAACCGCTCCCGCGTCGAGCCTCTGCCCCCTGGGGGTCAGTGCGTGTCATGGTGATGGTCACTGCTGTTTGGTCGATTTGCACATTAGCCTTTGTTAGGGAGGATCACCAGCACAGCCGCTCCCAGTCCCCCATCAGGCACCAAACGGCCTCTGCCCTGGCCGTGAGCTCCCTGTGGGGAGGGCGTGCCGCTGGGGCGTGGTCGGAGGGAGTGGCCGGGCACGGGAGACTGTGGTCTCCGTGTCACCCCGTGTCACCCGCACGCCCCTCCCCCCGCAGACTCCAGGCCGGGCCTGGAGGAGGAGCAGAGCCTGTTCATCGACGTGGACTGCCGGCACCCGGACGCTGTGCTCACCCCGATGCCCGCCGGGCTGTCCCAGCAGCAGGTAGGACGGGCCGGTGGGGTCACCCAGCGGGGGAGACCGGGGCCTGGGCGGCGGGGACCTGGGGGGCGGGGGCCTGGGGGGCCAGGGACTGGGGGGCTGGGACCTGGGGGGTGGGACCTGGGGGGCGGCGGCCTGGGGGGCCAGGACCTGGGCGGCCGGGACCTGGGGGGCCGGGGCCTGGGCGGCCGGGGCCTGGGCAGCCGGGGTCTGAGGGTGCGGGGCCTGGGCCTGGGGGCCGGGGCCTGGGGGGCCGGGGACTGGGGGGCCGGGGACTGGGCGGCGGGACCTGGGGGGCGGGGGCCTGGGGGGCCGGGACCTGGGGGGCCGGGGCCTGGGCAGCCGGGGTCTGAGGGTGCGGGGCCTGGGCCTGGGGGCCGGGGCCTGGGGGGCCGGGGCCTGGGGGGCCGGGAACTGGGGGGCCGGGGACTGGGTGGCGGGGCCTGGGCGGCGGGGCCCTGGGGGGCCGGGGACTGGGCGGCGGGGCCCTGGGGGGCCGGGGACTGGGCGGCGGGGGACTGGGGGCCGGGGACTGGGGGGCCGGGGACTGGGGGCTGGGGACTGGGCGGCGGGGGACTGGGGGCCGGGGACTGGGCGGGCGGGTCCTGGGGGGCCGGGGACTGGGGGGCCGGGGACTGGGTGGTGGGGGCTTGAGGGGCGGGGACCTGGGCTCGGACTGCCGGTTCCTGAGTGTTTGAGTCTCCCCCGTGGCTCTGAGCCGGCCGTGCAGAGCCCACGCTGGGGCGTTCCTTCTGGTGCGGGCGGCGGGTTCGCCGAGAGAGGCAGGTGGGTGTCACGTCGGCAGAGGTCTCTCTGGTGTTATTCTTGTCTTTTTACTAACTTGTCTCATATCGGTGCCAGTCCTTTGTCCGACACGAGAGGACTATCTCAGGCCTTAGAGAAAGACGCCACTCCTAGGTCAGACCCCGAGTGGAACCCTCCAATGGCAGGCCGCACCGTGACGGGTGTGGTGGGAAGGCTGGCCTCGGTTTGACCCTCTGCCCGTCTGAGGCGGGGTGACTCGGACCCGGGGCCAACTCCCGTTCTGAGGGTCGGCAGAGTCAGGCACATTACATGGAACATGTAGCTCAGAGTCAGACACGTTACATGGAATGTATAACAGAGTTGGGTGTGTTACATGGAATGTGTAACTCAGAGTCAGGCATGTTACATGGGACGTGTAGCTCAGTCGGACACGTTACATGGAATGTATAACAGAGTTGGGTGTGTTACATGGAATGTGTAACTCAGAGTCAGGCATGTTACATGGGACGTGTAGCTCAGCCGGACACGTTACGTGGAATGTATAACAGAGTTGGGCGCGTGTGCCTGCGTCGTGGCGGCACACGTTGGCGCTGTGGCTCCGTGTCCGCCTGTGGTCGGTGTGCCGCGAGGGTGAGAGGACGCTGCGGCGAGGGGCGGTGCGCTGGTCCGGACGCCGGCTCCAGAGCAGCTGCTTACAGTGCGGTGAGGCCTCCGGCGGCCTTCCCGGCGGCTCAGGAGCCAGCGCCGAAGCCCTCCGTCCGCACCTCACTCGCTGTGCCCGCCCTCCAGGTGGTCCGGAGGTGCATCCTGGGCTCCATTGTGGACAGCGAGAAGAACTACGTGGACGCCCTCACACGGATCCTGGAGGTGCGTGTCCCGCCCGCCCGGCCGCCCGGCCGCCGCCCTGCAGGAGGGGGCGCTGGGCTGCGGTGGCTCCCCCGGAGGGACGGCTAACAAACCTCTTTAAGCCAGAAACAAGTTAGCCCTGGCCAGGGTGGCTCAGTGGGCAGCGCACCGGCCTGCGGTCCAAAGGGTCCGGGTTCAATTCTGGTCAAGGGCGCCTGGTTGCAGGCTCCTCCCCGCTGGGCCGTGGTCGGGGCGCGGGCAGGAGGCACATGGATGCGTCTCTCTCACGTCGATGTTTCTCTCCGTCTTTCCCTCTCTCTTCTCCTCTCCCTGAAAACCAATGGGAACATATCCTCAGGTGAGGATCAGACATCAGTAATAAATAAGTAAAAACACGCGGAGTGGTGTGTTTTGGAGTCCCTGTACGGACACCACACGTCCCCCCCCCCACACACACACTCCGCCCCCCATCCTCCCCTCTGCCCTCCCCCGTCCCCCCCACACTCCGCCCCCACCCTCTCTGCACTCATGACCCCCACACTCCGCCCCGTCCCCCTCTGCCCACACGTCTCCCCCACTCCGCCCGTCCCCCCCCACTCCGCCCCCGTCCCCCCTCTGCCCCACGTCCCCCCACACTCCGCCCCGTCCCCCTCTGCCCCATGTCCCCCCACACTCCGTCCCGTCCCCCCACACTCTGCCCCGCCCCCTCTGCCCCCACGTCCCCCCACACTCCGCCCCCCCCTCCGCCCCCAGCAGTACGCGCGGCCGCTGGCGGAGACGGAGCCGCGGGTGCTGAGCGAGCGGAAGCTGCGGGTGGTGTTCCACCGGCTGCGGGAGGTGCTGCAGTGCCACCGCCTGTTCCAGATGGCGCTGGCCAGCCGCGTGGCCGAGTGGGACGCCGTGGAGATGATCGGCGATGTCTTCGTGGCCTCGGTGAGTGCCGGCCGCCCCCACGGTCGGCCGCCTGCTGCCCAGGGCGGGCGGGACCGGCAGGACGTCCACGCCTGCCCCTCCAGGCGGGCTGGTGCGGTGCTGGCTGTGCCCGTCACTGTGCTGGCGGGGGTGGTCGGGAGCCTGCGTGAGGCCCTCCCTCTCTGTAGCCCGTCTCCTCCTGGGCACGTGGAGAGCTGGCCGATACACCCGCCTCCCCTCAGCCCGTGCTCCGAGCCCGGAGCTCCTGTGCAGACGCTGGGCCCCTGGGGCCAGCAGGGCGGCAGGGAGGGGAGAGGGGAGGCAGGCTGCAATGGCTCCTGGGCACGGGCCCTCAGCCAGCTGCCTGGAGGTAGCTCATTATTGCAGATGGCATGATATTGTGCATAGAAAACCCTAAAGACTCCACCAAAAAAACCCCACAAAACAACTAGATTTAATAAGTGAATTCAGCAAAGTAGCAGGAACAGAATCCATGCCCAAAAATCTGTGACTTTCTTGTACACCGATAATGAATTCTCAGAAAGAGAAACTTACCATTGCATCCAAAATAACATACTTAGGAATATATTAACAAGGAGGTAAAAGACCTGCACTCAGAAAACCACAGGATGCTGACAGAAGAGGTAGAGGAAGAAAAACTAGTGGAAGAGTCTACCATGTTCATGGATCGGTAGCATCAACATCACTCAAATGTCCATACTACCCAAAGCAAGCTCCAGATTCAATGCAGCCCCTACTACAATACCAACGGCATATTTTATAGATCTAGAATGAATGCTCCAAAAATGTATGCGGGACCAAAAGAGACCCTGAAGAGCTGAAGCATCTTGAGAAAGTTGAGCGAAATGGGAGGAATCACAACACCGGATGCTAAGTTACACTACGAAGCCACTGCCCTCAAAGCAGCCTGGTCCTGGCACAAGGGCAGGCGTGTAGACCAACGGAACGGAACAGAGTCCCCAGAAACCGACCCAGAAAGTCCCACGTGGCGGAATGGAGTCTGTTTCGTGGCCGTGGCCGTGGCGGGGGTCACTCAGGTCGGGAGGCCCCTGGGCCCCATGTTCCTCACGTCTCCCACGTCCGATTTCAGTTCTCCAAGTCCATGGTGCTGGACGCCTACAGCGAGTACGTGAACAACTTCAGCGCGGCCGTGGCCGTGCTCAAGAAGGCCTGCGCCACGAAGCCCGCCTTCCTGGAGTTCCTCAAGGTAGGCCTCTTCCCCGTTCCGGTGGTATTACCATCATTATTGTTATTGTTATTGATTTTTACAGAGAGGACGGGAGAGGGATAGAGAGTCAGAAACATCGATGAGAGAGAAACATCGATCAGCTGCCTCCTGCACACCCCCTGCTGGGGATGTGCCCGCAACCAAGGTACAAGCCCTTGACCGGAATCGAACCCGGGACCTTTCAGTCTGCAGGCCGACGCTCTAGCCACTGAGCCAAACCGGTCAGGGTCCATTCCGGGTTCTGGGTTTTGACGCCTCTGATAACAGGCTCCACGTGGGAGACCTGATGATGAACCGGTGCACCCTCGCCTCCCAGTGCCCCATGCCGCTCTCGGTCGCCGCTTTGAACCAACAGCGCCCTGGGTGTTGGATCGTTGTGAGAAAGAGAGATGCATTTTTAGGGGTAACATAGCTTTTACTTTTAATAATTTATTTTGTTGTTGTTATTTTGTTAATCCTTGCCTGAGGATATTTTTCCCATTGATTTTTAGAGAGAGAGGAAGGGACGGGAGAGAGGGGAGAGAGAGAGAGAGGAGAGAGAGGGGAACATCGATGTGAGAGATATCCATTGGTGGCCTCCCCCTCACATCCCACCAGGGCTGGGGATCAAACCTGCAAATCAGGTACGTGCCCTTGACCAGGGACTGAACCTGAAATCCTTTGGTGTGCGGGCCAGTGCTCTAACCACTGAGCACACTGGTCAGGGCCTGAAGCCAGCCACGCTCGCTATAGGCCAGGGGCGGAGGGGTGGGCCTGAGGGACAGGTGGGGTAGGGGAGGAGGTGGGGGGACAGGCAGTGGAGGAAGTGTCTGCAGACACGGACGCAGGCCCTGCGTGGCCGTGGCCCCGCCCCGAGGCCGGTGCTGGGTGTGGACGGCGTGGACGGCCCGCTGCCCGCGGTGAGTGACCCTCTCCTCGCAGCAGAGCCAGGAGTCCAGCCCGGACCGCGTCTCGCTCTACAGCCTGATGACCAGGCCCATCCAGAGGTTCCCGCAGTTCATCCTGCTGCTCCAGGTACGGCCCCCGACCCCTGCTGACCCCCGTGACCCCTGTGACCCCTGAACCAGTCCTCCCTGTAGCCTCAGTCCCTCCTCTCCTCCGAGGGGCCCCCACCAGCCTGCGTCCTGTGTTCGCTCAGCTGACACTGTCCCCGAGCGTCAGCCCTCGGGCCCAGGCCCATCCACGTCAGCCGCCCAGCTCGGTCCCACTGGGCTGCCCAGCCAGTCCCCACGCCCCACAGGCTCAGGGAGGCACTGGCGTTCGCGGTTTATAACTTGGCTGCCAGATGGACGCCAAGGGGGAGGGGCCTGGGCTGCCAGGCGCTCACCGCCCTCCTGGCACCACGTCCCCGACCCCGACCCTCCCCGCCCTGCCTGTGGGTTTCCGTGGCGGCTCCCTGCGGAGGCAGACGGATGGCCTCACTGGCCAATGGGACCTCTCGTCCTGCAGGCCCCTCCCTGGAGGTCCAGCCTCCAACCCACCTGGAGCCACGGCCACGGGAGCCATGACTGCCTCCGCTCAGGCACCTGGACAGGCTCCTCCCTCCCCGTCACTCAGAGCCCCGAGTGTTAGGGCTCCGTGCCTGAGCCTGGCCTGGGACCAGGACCAAGTGTGTGGGTGTTAAAGTTTATCTTTATTGGTGTCAGAGAGGAAGGGAGAGGGAGATAGAGAGATGCATCCATGATGACAGAAACAGTGATGACAGAGTCATGGACCGGCTGCCTCCTGCACGCCCCACACTGGGGATGGAGCCCCAACCCGGCCTGTGCCCTGACCCGGAATCCAGTCATGACCTCCTGGTTCACCCCCTGAGCCACACCGGCCGGGCCAGGGTCTCTCCGTGAGCAGGGCCGTGGAGTGAGTTCACCTGGTTTTGGGGAAAGGTCCAGTCGAAGTGTCAGTCAGGCTATGACTCACCCGGTTTGCGTCCTTCCTGGTGGGTTTTTATTCTTCCCAGACAGCTGACCACGCGGCATCCACTGCGGGCAGCCTGGGTGCTGGCGCATCTGCAGGTGACCACGGCCCTGGGCCCCCACCCGGGCAGTCACACACATACACACACACATACACACATGTACTCTCCCCAAAAGGACATGCTGCGGAACACGCCCCGCGGGCACCCCGACCGGCTGCCCCTCCAGATGGCGCTGACGGAGCTGGAGACGCTGGCGGAGAAGCTGAACGAGAGGAAGCGCGAGGCGGACCGGCGCTGCGAGATGAGGCAGATCGCCAAGGCGGTGAACGAGCGCTACCTGAACAAGGTGGACACGCCGCCTCCGGGCCCGCTCTCACTGACCCCCGCTATCCGCCGCGGCCGCCGCCGCCACCACTAACCCGCCGCCTCCGGGCCCTCTGCTCTCTAACCACCACCTCCGCCGCCGCCACTAACCCGGGCCTCCCGCGGGCCCCCACGCCGCGGGCCCCCACGCCGCGGGCCCGGGCTCCTCGGAACGGGTGACGGGTTCAGCGGACCCGAGGGGACCCAGGACCGCGCACGGGAGAGGAGCTGCTCCGCTGAGTTCTGCTCTCCGACGTGGCTGTTAGTTTGGGTGCTCAGAGTTAAAGCTCTGCGGTGCAGTTTGTTTATGTTTTTTTCATTTCAAAGGTACATGTGTTGATTTCAGAGAGAGAGGAAGGGCGAGGGAGGGAGAGAGAAACATCAGTGAGGAGAGAGAACCATGGATCAGCTGCCTCCTGCTCATCCCCTGCTGAGGATCGAGTCCGCAAGCGGGGCCTGTGCCCTGAGCGGCGTCGAACCCTGACCTCCTGGTTCATGGGTCGATGTTGAGCCCCTGGGCGTGGCCGGGCGTGTCAGCGGCGCAGCCTCAGCAGCGTGTCCCAGGGACACGGTCCCTCCCGCGTGGGAGGACCTGAACCGGCCGGGAGCTTTGGGGAAAGCCGCTCTGAGCCCGGCGCTGGCCTGCGTGTGCGGGGTCCTCCCTGAAGCCGCGTCGGAGACCCGCGGTCCCTGCCCGCGGACGCTCCCCGCCTCCTGACCCCGGAGCGAGGTGGCGGCCGTGTCGAGCGTGACGCGAATGTCCAGCTTCTCAGCAGCGGGAGCCGGCACCTCATCCGCTCGGACGACGTGATTGAGACCGTGTACAACGAGCGCGGGGAGGTGCTCAAGACCAAGGAGCGGCGGCTGCTCATGCTCACCGACGTGCTCATGTGCGTCACCGTCAGCGCCCGGTAAGGACCGGCGTCCCCATCCCGCCCGGTAAGGACCGGCCGTCCGGCCGCCTGGTGCCACGCACAGTGACCGCCCATGGGGCGGGGGACGCGCTGCGAACCAGCCACAAACCAGGCGGTGCCCTGGAGCCGCCACGGCCATGCTGGCAGAAATTAGGGCGGACGGGGTCATTTCTCCTTACACACACGCACACGCACACGCACACGCGCGCGCTTTCATTCATGTGTTCTCCCGACCGTGCGTGTGTTCTGTGCATTTCTGCATGTTGGCTCCTCGTGTGACGAAGGAGAAAGCAATCTGTGTGGGCCATGAGATGTTTTGAATGTTTAATTGCTGTGTATGCGATAAAGGTGTCCTTAGCTGCTGTAATCCTCACCTGAGGATGTTTTTCCATAGATTTTTTTAAAGAGCGTGAAAGGAGCAGGGAGAGAGAGAAACATCGATGTGAGGGAGGCACATCCATTGGTTGCCTCTCACCCGTGACCCGGCTGGGGCCAGGCATCGAACTGAGACCCCGGTGCATGCCCTTGACCTTGACCGGGCTTCGAACCTGTGACCTTTCCATGCGGGGCCGATGCCCTAACCACTGAGCACACCAGCCAGGGCCTCAGTGCGTGTTTTGGTCCCGGGGACTGTGGTGTGATTGGACATTGTTGACGTGGTTATGCCGTGCCCGGGAGTGAAGGAGGAGTGAGCATGAACCCTGGGGTGGCAGTGAGAGGAGGGCTCCCTGCAGGAGGTTCCCGTTGGCAGTGTTCGGGCACCCTCAGCGCTGGGCTCCGTGTGAGGTTGCCCCGTCCCTCTCCTCCCCTGGACTCTGTGGGAGGGCGTCTGGTCGCTCCCCCGGGCTCTGCGGGGCAGACCACGGACGGAGCCCTCCGCTCACCTGCCGGGAAGCCTCGCCGAGCAGCAGGTGGTGCCGGCTCCCGAGAGCCCCAGGGGCTTGGGGGCACCGCTCCGGCCTCCCCCGGGGAGCCTGCGGGAGGGAGGGGTCGTGACCTCACGCCGTGGCTGTCGTGGCCTCACACGTGGCTTGTGGCCTCCGTGGCCTCACACGTGGCTCGTGGCTCTCGTTGCAGGCCGGGCCAGGACAGCCACGCGCTGCTGCTGCCGGCCGGCCAGCGGCACCTGCTGAAGTGGAGCGTGCCGCTGGGCCACGTGATGGTGGTGGAGTATGGCCACCCCGAGGGCGCCGCCGAGCACCCGCCCGAGCACCTGGCCGTGGCGGCCAACGCCAAGCCACGTAAGGGACCTGCTCGCGGTTGGCGTGGGCGGTGGGGGAGCTGTGTGGGTGACGGTGGCAGACAGGCTGGCCTGCTGGAATGGGTGCTGACCGTGGACTGGTCTCTGGGTGGCCGTGGGCACCCAGGTTCCTGGCCGGCTCTGTCCCCTGGGCTGGGACTTCCCAGGGAAGTGAGAGGACAGCATCACGTACTGTGGAAATGCTTCAGCTGCCGCATCTTGTTGACGCTTATTGTTTATGAACCAGAGGTCCGGGGCATGAGATTCATGCACGGGCAGGGTCCCTAGACCTGGTCGGCGATCAGGACCCATCTGGGGAGCAACCAGTGGGGTGATCAGAGGGTGAGAGGGGCACCCCTTGATCTTAGTGACTGGGTGTTCCGCTGTTTGGCTGATTTGCATATTAGGCTTTTATTATTTAGGACTAGAGGCTCGGTACCTGAAACTCATGCATGGGGGAGGGGGTGTCCCTCAGCCCAGCCTGCACCCTCTCCAAACTGGGACCCCTTGGGGGATGTCCAAAGCTGGTTTAGGTTCGATCCTCGGCTGGCCTGGTTGCCCACAACTACCCTCCCGTGCTGACTGCCTTGTGGTGGCATTCTTTCACCACATGGGGGCGGTCATCTTGTGTGAGGGCATAAGGGTCAGTTTGCATGTTACCTCTTTATTATATAGGATAGTCTTCAGACTACAGATTTTTTAAACTTACTTTTTAATGTATGTAATATATATTTTAATATATATTTTAGAGAGAGGGAGAGAGACAAACATCAATGATGAGAGCATCATTGATCGGCTGCCTCCTGCATGTGCCACACTGGGGATCAAGCCCACAACCCTGTATGTGCCGGGCTGTGCATTTCCACGGAAAGTGGCCAGGAGGCGGCCGTCTCTGTGCACGGACGGTCTGAGCTCAGGTGCCCCCGGTCCAGTCCCGTGGGGTGGTTTCCGTGGTGACGGAGGTGCTGAGGTTCTGAGAGTTTTTAACCTCGGGAGTGCCAGTCCTCTGTAAACCTGAAATCAGCCTAAATAATAAAAGGCGAATATGCAAATCAGCCAAACGGGGGAACGACTGGTCGCTGTGATGTGCGCTGACCTCCAGGCAGACGCTAATGCAGGAGGTGCCCCCTGGTGGTCAGGAGCTCCCACAGGGGGGCACCGCTCAGCCAGAAGCCAGTCTCATGGCTGGTGAGTGCAGGAGCCTCCCGCCTCTGAGGCAGCGGTAAGCACCCCTTGGGGGTGTCCGCCGAGGGGTCCCGGACTGCGAGAGGGCACTGGCCTGGCTGCGGGGCCCGCCTCAGTGCACGGAGGCCGTGCACCGGGCCTGTAGTTTGAAAATAAAAAGAAAGTCGGCATGTCCCGCTGCCTGAAGGAGCTCGCTGTTTAAAGACGGGAAGCGAGCGGCGTCCACCCTCGCCTCCCTCCGGCGGGCGGTGCGGCCGCAGCCCCGCCCCCGTGCGTGCTTTGCAGACAGAGTCCCCGCGGGGCCCGGGCAGCTGTACCAGGACCTGCAGAACCTGCTGCATGACCTCAGCGTGGTGGGGCAGATCGCCCAGCTCGTGGGGGACCTGCGGGGGCACTACCAGGTGAGGCCGGCCGGCGTGGGCTGTGCCCCGGCTGCCGTCGGCGGGGCCCCGGGTGGGGCCAGGCCAGGTTGCGACGAGACCAGAGTGGTCGTGTCTGCCTGGTTTGGGTGGGGTGGGCAGGGGTGGGGGGTAGACGATGTCCCTTTGCAGACCCCAGGGGTGAGCTGTCATGGAAACGCTCAGCACCTCCGCGCGGCCGCCTCCCGGGCTCTCTTTCTTGTTGACTGCCTTGCTCCCCCCAACACCCCCTCCGCCCCCGCCTGGCCCATCTCACTCTGAAATGCTCTGCGTCTCCCCCGATGCTCCCACCACAGCCGCCTCAGCTCAGGGAGATAAGCCGTCAGAGAAAGACAAGGCTCACATGGTCTCACTCATGCTGAACAGAAAATATCCAAGCCCTGGCCGGTGTGGCTCAGTGGATGGAGTGTCGGCCTGCGGACTGAGGGGTCCGGGTTTGATTCCGGTCAAGGGCACAGGCCCGGGTTGTGAGCTTGATCCCCAGTGTGGGGCGTGCAGGAGGCAGCTGACCAATAATTCCTTCTCATCGTTGATATTTCTCTCTTTCCCCTTCTCCCTTCCTCTCTGAATTAAATACAAATATGTTTTTAAAAAGTATTCAGAGATGCATGGAACAGGCTGCAAATCTCAGAGGAGAGACAGGGAGGGTGGGTGGGAGAGAGCAACGGAGACCTCTGCCTATGCACGGCCCACAGGCACGGGGACAGGGTGAGGGGCACAGGGCCGGGTGAGGGCCGGGAGGGGCACAGGGGTGGGGTGAGGGCCAGGAGGGGCACAGGGCCGGGTGAGGGCCTGGAGGGGCACAGGACCGGTGAGGGCTGGGAGGGGCGGGGGCAGGGGGCCTCTGTCGCACCTCCAGCAGAGAAAGTGAAGAGGGAACTGCCTGCGTGTCCGCCCAGAACCTGAACCAGGCCGTGGCCCGCGACTGGGCGTCGGGGCTGCAGAGGCTGGTCCTGCGGAAGGAGGAGGAGATCCGTGCGGCCGACTGCTGCCGGCTGCAGCTGCAGCTCCCGGGCAAGCAGGACAAGTGAGTGCCCGCGGCCGGGCACGGCAATGGCCCGGGGCGACAGGCACCGGGAGATGGGCACGGGGATGACGGGCACGGGGGGACGGGCACTGGATGATGGGCACGGGGGGACGGGCACGGGGGGACAGGTACGGGGGGACAGGCACGGGGGGACGGGCACGGGGATGATGGGCACCAGGAGATGGGCACGGGGATGACGGGCACGGGGGGGACGGGCACTGGATGACAGGCACGGGGACACAGGCACCGGGAGATGGGCACGGGGATGACGGGCACGGGGGGACGGGCACTGGATGATGGGCACGGGGGGATGGGCACGGGGACACAGGCACGGGGGGACGGGCACGGGGACACAGGCACGGGGGGACGGGCACGGGGGGATGGGCACGGGGGGACAGGTACGGGGGGACAGGCACGGGGGGACGGGCACTGGATGATGGGCACGGGGGGACGGGCACGGGGGGACAGGTACGGGGGATGGGCACGGGGGGACGGGCACGGGGGGACGGGTACGGGGGGACGGGCACGGGGGGACGGGCACTGGATGACGGGCACGGGGGGACAGGTACGGGGGGACGGGCCCGGGGGGACAGGCACGGGGAGATGGGCACGGGAGGACGGGCACGGGGGACGGGCACGGGGGGACGGGCACGGGGAGATGGACACGGGGGGACGGGCACGGGGGGACGGGCACGGGGAGATGGGCACGGGGGGACGGGCACGGGGGGACGGGCACGGGGATGATGGGCACGGGGAGACGGGCACGGGGAGACAGGGATGGGGATGATGGGCACGGGGGGACGGGCACGGGGGGACGGGCACGGAGACGGGCACGGGGAAACGGGGACGGGGATGATGGGCACGGGGGGACGGGCACGGGGATGATAGCATGGGGATGATGGGCACTGGGTGATGGGCACGGGGACGACAGGCACAGGGAGACGGGCACGGGGGGACGAGCACAGGGAGATGGGCACGGGGGCAATGGGCACGGGGAGTCGGACATGCGCTGAGGCCCTGAGACTGAGCCCTCGCCCCGCAGGTCCGGGCGACCCACCTTCTTCACGGCCGTGTTCAGCACCTTCTCGCCCGCCTGCAAGGAGTCCTGGCTCAGCAGCCTGCAGATGGCCAAGCTCGCGCTGGGTAAGGCGGCTCCCGGCCAGACGTGCCCCAGACAAGGCGTGTCCCCACACCAGACATGTCTCCTAGGAGAGGCGTGTCCCCAGGCCAGGCGTGCCCCGGACAAGGCGTGTCCCCAGGCCAGACATGTCTCCTAGACGGGGTGTGTCCCTAGACCAGGCGTGTCCCCTAGGTGAGGCGTGCCCCAGACCAGGTGGGTCCTAGCTCCCTGCTTCAGACAAAACAGGTGCCCGAGAGACTGTCAGGTGGGGGAGGAGGCCCTGGACCATGGCCACACATGCCCCTGAGAATGGCTTTTGTTTTGTTTTTTAAATATATGTTTTTATTGGTGTCGGGGGGGGGAGAGAGAGAGAGAGAGAGAGAGAGAGAGAGGAGAGGGAGGAGCATGGATTGGCTGCCTCCTGTGCGCCCCCCACTGGGGATGGAGCTCACAACCTGGGCCTGTGACCTTGACCAGGAATCGAACCCTGACCTCCTGGTTCCTAGGTCAACACTCACCCCTTGAGCCACGCCGGCCAGGCCCCCTAAGCAGGTGTTTAAGCGAAGGCTCGCCTGCGGGGGCTCACCCAGGGGGGGCGGCTCACCCAGCAGGGGCTCACCCAGCAGGGGGCGGCTCACCCAGCGGGGGCGCCCGGCGGAGGGGTCCCGCTCCGGAAGGGGGAGCCCTCACGCCCCCTCGCCCTCCCCGCACAGAGGAGGACAACCACCTGGGCTGGCTCTGCGTGGAGGACGACGGCAACCAGCTCACCAAGGACCGGCACCCGCTGCTCGTGGCGCACATGCCTGTGCCCGTGGCCAAGCAGCAGGAGCTCAAGGTGCCGCCGGGGCGCCGTCCCGCGGGGGGCGGTTCTCGCCCCGTTAGGGAGCGGATGGGGGCTCATCACCCCGCGGGGGGAGTGAGGGACGGGGCGGGGGAGTCCAGTGCTGAGTGCTGGGCCCCGGTCAGCGCGGTCACTTCCGCTCTGGGGTCAGCAGTAGGGCCCACGCGGGATCCCCTGGTCCGAAGCTGTGCCCGCCGTGTGTGGCACTGGGTGCGGGGGTGTGGAGCGGGGTGCACCCACCCGTGACGCTGTGCCACGCACGGCAGCACCCAGAGTCCACGTGGGACCACGGCCTGGTCTCTGGCTCGGGGAGCCTGCCTTCGTGAGGCCCGCCCCGCCCCCGGCTCACCGCCGCCTCTCCCTCAGATGGAGTGTGCCGTCTACAACCCCGAGCCCCACCCCGGCCGCGCGGGCCGGCCGGACCCCCCCGGCGCAGCCCGGGGCTTCCTCTGGGTAAGTGCCGCCGGGTCCACGCGGCGGGCGGCGTGCGGTGGGAGGGACCGTGGCTGCCGCCGTCCCGGCCGTGTCTGACCGTGGGCGTCACCGCGGGCCTGGCCCGGCCCTCCGGGCCTCCGGGCGCTGCGGGCTCTCGGGAGCCTGTAGCTGCGGTCACGCTCGGTGCGGCGACAGCCGCTTCACTCAGACCCTTAGACAGTCAGCGGCTTCACCCAGACCCGCCCGATCTCTCGTCCTCGGTGGTTCAGTGCGTGGGACCCCTCCCCGCCCCCCAGCCTGCCCGGTCCTTGCTGGCTCTCTGCTGGACACAGCAGTGGAAGGCCTTCGTGCCGGAGGAGACACGGCCCGTGGTTGTGCCGTGTGGCAGCAGCGGCGTTTCTGGTCGGTGCGTGGGAGGGTGCCTGTGCCCCGTGAGCACCCCGTGTCCCGCAGCGCCACCCAGAAGGCCCTCCGAGGGAGGACGGGAAGGCAGGCGTGGCCCTCGGGCGTGAGGGCTTTAGGAGGGATTCTCCGTGAGCGGGGCCTGCAGCTGAGGCCGCCTTCCTCTCCCGCCCCCTGGTCTCCTGTCCCCCGGCTCCCCGCCCCCGCCCCAGAGCAGGCCGGTGACCGTGCCTGTCCGGGAGGCTGTGGGGCGGGAAGCCATCTGTGGCAGGAAACGCAGGAAGCAGCGTGGGCGTCACTGTATCCCGGACCCGGAGAGGAAGCCGTCCGTGCAGCACAGCCCCCCCTCCCCTCCCTTTCCATCGCTCTTGTCCAACGAGGCCTGACTGTCCCGCTGAAAAGCAGCTGCATTTCCGTTCATGTGGGAGGGCCACGGGGTCGGGCAGCAGGCCAGCGTGGGCAGGGCCACGGCACCGTCAGGTAGACGCTGTGGCCACCTTCCCTTCCTTTTAAAAATCCTTTCACTGATGTCAGAGAGGAAGGGAGGGCGGAGAGAGAAGCAGCCCTGATGAGAGCACCATTGATCGGCTGCCTCCTGCACGCCCCCCACAGGGCATGGAGCCGGAATCGAACCGTGACCTCCTGGCTCATAGGTCGATGCTCAGCCCCTGAGCCACACCGGCCGGTGCTTCCCTCTCTGAGCAGCTTCCTAGTTAAAAGGCGGGTGAGATTCCCTAAAGTTGGAATCAATCTGCTTCATGTGACTTTACGCTGTGTGTGAACATCCTTGTTTAGAGTGAGGTGTGTGGTTTTCAAAGCATAGGAAATAGGTTTAAAACATAAAAACTCTGTCCTTGTTATCCACATTAAGAGGAAGATGACCTACTTTTTAAAAAACGAATCTTTATTGTTGAGCACATCAGGTATGCCCTCCATGTCCCCTCTGACCCCTCTGCCCGCGCCCGGCCCGGCCTGCCCGCTCGGTGGTGGAAAAACCAGCTCGTTAACACGGGAAAGGCGGGCTTTGTGAGCGGGCGGCTCCGGGCGCTGCCCTGGTCCCCGTGGCCAGTGCCGGTCCCGTGGGCTGTGGGAGCCTCACGCCCGTTTCTCCCCTCCCCCCAGATCGGCAGCTGTGCGGGCCAGATGGGCCAGGTTGCCATCGTCTCCCTCCACAACGCCACGCCCAAGGTCATCGAGTGCTTCAACGTGGAGTCCCGCATCCTGTGCATGGTGCACCCGCCCGCCGGGCACGGCCCCCCGCCCAGCCCCGCCCCCGAGCCCGGGGCCACGGCCGGCACCGCCGCGCTGGGCGTGCCCACCGTCTGCCTGGGCACCGAGGAAGGGAGGTGGGTGCCCCTGGGCCCCGGTCACGGTTCCCCTGCGGGTCCTCGTCCCGTCCCCGGGCCAGGGCGAGGCTGCCGTCACGCCCGTCGGTGAGGCGTGCGGGAAGCGGAGGCGGTGCGTGTCCCGCGTGTGTTTGGGGACGGACAGCCACGTCTGCGTGGTCACGGACGCCCACGGACGTGCCTCGGGGAAGGCTGACGTGGCTCCTGATGCGAATTCCCCACCCTCCTGGGAGGGACTGGTTTCTTTGTAGCCCAATATTTCTCCTCTACTTTATTTTTTGAAAGATATTTTTGTTGATTTCAGAGAGGAAACGAGAGATAGAGAGTTAGAAACATTAACGAAGAGAGAGAATAACTGATCAGCTGCCTCCCGCACGCCCCATCCTGGGGATGGAGCCCACAACCCAGGCCTGTGCCCCGACCGAGAACCGAACGGTGACCTCCTGGTTCATAGTTGATGCTCAACCCCTGAGCCACGCCGGCCGGGTTAAATTTCTCCTTTAAAATGCCAGAGAGAGGCCAGCGTGGCGGAGCCTTCAGACACGGCTCGCGTTTCCGGAGGGGGGGGGGGGGGCGTCCGTGGAGAGCTGGGCCCGGCGTGGGCTGCGTCTGCGCGGCCGGCAGGCGGCTCACGCTCGCCCCCTCCCCCAGCATCTCCGTCTACAAGAGCAGCCCGGGCGCCAAGAAGGTGCGGCTGCAGCAGTTCTCCGCGCCCGGCAAGGCGGCCGTGCTGAGCCTGGCCTGCTCGCCGCACAGCCTGTACGCCGGCCTGGTGGACGGGGCCGTGGCCGTCTACGCCAAGGCTCCAGGTACGGGCCACGCGGGCGGGCGGCTGCAGGGCCGATGCCACAGGCGGGCACGGGGTCCGGGGGCTGAGTGTCCGGGTCCGGCCGCTGCTGCCTGCAGAGGGCGCCGTCCCCCGTGGCTCGCAGCCCCTGGGGCTCCGGTCTCCTCCTGTTCCTGTAAGGCAGGGGAACGTCTGGCCCCCTGGAATCATTTGGTCTGGCCCTACCACGGCATCGGGGTGAGTTAATTAAATGTGTGACCACACAGAGCAGCTCATTTTTAAGCTGGTCACTCTGTATGGCCTGTGAATCTATACATTATTAAAAAGGGTAATACGCTAATTAGTCCCACCAGATGTCATTCGGACGGCCTTCCTGACAAAGCCAGGGCCCTGGCGAAGCCACTGGGAGTCCCAGGTGCCTGTGGCCGGCCAAAGGGAGGGAAGCCCAAGTCTGGGTGCCTGCGGCCGGCCAGAGGGAGGGAAGCCTGGGTTCCAGGTGCAGGGGCCAAGGCAGAGGCAGTTAGGGGCGATCAGGCCTGCAGGGGAGCAGTTAGGGGTGATCAGGCCTGAAGGGGGGCAGTTATGGGCGATCAGGCTAGCAGGTAGGGGTGATCAACCCTACAGGGAGGCAGTTGGGGCGATCAAGCCAGTAGGCAGGCAGAAGTGGTTAGGGGTGACCAGGCAGGTAGGCAGGTGAGTGGTTAGAAGCAAAAGGTTCCAGATTGCAAGAGGGATGTTCCACTACTGGTTTAGTCAGACATCACCTGAGGGGTTCTGGATTGGAGAGGGTGCAGGTTGGGCTGAGGGGACTCCCTCCCCCCCCTTACATGCACAAATTTCGTGCACTGGGACTCGGGTGATGTTATAAATATCCACATGGCCTTTAGCAGAACAAAGGTTCCCCCCTGCCTGGCTCAGTGGTTGAGTGCCGACCTAGCAACCAGAGGTCACAGTTGGATTCCAGGTCGGGCATGCTGCAGTTTTGGGCTCCATCCCCAGCAGGAGGCAGCCAATCAATGATACTGTTTCATCATTGCTGTTTCCATCCTTTGCTCCCTCTCCGCTCCTCTCTCTGAAATCAATAAATTATATTTTATTGAGGAAGGGAAAGGGAGCAAGAGATAGAAACATCCGTGATGAGAGAGACTTGATGGGCTGCCTCCTGCACGCCCCCGGCTGGGGATCGAACCCTGACCTCCTGGTTCCTGGGCCGACGCTGAACCCTGGAGCCACGCCAGCCGGCTGAAGGGATTTTTTATTGTTCTTCACGCTCTCACCACACCCGGGCAAGGCACCTCCTCATGGTCTCTGCAGTGTATGAAGCCGGAACACTCACTGTGTCCTGGGTTTCAGCCCTGAACATTTTCCATGGAGATGTGTTTTCTCCCCATAATACAGCCCACACCAATGCATATTTTTAAATAAAAGTAGGAACGGGGGTGTTTGAACATTTGCCGAATATGCTGGGTACAGTTCCCCTTACGATGACTGAGTCACGTCACACATATGTGATTATTGTGAACTAGAGGCCCAGTGCACGAAATTCCTGCACAGGCAGGGTCCCTAGGCCTGGCCAGCCATCAGGGCCGATCAGGACCAATCAGGTTCCCTGCCTCCTTGCCTCCCTCTACCCTCGCCACCGCTGGTCACCGCCATGTTCCGCACCGTCCACTGGTGGTCAGCGCAGGTCATAGTGAGCGATCGACAGACTCCCAGGGGACACTGCGTATCAGCCTTTACACACACAGCGATGGTTCCGTGGAACTCCTGTCTGCCAGGCACGGGGCTGGTTTTTTTATTTTTTATTTTTTAAATATTTTTTATTGATTTTTTAAAGAGAGGAAGGGAGAGGGATAGAGAGCTAGAAACATCAATGGAAGAGAAACATCGACCAGCTGCCTCTTGCACACCCCCCACCGGGGATGTGCCCATAACCAATGTGCCCTTGACCGGAATCGAACCTGGGACCCTTCAGTCCGCAGGCCGATGCTCTATGCACTGAGCCAAACCGGTTTCAGCCCGGCGGTGCTGGGCTTTTCATTGCATTATCGTCCCTTCTCACCACAGCCCTTCAGGCACATGGCAGCGCTGTCCCCCTTTGCTGAGGCAGAAACTGAGGCTGAGGGCGGGTAACGTGTCCCAGCTGTGCGGGGTGGGCACGGCCTGCTGCCCAGGTTGCCCTGACAACGGTGCCACCGGGGACTTGAGGACCCAGGGCTCCCCTGAGCGGCGGGCCAGGGCGGACACTTAGGCTCTGCTCATTAGGACCGTCCGGACCCTTCCCCCGCCCCGTGCACGCCGCCTGTGAGTGAAACCAGCAGCCACGCTTCCTTTTCAGACGGGTCCTGGGACCCGGAGCCCCGGAAGGTGATCAAGCTGGGCGTGCTGCCCGTGCGGAGCCTGCTGGCGGCCGAGGACACGCTGTGGGCGGCCTCGGGGGGCCAGGTGTCCGTCATCGGCGCGGAGACGCTCGCCGTGGAGGTGAGTGGTGGGAGGGCTGTGCCGAGGGGGTGCCCCCGGGCGGTCCCCCCTCCCGCAGCAGCACCCTCGCCCTGCCCGAGGCTCAGAGGAAGTCCCGATTCCTCGGGAGGAGGGCTGCCCAGGGAGTCCTCTGCCCTGGCCCAGCCACGGACCCCGAGCAGCTGTCCGCCGTGCCCCGTGGAGACCGGGTTCAGTGGGAACGGAATGGACGTCAGCTTTCCATGGGGGTGGTGGTGTGTTTCAAACCCTCAGCTAAGGATATTTTCCCAGTGATTATTGGAGAGAGGGGAGGGAGAGACAGTGCAAAACATCGATTTGAGAGACACATCAGCTGGTTGCTTCCTGCCCATTCTCCAACTGGGGCCGGGGATCCAGCCCACAGCGCACGTACGTGCCCTCGGCTGGGCGTCAAACTGGAGGCCCCATGCTCCAAGGGGCGGCGCTCTAACCACTGAGCAAACTGGCCAGGGCGGAAGTGGCGTTCCGAGCTGTGGGGCGAACGGGCCAAGGATGGGGACTCGGCCGCCGTGAGGGACGGAGCTGTGCCAGGCCCCATCCCTGCACTTCTAGACACGCCGGGCGAACGCGCGTGGAGGTGGAGACAGAACGTTATGGTGTCGGGGAGAAGGGTCTTGGCGCCGTGAATCGGGGAGACGTCCCAGGCAGGGCAGCCGCGCCGAGAAGCTGCCGGGAGGAAGGAAGCATTCACCGGGTAGTTTTAGGACCTTTTCCACACCTACTGTGTGTGTGCATCACATGTCTGTGAATTAAAGACTGGGGAAACTGCTCGTGTGCTGCCTCTGAGGCTGGGAGCGGATGTTCTCAGAATAGGAGTCTTCCTGAGCTGCAAACGGAGACCAGCTAACAGACCTGGTCACCGAGGCCTCTGATCGGATCTGTGCAGTGGGGACAAGCCTGCCTTCTCGGGTTTGTGGGTTAAGGAGGTTTTTAAAAAAGTCCCTACCAGCCAGCCCCTGAGGGGGTGCGGCCGGCTGTCCCCCGTCTCTGGCAGCACTGAGCGTCTCTGGCAGCACTGAGCGTCTCTGGCAGCACTGAGCGCCCACCCTGGTGCTGGGCCGTCAGGTTGTCCGAGCCCAGGGGCGGGCGGGGTCTCCTCTCCCACCTCCCGGGCTCCGCGGGCTCACGTGACGCCGCCCCTAAAACCACCCTGGGTGCGCCCGGCTCCGTGCTGACAGGCGCCTCTGGTCCCGGCCACTGTGGCCCCACAGCCGCCTGGAGCGGGCGGTCCCGGGGCCTCACCGGGCGGAGGGAGAGGGACGGAGGGAGGCGGACGGAGGGAGGCGGACGGAGGGAGGCAGACGGAGGGAGGCGGACGGAGGGAGACAGCACAGGACGGAGGGAGGCAGGACGGAGGGAGACAGGACAGAGGTCCCCGCTCTGCCCGGAGGGAGGTAGACGAGGTGAAGGAGCCACTGAGGCTGAGGAGGCAGAGTTCCCGATCCCAGGCCTCTTCCCCCTGAGAACTGAGTCCTCCAGCATGGACGGAGCCTGCCAGGCCCCAGGCAGACGGGCCCTCACAGGCACCCGGCCACGCCCGGCGCGCCCCAGGCCTCGGGCCATGGCTCAGGCGGCAGGACTGGGAGAGGCCGGCCCCACCCGCCCGCGATGCCCGCCCTCGGCCTCTCCCGCCCGCAGAGCCAGCTGGAGGCGCACCAGGAGGAGGGCATGGTGGTCGCGCACATGGCCATCGCCGGCGTGGGCATCTGGATCGCCTTCACCGCCGGGTCCACGCTGCGCCTCTTCCACACGGAGACCCTCAAGCACCTGCAGGACATCAACATCGCCACGCCCGTGCACCACCTGCTGCCAGGTACGGGGGGGGGGGGGGGTGGAGAGGAGGGGGGGGCAGACTGGGCTCGGCCTGTCTCGGTTTCGTGTGGGCCCCGTCCTGTCAGGGTAAGCTCCCTGCGTTGCTAGGCGGCCTCTGGATGGTGGAGTCGGATCCAGTGCTGCTGTGCAGCCGCCCATCCAGAGGGGACGCTCAGCTGGGCCCCGGGCAGGGCCTGCAGCGGAGCCAGAGGAGGGAGACTCCCGGGGGCCCTCGGGTCACAGGCAGCACCTCCCTCCCTGGGCGTGTGTGAACGTGCATGTGCGTGAGCCGTATGTGTTCATGCGTGTGTTCATATATGTCTGAGTGCATGGTGCCCACATGAATATGTGTGTGCACAAGGTATACGGATGTGTGCGTGTACAAGTGCGTGTGTGTATGAGTGTGTGTGTGCGCGTGCGTGTGTGCGCGCGCGCGTGTGTACGCCTCAGGACTCCTTGCTTGCTAACAGAGCACGCGGTGCAGATGACTGTGGCGTTTGCGTTGCCCGGAGGGTGCCAGCGCGAGGCGGAGGGCGGGGCCCAGCAGGCTGTGCGGAGGGGCTGCCGGACACGCTCCCAGGGCCGTGGACGGGGTGCGGGTGGTCAGAGCTCCCTCTCGGTGCCCCCGGAGGCTGGCGGTGCACACGGCTCCGGGGTCAGGCCCGTCACGGCTCACACTCCGGCCGCCCGGCCGCCCTCTCCGTCCTCTCCGCAGGGCACCAGCGGCTCTCGGTGACCAGCCTGCTCGTCGGCCACGGCCTGCTGATGGTGGGCACCAGCCTGGGGCTCGTGGTGGCGCTGCCCGTCCCCCGCCTGCAGGGCGTCCCCAAGGTGACAGGTGAGCCGCCGCCCCGCCCTCGCCCGCAGCTGCCCTCGCGTGCCCGGCTCGGTTCCAGACCTCGGTTCCCCTCCCGCCGCGAAGGAGCGTGGCGGCGACTGCGTGTTAGAGCGCGCAGGTCCTTACTCCGCCTGCACATGCCCCCACGCCACACGCTTCCCCGGCGGCCGGGCTCCTGAGCTGCGTCCCGTCCTGTCCCGCGTGTGGCTGGCCCTCGCTCAGTGCGGGGCGTTGTCAGGGACGCGGAGACAGGTGGGCCCCGCTCCCCCAGCCACAGCGCGCCCTCTCCCCCGCAGGCCGCGGCATGGTCTCCTACCACGCTCACCACGGCCCCGTCAAGTTCCTGGTCATGGCCGCCGCCGCGCCCAGCGCCGACAGGGACACGGCGGGGGACAGCCCGCCGCCCGGCCCGGAGCCCCCCGAGGAGGACCGGGGGGGCGCCGCCCCCAGCGAGGGCCCCGACGCGGCCGCCGTGTGGCTGGGGGGCTCGCCGGGCTCCGGGCCGCACCGGAGCCGCAGCACCCCGCCCGGCGGAGGGCGCCGCGCCTGCAGGCCCCGGGTCAGCTCGGTGCTGGTGGCCTGCGGGGGCCAGGGCCACCGGCGGGTGGGCAGGCGGCCCCGGCAGCAGCGGCCCGAGGAGCCGGCCTCCTCCCTCATGGTCTGGCAGATCCCCCTGCTGCTCGTGTGACGGGGCGGCCACGTCTGCGCTGACGGGACAGCTCACTGCGGCTTCGGGAGAAACGTGCAATATGGTGGGGAGGGGGCGTCCCGCCTTCTTCCTGCCGAGAGCCAGGCCGGCGAGAAGGCTGGGGAGGAGGCTCTGGGGGCTCCCCACGCTCCACCGCCCCCTCCCCGGCCGGCGCCTCCCTCCCCCCGCCCTTCCCATCGCCGGCTCCTGGACTCACAGCCTAGCCAGGCCTTCGTCCGTGTCCCTGCTTATTTATTCTGTGTCTTCCTTCCGGGGCGGAGCCTGTGATGGTGCCGGAAGCCGGGGGCGGGGTCACTGAGAGGCCTCCTTTGCCCGCTGTATGTGCTAACAAAGCAGTATTTTTATATTGCGTTTTTCTATTAAAGTTAACGGCTAATTCTCAGTGAACGTGTTACATGGAACGCTGCCTCGATGACGTTTGCTGTGGACCAAAACGCGCGATGCCTGTCCAATCCACAGTCCGGTGTCCGCGGCCCGTCTCTCGGCAGGCGCAGGGGACTCCCTCCCGCCCCCGTCTTCTCGGCGCGGGCCTCTGTCCACGGAGCCAGTGTGGCCATGGGTGCCCGGGGGCAGGACGCGGGCAGGGTCGTCCGCCTTCCCCCCGCCGGGCGGCCCGTCCTCCCCCACGACGCCACCTCCCTCTCCCTGCTCATGGCGGACGCCTTCCCTCGCCCGAACCCTCCCAGGGCCAGCTGTGTCCCCCGGACACCCTCTCTCGGCTGGGCACCGAGGCCTCCGTGCCGCCCGGCCTCGCAGCTGCGGGCCCGCCCAGCCGGGTCCCTGCCGCCTCCCGCCCGCGGCGGCCTGCTTGTCTGAGCACATGGCGACTCCAGTGCTCCCGAGACCCTGCCGGCCCAGCGGGGCGCCCCCGAACCTGAGCAGGGACGGCATCCTGGGGCTCAGTACAACCTAGGAAACAGCCCCCCCCCCGCCCCCAGCGCAGGGTGAGCCGTGCGGCCCCGCTCCCCGTGGGGGACAGCCGACCCCACCGGGGTGAGACAGCACCTGACACCGTCGGATGAGCTGGACACGGGTTTCCTGGGAACAGTGAGGTCGGGTCAGGATCCTCTTCCAGCGTCTGGTGGCCCAGCAGCCGCTGCGTTGACAGTTTGCTCTGAATACGGGGCCTGTGTTATGTGGTTCCAGGGTCCCCCCCCCCCCCACACACACACAATGGTGAGGCCACCGCTGTGCTCTGAGCTCTGTGTGAGGGACCTGGGGGCCTGTGGGAGCAGTGGGTGGATCACTGGGCAGGGGTGGGGAGGGGAGGGGCCTGCAGGGTGTGGGAGCGGCGGGCGGGCTCACGGGCCAGTGCATCCTGGTCCTGAGGGCCGCCGGGCAGGGCAGCCGCTCCCACCAGGAGCCGGACGCGGGGAACCCCCGGAGGCCGGGGCTGGGCCCTGGCCGGCTCGCCGCCCGGCTGGGATGGCTGTGCTTCCTCGGCTGTTTGTCCCCGGCTCCTGCTTCCTGTCCCGGAAGACGCCGAGCAGTGACCCCCTCCCCCCTCCCGGAGCCTCTGTGCACAGATGTCCCTCCTGCTGGTCACACGGCCCAGAGGGACAGGGCCTGCTGTCTCCTGCCTGCGGCAGACAGAGGCCCTTTCTCCCGCTGACCTCACCCTGGCCGGCCAGTTCCCCACGTTCCCGCCCCCGTGGCGGGCGAGGAGGGAGCGGGGAGCCCCCGGCGCCCTCTGCTGCCCAGCGAGGCCACTGCAGCGGGCAGAGGTGCCCGCCACTTCCTCCCGCGTCCTGGAGCAGCTGAAGGTCCCTCAGTGCTCGTGGTGTTCGCAGCAGCAGGTCTGGGCCAGCAACCGAGGGGAGACGCGTGTCTGGAACGGAGCCACACACCTCGCTGCCGTTGGACAGACACCTGGGCATCACGCCCAGCGCGGGCACGGACAACCACACACGTGCATGCACACACCTGGTTTTTGAACGTTTAAGAATAATTTAATTTTCTTCAATTAGAATGGAGGTACAGTGTAATCTCAGGTGCAAGCCCTGTGATGGGCGTTTACCCCCCCAGGACACTCTCCCATTGGCTTTGAGGGGCGTGGGGGAGAGAGGGAAAGTAGAGAGAAGCACCCACGTGAGAGAGGCACACGGATGGGTGCCTCCTGCCTGTGCCCGACAGGGCCGGGCACCGAGGACGTGCCCTGGACCAGAATCCAACCTGTGACCCTGCGGTCCGAGGGCTGAAGCTCTACCCACTGAGCCAAATGGGCTGGAGCACGTAGCTGTTCTTGCCGGCACAGTGCGTGGCCCCTCCGGGCTCGTGGGGTCCCGGCGGCACAGTGGCCGTGCCCTGGCCGCGCCGGGCTGTGCAGCCGTGGACCCACTGCCTGTCCTGCCGCCCGCTCAGCCTGGGGGGGCCGCCACAGCGGGGCTGAGGAGGATCCTCTAATCCAGCCACATTCACAGCCGGAGGCCGGCCGGGCCGGTGCCGCTCACAGCCTCGCCAGCCCAGCAGCTGAGCCTGGCCTGGCGGCGCTCGGGGACGCCGGGGAGATAAACCGCCGCTAATTGGGCCGGATCTGCCAGCGCAGCTGCAAACGGCGCCCAGGGCAAGGCCGTCCGCACAGGCACGCCCGGCCTCTGCTGCTGGTGCTGCCGCTCTGAGCGGGCACGGCGGCACCGGGCGCCACGCTGAGCCCGTCACGGCCACCGAAGGGCGTGGGAGAGCAGGCCACGGCGGGGGCAGGGCTCAGGTTCCACACACACACTCACACATTCACACACACACACACACACAATCACACACACACACACAATCACACAGACACACACACAGACACACTCACACACACACACACACACACACTCACACACAGTCACACACACACACACAGTCACACACACACACACAGTCACACACACAGTCACACACACACACACTCACACACACACACTCACACACACACACTCACACACACACACAATCACACACACACGCTCACACACAGCCACACACACACACACACACACACAACCACACACACACAATCACACACACAATTACACACACAATCACACACACAGTCACACACACACAATCACACACACACAATCACACACACACTCACTCACACACACACACACACTCACACACTCACACACACACAGTCACACAGTCACACACACACAGCCACACACACACTCACTCACACACACACACACACTCACACACTCACACACACACAGTCACACAGTCACACACACACAGCCACACACACACATAATCACACACACACACACACTCTCACACAATCGCACACGATCACACCGGGGAAGAGCAGGGTTCAGGTTCCACACACACAGTCACACTGGGGACACATTGCGCCCCACGTCCTCAGCGGGAGGAACCCGCGGCCTCTCCCCGGCCCCTCCTCCCACGCGGCCCCTGGCTTCCTCTCGGCGAAGACCCTCGACACCGCTCGCTCAGGTCCGATAAGCTGCGAGTCCAGAGGACCCCCTCCCCTGTGTGGCCCCGTGGCCCAGCACGTGGCTCCCAGCACCGGCCCTCGCTGAGCCCATGAGGCCGTGCCCACAGCACAGGGAGCCTGCCCGGCGAGCGGCCGCCGTGGCCGCGTGCCCGCATGGCCGCCGTGGCCACCAGGCTCCGGACGTGTTTGGAGTCACAGACCCTGGGAGCGCTCTGGCTCCGTCCAGACGCGCCGGGTGGCCGGGTACCGGGGTGTGTGGGGTAACAGTGCTCTCACCGCCCCGGCTCTCGCTGGCGGTCAGGGAGGCGAGGCTCAGGGCTTTGCTTTATTGGCTCAGAGAGATGTCAGCTGGGGGCGGTGGGAGCCCCTGGGGGTAGTTTGAATCCTCACCTGAGGATGTTCTTTCATTTATTTTTATTTTTATATTTAGAGAGAGTGGGAGGGAGGGAGGTGGGAGGAGAAAGAGAAACATCGATGTGAGGGACACACACTGAAGGGCTGCCTCCCGCACAGGAGCCGACGGGGCCAGGGTTTGAGTTTGCAACCGTGGTATGTGCCCTTGACTGGGAATCAAGGGTTGAAGTTTCTCTGGAGAGCCACATTTTTAAACTTAAACATCTTCCAATGCCACTTCTTCAAAACAGGCTCGCTCAGACCGTGGTCTTCTGTGGAAGAGCCACCCTCCAGGGGCCAGAGAGCCGCCTGTGGATCGCGAGCCGCAGTTTGCCGACCGCGGGTATAAGCGATTCACTCTTCGGCCTGCATTGCTGGCTCTGGCCGAGCTTCGGATGCTCACTCTACGGGCCCACGGCGGGGCGCGGGCTCCCAGGACCTAACAAGTTACTTCTCCAGCTCCGGCCACACACGCGCACGGGGCTGCTATTACAGAGGCTTTGCAGGTGAGCACGGAGCCGGAGGCGGCCAGCTGCCCTGCCCGGCCACAGGCCCGGGGCCAGCCGCGCCGGGCCGTGCCAGGGCGGTGTTATTTATATTCGCACATGTGCTGGGCAGGATGGACGCCCGGCCGCTGCGGGGGGCAGGGAGGGGTGAGGCGGTGCACAGCGCCCGTCTGAGGCAATAACTATAAATAAGACAGTGCTGCCCGGGCGTGGCTCCCTCGGGCCGGCCTCGCTAAGTCCCCGGAGGAAACCGGGCGGCTGTTGAAAGGAAAACAGACAAAACTCACTAGTAGCCACAGAGGCCCCCTCCCAGCCCTTGAGTCCCGGTGGCCCTGGTCACCATGGTGACCGAGCGAGCCTCTGGGTGTCCCTCTGTGTGTCTGTCCCCCTAGGGTCCCCCTGTGCCTGGGAGCCGTCCCTCGGCCGGACAGGAGGAGGCTGAGCTTACCTGGGAAGCGGGTGGAATGCCCTCTGGGTGCCAGCGGAGCCGCCCGTCCCGGGGGAGGGGAGCCCCTGGGAGGCCCCTTTTCCATGGATTTCCCTCCAGAACAGCCGTGTCCGCCCAGCCCGGCTGTGATTTACGTCCCTGTCATTGTGGGCGAGAAGCCCTGTGTCTATATATGGCAGGTCCTTGGCCATAAATGGGGTGGGACAGGCTCTGCCCAGATGCCAGGCACTGCTTCCTAAGCTGGGCACTGTGTCCTGAGCCGGGCACTGCCGTCCTGAGCCGGACTCTGCCGTCCTGAGCCGGGCACTGCTGTCCTGAGCCGGACTCTGCCGTCCTGAGCCGGGCACTGCCGTCCTGAGCCGGACTCTGCCGTCCTGAGCCGGGCACTGCTGTCCTGAGCCGGACTCTGCCGTCCTGAGCCGGGCACTGCCGTCCTGAGCCGGGCACTGCCGTCCTGAGCCGGACTGAGCCGGACTCTGCCGTCCTGAGCCGGACTCTCCTGAGCCGGGCGCTGCCGTCCTGAGCCGGGCGCTGCTTCCCCTTGCACCGTCCTACCCTCTCGGTGAGTTTCCTCCTTCCCGCTCCTGGTCTCGCCTTTCGGGGGACGGGGCCTCGTACCCAGGCTGGGTGCCCCAGCTCCCGGGACCGGGTTCCGGTGGAGACCAGTTAACCTGCCCGGCCCCGAGGCTGAGTTTCTGGGTCAGATGTTAACATCGCCCGTATTCCCCGTCTGGCTGTGTCTGCTGTTAGTGTGCCCGAGTCTCTCCCCGCACCCACGGGGGCCCGGATCTGGAGCACCCACGAGGTCCCCAGTCCGTGCACTGAGGTTGGAGGCTGGGGTCTCAGAAGGAAAGGGCCTGTGACGAGGGTGCAGGCGGGAAAAGAGGGGGCTGAAATCGGATGTTTTCCTAAGACCGTGGTCGGCAAACCATGGCTCATGAGCCACATGCGGCTCTTTGGCCCCTGGAGGGTGGCTCTTCCACAAAATGCCACGGCCTGGGTGAGTCTGTGTTGAAGAAGTGGCGTTAGGAGAAGTTTAAGTTTAAAAAATTTGGCTCTCAAAGGAATTTCAATTGTGCTGTTGCTATTCGGCTCTGTGGACTGAGTTTGCCGACCACGGGCCTAAGAGACCACGGAGCTGGGTGTCTGCCCGCCCAGACGGCAGCCAGCGGACGCGGGGCGGGACAGGTGCCGCCCTGGTGTGTCCGCGCCCGGAGCGACCGCTGGCAGCCAGCTCTGCTACGGGGTCACCACGGAGGTCAGCTCGGTGCTGGAGCCGGCTCCTGGTCACGCTCCGGAGCCGAGGGTGGGGTCCCTGCACCCGAGGGCTGGGGCAGCGAGGGTGGGAGTGGGGGGTGGATGGGGGGTATGGGGAGCAGCGAGGGTGGGAGTGGGGTGCGGGGAGTGGGGTGCGGGAGAGGGGTGTGGGGAGCGGCCAGGCCTCCGCCCTCCCTCCTGGCCTCGGTCCTCTGAGCAGCAGCCTGCCATCGAGGAACAGGGTGACGCAGGGGGACCTCAGGGGCGGATCTGGGCTCCGTTGCCAGGCCCTGCTGAAGCGGACGGTGCAGGAGGCTGCCTCTACCCGTGCCCCCACCCTCTCCCCACCACCCGGGGCCGTGGGAGGGGTCATAGAGCCCATCAGTCTGTGGGCCGCCTGGTCTGAGCGCCTGGTCTGAGCCGGGAGCGTGACAGCCTCCTGGGCAGGCGCCCGCTCCAAGGTGACTGGGGGGTGGGTGGGGGGGAATCGGAGTGGGGAGCTGCCAGAGCGCACAGCGCCCTCCCCGGGCGGCGCGGCCGAAGCTGTGAGAGCCATTCGCTCTGCCGGGCTCAGGAGGACAGCCACAGGTTGCAGGTTCGATTTTTGATGGTTCAGCCCCGGTCAGGGTGCATATGGGGGGCATCAGTCGGTGCCCCCCATATGCACCCCTCCCTCCCCAAACCAGTGAACACCTCTCCTGGTCACTCTGTGCTCCCTCCTCTGTCCTCGGGGGATTAGTCTGGAGAAGCTTGGGGGCAGCAGCTCCCATGAGTGACTGGAGGAGCTGGTGCTCGGACCCAGGGCCGGTTACCTGGGGCTGGTTACCCAGGGGTCTGGGTACCTGGTTACCTGGGGGCCTGGTTACCCGGGGGCCTGGTTACCTGGCGGTCTGGGGGCCTGGTTACCTGGGGGCCTGGTTACCCAGGGACCTGGTTACCTGGCGGTCTGGGGGTCTGGTTCCCCGGGGCCTAGTTCCCTGGAGGCCTGGTTACCTGGGGGTCTGGGGGCCTGGTTACCTGGGGGCCTGGGGGCTGGTTACCCAGGGGTCTGGGTACCCGGGGGCCTGGTTCCCTGGGGGCCTGGTTCCCTGGGGGCCTGGTTCCCCGGGGGCCTGGTTACCTGGAGGCCTGGTTACCTGGGGGCCTGGTTACCTGGAGGCCTGGTTACCTGGGGGCCTGGTTACCTGGAGGCCTGGTTACCTGGGGGCCTGGTTACCCGGGGGCCTGGTTACCCAGGGGTCTGGGGGCCTGGTTACCTGGGGGTCTGGTTACCCGGGGGCCTGGTAACCTGGGGGTCTGGGGGCCTGGTTCCCCGGGGACCTGGTTACCTGGTGGTCTGGGGGTCTGGTTCCCTGGGGCCTGGTTACCTGGAGGCCTGGTTACCCGGGGGCCTGGTTATCTGGGGGTCTGGGGGCCTGGTTACCCAGGGGCCTGGTTACCTGGGGGTCTGGGGGCCTGGTTACCTGGGGGTCTGGTTCCCTGGGGCCTAGTTCCCTGGAGGCCTGGTTACCTGGGGGTCTGGGGGTCTGGTTCCCCAGGGCCTGGTTCCCTGGAGGCCTGGTTACCTGGGGGCCGCCTGGTCTGAGCGCCTGGTCTGAGCCGGGAGCGTGACTGCCTCCTGGGCAGGCGCCCCGCTCCAAGGTGACTGGGGTGGGGGGGGCGGGAGGGACACGGGGCGGGAGGGACACAGGGGAGGGAGGGAGACGGGGGCCGGGAGGGAGGCGGGGGCCGGGAGGGAGGCGGGGGCCGGGAGGGAGGCGGAGGCTGGGGGGGGGGGAGGCGGGGGCGGGAGGGAGATGGGGGCGGGAGGGACCTGGGGCCTGGACGGACTGCTGGTCGGATTATTCAGGCGTGTACCCTCCATCCCTCCCGCCTCGTGGGTGTTGCTGATGGGCCTGATTCCCCTTTGCCGGGTGGCGGCGGCGCCGGGAGACGGCGGACTGCGCCCGGGAGGGGCTCACGTGCTGTCCCTCTCCGTCCGTTCGCAGGGACGCCAGGATGTCGCTGGTCACTCTGCCGTTCTACCAGCGGAGACACAAGCACTTCGACCAGGCGTACCGCCACGTGCAGACCCGGTACCTCATGAACGAATACGCAGCCAAGCTGTGAGCGGATTCCCGGATTGACGGGGGGGTGGGGGGGGGGACCCTTTCCTGCCGAGGCCAGGGGGTTTACGCCACCCCGGCCACACAGAATTACCCACTCAGAAACCACCTGCTCCCTTCGCCAAACACTGAACAGACTCGCCCCGTGCCTTGGCAGGGCCGGGCCCGAGGTCTCTGCAGCCTCATGTGGCCCTCGGCCTGGGCGTTCCCCACCCGCCTCAGACACGTAGAACTTGGATATGGGCGCCCCCGTTCAAAGGCAGGAGCTACGCCTGCTCCCTGGAGCCCGGAGGGACGTGACGGGAGGGTCACGGCGGCCATGATCCCCGAGGCCCATCTTCAGGGCCAGAGGGGGATGTGGCTCATCGCTGGGCAGCGAACGATGTGTGGAGTGCTGGCCTCTGGGTGGACCCTGCTAGAACTTGCTAGGTCTGCTAGATCCTGGTAGGTCCTGGTGGACCCTGTAGATCCTGGTGGAGCCTGTAGTTCCTGGTGGACCCTGTAGATCCTGGGGTAGGTCCTGGTGGAACCTGGTAGGTCCTGGTGGAACCTGGTAGTTCCTGGTGGACCCTGTGGATCCTGGTAGGTCCTGGTGGACCCTGGTAGATCCTGGTGGACTCTGTAGTTCCTGGTGGACCCTGTAGATCCTGGCGTAGGTCCTGGTAGAACCTGGTAGATCCTGATGGACCCTGTAGATCCTGGTGGACCCTGTAGATCCTGGTGGACCCTGTAGATCCTGGTAGGTCCTGGTGGACCCTGGTAGATCCTGGTGGACCCTATAGATCCTGGTGGACCCTGTAGATCCTGGTGGACCCTGTAGATCATGGTAGATTCTGGTGGATCCTGGTAGACCCTGGTAGACCCTAGTGGATCCTGGTAGATCCTGGTGGACCTTGTAGTTCCTGGTGGACCCTGTAGATCCTGGTAGATACCAGTGGACCCTGGTAGATCTCAGTGGACTCTGGTAGATCCTGGTAGACCTTGGTGAACCCTAGTGGATCTGATAGATCCCGATGGATCCTGGTGGTGCCTGGTAGATTCTAGTGGATCCTGGTATACTGGCTCTGACCCTGGGTTAGATCAGAAGCGGTGGGGACTTTTTAAGAAAGTGTTCATTGACTTTATCCTTCCTCATGCATCTTTCAGATCAGGAGTTTAAAAGCCACCAAAACCCAAGGGCAGCGGGAGGGAAGACAGTGGGAAGACCCAGCGGCAGAGAGATTATGGGATGGCAGAATGGTGATGGGTGGGAACTGCTGCACGAGCAGCAAATGGAACAAGCAGTGAAGTGATTGCGTCAGAGGCGGGGTCAGGCCCCAATGTCCTCTGGGAGTTTTTGAGGTCCAGCACCCTCCGGGGCCCAGCTCCCGCCCCGGGGCCGGCACGTGGGCAGCCGGGGCCCGGGTGGGAGGCTGGGCTGCGAGGAGAGCTGCTGGTGTTGGACATTCCTGGCGCGAGTCGCCCGCACCTATATTTAGAAACGCCTGGGGTCCTCGCGTCCCGCTGCCGTCCCCATAGCAAACAAAGGCAAACACCCGCCCCCGGCCGCCTCCGGGCCCGGCATGCCGCGGATATATATAATCCTGGTGCCCGGCCAGGCTGTGGCACAGGCGGCCCTGGCAGGGTGGTGGGGGGGAGGTCCGGGCCCTGAGTGGGGGAGCGGGTGCAGAGGGATGTAGGTGTGCGTGTGTGCGTACATTTATGTGCATGTGCACAGCACATGTGCACACGTGTACGTGTGAGTCTACGCACACAGTGTGTACGCATGTGCACACATCTGTGAGTGCACACACAAGGGTGTATGTATGTACACATGTGAGAATGCACACACATGCACACACTTGCATAACTCAACACACAAAGGTAATGTACAGGCACGCATGTTTGCGTGTGTACATTCCGTGTGTGTGTGCACGCGTGTGCATGGTGCGTGTGTCCAGCGTGGTGGTGGGCGGGAAGAGCGGTTCCTGACCCTCACTCTCCGCCTTCGCAGGCGCTCCTCCTCCCGCTCCTCCTCCCAGCAGGCCCTCAGCGAGCAGACCCAGGCGACCTCCCGGCAAGCGGCCGGCCAGCGGCTGCTGGCCCAGGGCGCCGTGTGCCGGCTCTGCGCCAAGAGGCTGAGCTCCGAGCAGGAGGAGAGCGAGCACGAGCATGAGAGCAAGAGGAGGTATGCGCTCCCTCAGGCCGGGCCGGGCGCAGGCCTCCGACGGGACAGTCCTCACCTCCCTGCCCGGACAGTCCTCACCTCCCGCAGGATAGTCCTCACCTCCTGCCCGGGACAGCCCTCACCTCCCCGTCCGGGACAGTCCGTCCCCTCCCCGCCTGGACAGTCCTCACCTCCCCGCCCGGACAGTCCTCACCTCCCGCAGGACAGTCCTCACCTCCTGCCCGGGACAGTCCGTCCCCTCCCCGCCTGGACAGTCCTCACCTCCCGCCCGGACAGTCCTCACCTCCCGCCCGGGACAGCCCTCACCTCCCCGTCCGGGACAGTCCGTCCCCTCCCCGCCTGGACAGTCCTCACCTCCCGCCCGGACAGTCCTCACCACCCGCCCGGGACAGTCCTCACCTCCCGCCCGGGACAGTCCTCACCTCCCGCTGGGACAGTCCTCACCTCCCGCCCGGACAGTCCTCACCTCCCGCCCGGGACAGTCCTCACCTCCCGCCCGGACAATCCTCACCTCCCGCCCGGGACAGTCCGTCCCCTCCCCGCCTGGACAGTCCTCACCTCCCCGCCCGGACAGTCCTCACCTCCCGCAGGACAGTCCTCACCTCCTGCCCGGGACAGCCCTCACCTCCCCGTCCGGGACAGTCCGTCCCCTCCCTGCCTGGACAGTCCTCACCTCCCGCCCGGACAGTCCTCACCTCCCGCCCGGACAGTCCTCACCTCCCGCCCGGGACAGTCCTCACCTCCCGCTGGGACAGTCCTCACCTCCCGCCCCAACAGGGCCCTCACCTCCCCGCCTGGCCCGGGACGGGCAGGAGAGGCAGGGCCGCTGACAGGAGCCGGAGAACAGCAGGCGGCTGGTGAAATCAAAGCTGCTCGATCCAGGTTCCTCTCGGCCCTGAGAATGGACACCCGGGGCCGGAGCCCACTCCCCCGCCCACCCTACCCCAGGCCCCACCCCCACCGCACCCCAGGCCCCACGCCTGGTGCCTCTGGCTTTGGTCTCAGGTCTGAGCCGCCCGCCCGGCACTCAGCCTCGCCAGCATGTCGGGAGGGTCACGCAGATGGCAGCAGGACTAAGGGTGTGGAGTTTAGTTGGAATTTCACCACCAGCTCGTGTCTTGGGAATCCTTCCCGTGAGGGTGGGGGCCCACAGCGGCCGGGGTCCGCCCCTCGGGGCGGGAAGGAGGGGACAGCGGGCAGCGGAGCGGTGGCTCCTCCACTCCCGCACGGTGGGTGTGAACTCGCCCTGAGGCCCCTGAAGGAAGACAGAGGGACTGGCTTTTCTGCTTCCCGCTCGGCAGCCCTGGACGGGCGAGCATCCGGTGGGCAGCCCGGTGTCCGGCGGCGGCTGAGCGTCCGTCCCTCCCCGCAGGTACGAGTCGCAGACGGCGCTGTACGGGGAGGCCAAGCGGGAGCGCTTCCTGCGGGAGCTGGCGGGGCTGGAGGACGGCGTGGCGCGGGCGCGGGCGCAGGCGCGGGCGCAGCTGGACCGACACGCCGTGCAGCAGGCCGACCGGGTCGACAGGCAGCAGGCGGTAGGTGGCGGGAGCGGCTCGGGCGGAGCCTCGGGGGGGGGGGGGTCCGGGGACTCACGCTCTCCCCGCGGACCGGCGCCCGCAGGCGGAGGACGCGCTGACCTGGGAGCGCCGTGTGTTCGAGGAGCGGATGCGGCGGGCGCCGGAGATCCTGGTGCGGCTGCGCTCGCACACGGTGTGGGAGCGCATGTCCGTGACGCTGTGCTTCACCGCCCAGGGCTTCCCCACGCCCGTGGTGCAGTGGTGAGTGGCCCCGCGTCCCCTGGGAGGCGGCGTGGGCACCTAGGAGGGCACCCGGCCCCTCGCATGGCACGTCTCCTCCTGCAGGTACAAAGACGGCGTCCTGATCAGCCAAGCCGCCGAGCCCGGCAAGTACAGGATCGAGAGCAAGTACGGAGTGCACACGCTGGAGATCCACAGGTGAGCCGTGTGCACACGCGGGAGACCCACAGGTGAGCCGTGTGCACACGCGGGAGACCCACAGGTGAGGGCCGTGTGCACACGCGGGAGACCCACAGGTGAGCCGTGTGCACACGCGGGAGACCCACAGGTGAGCCGTGTGCACACGCGGGAGACCCACAGGTGAGCCGTGTGCACACGCGGGAGACCCACAGGTGAGCCGTGTGCACACGCGGGAGACCCACAGGTGAGCCGTGTGCACACGCGGGAGACCCCGGGTCAGGGCCGTGTGCACACACGGGAGACCCACAGGTGAGCCGTGTGCACACGCGGGAGACCCACAGGTGAGCCGTGTGCACACGCGGGAGACCCCGGGTCAGGGCCGTGTGCACACGCCATGTGCACAGGAGGGCTGAGGTCGGCCAGTGTCCACACTCAGGCTGGGCCGCTCTCCGTGGACGGGCGTCCCAGCTTGTGTGGTCTCTGCGTCAGTGCCTGTGGCTCCGCCTCAGGGTCAGGCCGGAGGGGCCCCCTCACCAGCCCCTCGGGGCCCCGGGAACGGAGATGCGGGGCGGAAGGCGGAGCCACACCGCACACCGGACCCGGGAACGGTGGCTGCGCCTCGTGCCGGGCTCAGCGGGCTGAGCTCCCGCTCTTGGCAGAAGCACGGCCTCGGTGTTCTCCCCGCGGTGAGATGAGAGATGCAGGACCACAGCTCAGAAAGAGGAAGCAAAAGCGAGTCACATGCCCACCCAGTGGCTCGCGTTTCCCTGACACACACACAGGGTCCGGTCTTTTAAACCAACGTGAGCTTCTCTTGTTGTTGTTTTTTTTTACAGAGAGGAAGGGAGAGGGATAGAGAGTTAGAAACATCGCTGAGACAGAATGATTGATAAGCTGCCTCTTGCACACCCCCCACTGGGGATGTGCCTGCAACCAAGGTACATGCCCTTGACCGGAATTGAACCTGCGACCATTCAGTCTGCAGGCAGACGCTCTATCCACTGAGCCACACCGGTTTTGGCCCTTGTTCTTTTTTAAAAAATGTATTTTTATTGATTGCAGAGAGGAAGGGAGAGAGAGTTAGAAACATCAGTGATGAGAGTCAGGGATCGGCTGCCTTCTGCATACCCCCTGCTGGCAGAGGAGCCCACACCCAGGCCTGTGCCAGGACTGGGAATGGAACCGGGACCTCCTGGTTCACAGGGGGACACTCGGCCCCTGAGCACACAGGTGGGTGCCTGTGCTTGGTCTGGTCCTCTGTGAGCACAGTCTTTGTTTTTACAAAAAGGTCCTCACATGATGCCATCCACCCTTCCTCTCCCAACCCCATCCCTATCCTCCAAAACCTGACGCTCACCGTCCCGCAGTTCAGACAGCGCTGTGGCCTGGGCTGGGCCCGGGGACCGTGACCCCGGTCACTGTCTCAGCTCCTTCTGACTGAAAGTGATGACGGAGCTGGGTCATAAAAGTGTCAGCTTCTCCGTGTGCTCTTCTCACGGTGAGACTGACATAGAACACGCCTTTACACGTGTTCTATAAGCACATGGAAATCGCGTGCACAGGAAGTCCTGTCAGATCCTTTCCGGGAGAGGACGGGGCCGTGTAGATAATTCAGGAGCAGGGCCGAAGCCAAGACTCTGACTTGGACGTCTGTGAAAACGTTGTTTATTTTTAGATTTCAGAGAGGAAGGGAGTGGGAGAGGGAGAAGCACCAGGGCTGAGAGAGAATCCTCGACCAGCTGCCTCCTGCACGCCTCGCCCTGGGGATGGAGCCCGCAACCCGGGCCTGTGCCCTGACCGGGAATCGAACCCTGGCCTCCTGGCTCCTGGGCCCACGTCACCGGCCGAACTGTGTGAACAGTTGTTTTGAAGAGAAAAGCTGTTCCCTCTTGGTCTGAAAGGCGTGGCCCCCTGCAGAGGCCTGTGGGCCGGTGCCGGGCCGGCCGTGGGTGGCGGCTCGGACCTGGGCCCATGCACTAGGTTGTGCACGGCAGAGGAGCCCCGAGCCCAGCTCTCAGCAGCGCTCCTGCCTGAATTGGGGTGTAGGTGCAGAGCAGGATGGGGGGGGGGGGTGCACAGGGGTGGGGGGGAGGGGAGGAGGGTGCGTGGGCTGTGCTCAGCTGTCTCCCCAATGTGCTGAGTCCCCGACATCGGATCAGAGGGCCCGGCCGGGGGTGCGGCTGAGGGATGAGCCTCTGTGACAGGAGTGACAGGAGCTCCCAGGAATGTCCTGAGGCCGCGGCAGATTCCTGAGGCGCTGGGAGCAGTGTGGGGCCCTCGTCCCCGGCGCTCGGACTCTGGCCCCACACGGGCGCCTGGTGCTCAGACTCGCCCCGAGACTCCAGGGCGAGTCCCGTTTCCCACGGAATTCCAATCGCTCCTCACGCGGGCACCGGTGCGCCCCTAGCCCTTCCCTCCACTTCTCCCACCTCACCCCACTGCACCCCTACTCCTCCCTCCACCCCTCCCACCTCACTCCACCTCACCCCTACCCCTCCCTCCACCCCTACTCTACTCCCACCTCCACACGGGGACTCCGGGGCCCCCCGGGCCCCTGGGACGTCTGCCTGGCCCTGCCGTCCTGAACCGTCCAGACATGACCGTGGCTGTCACCGCCAGCTGCGTTCCTCCCCGCGGAGCTGGGCTGGGCGGCCTCGGAGGGGGAGCACAGGTCCCAGTGCGGGAGGCACCTGCCAGCACCCGTCCCCGGGTCACCCCAGGGCGAGCTGCTTAGTTAAGCAAAGTGCCCTCAACATCCGCCCGCCCTTCCCACTCCCGCCCCCCCGCAGCCCAGGGGCCGCCCTCCCGGCTCCCGCCCGCACAGGTGCGTTTATTTATAGCCGCCCCGACCGCTGCCGACGGGCCACACCGCGCACAGCCGTCACCAAACGCAGGGAGAGCAGGGCCACCAGAGCCTCCTGCCCCGGGGAGGGGCGAGGGAGTGGGGGGCGGAAGGCTTGGGGGGCTGGGGCCCGTGCACACGCCGGCGGGGGCCACGGCACAGGCGGCACAGGCCCTGCACGGAGGGGAGGCCGGCTCCCAGCTGCGGGCCCAGCTGCTCCTCACTCCGCCCGCCCGCGGGGCGCTAATTGGGAGCGCCGGTGCTAATTGGGGAGCTCTGGTGCTGAGTGCTAGGGCTCTCCCGTTAAGCAGAGCCGGGTGAAAAGCAGGTTAAACCCCCAGGAGCTGGGGCAGGGATTCCGGGAGCTTAGCAGGGCTCCTGCTGGCTCCCTGAGGCAGCTCTCCCCCACGGCCCTCCTCGTACACCCTGGGGGCGGGGGTGACAGGAGCAATGAATCCGGTCCTCAGAGCTCCGAGGCCCGCACCCCGGGCTGTGGAGGCCGTGGAGGGGACGGGGAGTTCAGTGGGTGCTTTCTATGAAGGACAGGCAAGAACCATACAGCCGGCCTGTGTGCTCAGTGGGTAGAGTGTCGGCCAGTGGACCAAAGGGTCCCGGGTTCAATTCTGGTCAAGGGCATGTACCTTGGTTGCAGGCTCCTCCCTGGCCTGGGCCCTGTCTGGCCTGTGCAGGAGACAACCAGTCAGTGTGTTTCTCTTACATCGGCGTTTCTCTGACTGCCCTTCTCTCTGCCAGTCTCCCTAGGAACCAATGGACAAGTATCCTCGGTGAGGATTAACACAAACACACACACATGAAAGATGCAGAGCATTTTCAAAGGCGTTGTTTTGTCTAATCACAGAGTCCCCTGAGTGAAGTGAGGGACTCAATGTATTCGAGCAGCTTTAGATACACACTGTTTAGTCCTGGCCAGCTTGCCCAGCGGTTAGCGCCCTGGCCGGCAGACCGAAGGATTCCAGGTTTGATTCTGGTCAAGGGCACGTACCTCGGTTGCAGGCTCCATCCCTGGCCCTGGTCCGGGTGCGTGTAGGAGGCAGCCAATCGCGGTGTCTCTCTCACATCCATATTTCTCTCTCTGTCTCTCCCCCTCCCTTCCACTCTCTCTACAAACAAATGGAGGAAATATCCTTGGGTGAGGGGAACAGAAGCAGCACCTACTGTGTAGCCTATAGAACAAAAGGCTAATATGCAATTGTCCCTTTGGGAGTTTGACCGGGAGAAGGGGAGGCATGGACCATGGCGGTGACCAGTGGTGGCCGCAGCAGGGCACTGAGGGAGTGAGGGAAGGAGGAGGCAGGGAGGCGGGGAACCTGATCGGCCCTGATCGCTGGCCAGCCTAGGCACCCTGCCTGCGCATGGATTTGTGCACCGGGCCTCTGGCTTGCTGTGAAGTCGGTACCTCACCGGTGTGGGCACAGACACATGGTCTCGGGACAGAGCTGGCGGTGTTCTGAGGCACGGCTTTCGGGAACGAGGACCAAGGCCGCCTGGGGGCTTTTGGGACGCCGTGTGCAGAGGCAGGGCCCTGCTCCTGGGGAATGGCCGACGCCGGCTCTTTCTCTCCCAGGGCCGACTTTGATGACACGGCCACGTACTCCGCCGTGGCCACCAACGTGCACGGGCAGGCGTCCACCAACGCGGCCGTGGTGGTGAAAAGTGAGCGAGTGCCCGGGGACGGGGAGGGGGACGGGGACAGGGATGGGGAGGGGGCCCGCCCCACATCCTCGGCCCTCTCTGCCCACCCCCGTTGCCTTGCAGGGTTCCGAGGGGAAGAGGAGCCGATCCGCTCGATGGGACTCCCAATCGGCTGTAAGTTGGCTTTTCCCCCTTTTAGGCAGAAAAGTATATCCTGACACAGGGCTTCATTAAAAATTTTATTATTATTTTTATTATTATTATTTTACTATATAGATTTGTGGTGATTTCAGAGAGGAAGGGAGAGGGAGAGAGAGAGAGAGAGAAGCATCAGTGATGAGAGAGAATCACGGGCCAGCTGCCTCCTGCACACCCCCTACTGGGGATGGAGTCTGCAACTGGGCCTGTGCCCTGACCGGGAATCGAACCGTGATCTCCTGGCCCATGGGTTGACGCTCAACCACCGAGCCACGCTGGCCGGGCTAGAGTTATTTCCTAAGGTCAGTTTTCCGGAAGGCTCTCCACGCCGCAGCGTCTGCTGGCGTGTGTGCAGTGCCGCCCGTGGGAACCACGGTGCTTTCCATCGGGAAAAGCTTGAACCCACATCCTTGTCCTGGACACAGGCCATGGCCGCCCTTTGGGAGGATAGTTTTCCTTTCCCCAGCCCGCTCACTGCCAGACGCGGCGGACGGCCCTGAGCCGCACCCAGCCTGCCTGGACGGTCCCGGGCCAGGCCCCCGCGTGGACACACCTGTGTCCGCCGCCTCCCGCCCATCGCTAACGCCACGTGGTTCCCTTTCCTCTGCAGCCATGTCCCAGGAGGACGTGGGCGTGTGTCCCCGTGTCCCAGGAGGACGTGGGCGTGTGTCCCCGTGTCCCAGGCGGACGTGGGCGTGTGCCCCCTTTTCCTCCTGTGGAAGTGAGTGTGTGTCCCGTGTCCCAGGAGGACGTGGGCGTGTGTCCCGTGTCCCAGGAGGACGTGGGCGTGTGTCCCGTGTCCCAGAAGGACGTGGGCGTGTGTCCCGTGTCCCAGGAGGACGTGGGCGTGTGTCCCCGTGTCCCAGGAGGACATGAGCGTGTGTCCCGTGTCCCAGGAGGACGTGGGCGTGTGTCCCCGTGTCCCAGGAGGACATGAGCGTGTGTCCCGTGTCCCAGGAGGACGTGGGCATGTGTCCCGTGTCCCAGGAGGACGTGGGCGTGTGTCCCGTGTCCCAGGAGGACGTGAGCGTGTGTCCCGTGTCCCAGGAGGACGTGGGCGTGTGTCCCGTGTCCCAGGAGGACGTGGGCGTGTGTCCCCGTGTCCCAGGAGGACATGAGCGTGTGTCCCGTGTCCCAGGAGGACGTGGGCGTGTGTCCCCGTGTCCCAGGAGGACATGAGCGTGTGTCCCGTGTCCCAGGAGGACGTGGGCATGTGTCCCGTGTCCCAGGAGGACGTGGGCGTGTGTCCCGTGTCCCAGGAGGACGTGAGCATGTGTCCCGTGTCCCAGGAGGACGTGGGCGTGTGTCCCGTGTCCCAGGAGGACGTGGGCATGTGTCCCGTGTCCCAGGAGGACGTGAGCGTGTGTCCCGTGTCCCAGGAGGACGTGAGCGTGTGTCCCGTGTCCCAGGAGGACGTGGGCGTGTGTCCCCGTGTCCCAGGAGGACATGAGCGTGTGTCCCGTGTCCCAGGAGGACGTGGGCATGTGTCCCCGTGTCCCAGGAGGACATGAGCGTGTGTCCCGTGTCCCAGGAGGACGTGGGCATGTGTCCCGTGTCCCAGGAGGACGTGGGCGTGTGTCCCGTATCCCAGGAGGACGTGGGCGTGTGTCCCGTGTCCCAGGAGGACGTGAGCGTGTGTCCCGTGTCCCAGGAGGACGTGAGCGTGTGTCCCGTGTCCCAGGAGGACATGGGCGTGTGTCCCGTGTCCAAGGAGGACGTGGGCATGTGTCCCCGTGTCCCAGGAGGATGTGGGCGTGTGTCCCGTGTCCCAGGAGGACGTGAGCGTGTGTCCCGTGTCCCAGGAGGATGTGGGCGTGTGTCCCGTGTCCCAGGAGGACGTGGGCGTGTGTCCCGTGTCCCAGGAGGACGTGGGCGTGTGTCCCCGTGTCCCAGGAGGACGTGGGCGTGTGTCCCGTGTCCCAGGAGGACGTGGGCGTGTGTCCCGTGTCCCAGGAGGACGTGGGCGTGTGTCCCCGTGTCCCAGGAGGACATAAGCGTGTGTCCCCGTGTCCCAGGAGGACATGAGCGTGTGTCCCGTGTCCCAGGAGGATGTGGGCGTGTGTCCCCGTGTCCCAGGAGAACGTGGGCGTGTGTCCCGTGTCCCAGGAGAACGTGGGCGTGTGTCCCGTGTCCCAGGAGGACGTGTGTCCCCGTGTCCCAGGAGGACGTGGGCCTTCCCGTGACCGTCCCCCCTCCGCAGTGCCCTTGCCGTCCGTGGTTCCGTACACGCACTTTGACGTCCAGTTCCTGGAGAAGTTCGGGGTGACCTTCCGGAGAGAGGGCGAGACGGTCACGCTGAAGTGCACGCTGCTGGTGACGCCGGACCTGAAGCGCGTGCAGCCGCGGGTCGAGTGGTTCCGGGACGGTGAGTCCGGCAGCCGGGGCCTGCCTGCACGGGGAGACCAGCACTCGTGTCGCTGTTAATCCTCAGCCGGTGATATTTCCCAGGGACTTAGAGAGAGCGGAGGGAGGGGGAGACAGACAGAGAAACACGGTGAGAGAGCCATCAGTTGGTGCCTCCCACACGCACCCGACCGGAGCCGGGGAGCCTGCCGCAGAGGTAGGTGCCCTTGTATGGAGTCGGGCCCAAGACCCTCCGGTCCACGGTCCGGGGCACTGTCCACTGAGCCACACCGGCCAGGGCTGGGGAACCACGTGGACAGGGGCCTCGCTCTTCTCGCCGGCGTGGCCCTCTGCCCATGCAGCGTCCCGCGAACCCACTGAGGCCTTGCTTCCCCATAGGCTCTGTGACCCGGCTCTCAGTCCGTAGAGCCTGGGGCGCCCCATGTGGGCACGGTGGGCACGGCGGGCAGGGGTTCAGGGGCACGGGGGCGGGGCCTGGTACAGGGGCGGGCCTGGTGCAGGTGCTCCTGGCTGACCTCCCCACCTTGTAGATGTGCTGCTGAGGGACGCGGGCAGGGGGACGCGGGCAGGGGGACGCGGGCAAGGGGACGCGGGCAGGGGGACGCGGGCAGGGGGATGTGGGCAGGGGGACGCGGGCAGGGGGACGCGGGCAGGGGGACGTGGGCACGGAGATGTGGGCAGGGGGACGTGGGCAGGGGGATGTGGGCACGGGGGCGGGGCCCGGTGTGGGCAGGGGGACGCGGGCAGGGGGATGTGGGCACAGGGATGTGGGCACGGGGATGTGGGCACGGGGGCGGGCCCGGTGTGGGCAGGGGGACGTGGGCACGGGGATGTGGGCACAGGGATGTGGGCACGGGGATGTGGGCACGGGGGCGGGCCCGGTGTGGGCAGGGGGACGTGGGCAGGGGGATGTGGGCAGGGGGACGTGGGCACGGGGATGTGGGCACGGGGGCGGGCCCGGTGTGGGCAGGGGGACGTGGGCACGGGGATGTGGGCACGGGGGCGGGCCCGGTGTGGGCAGGGGGACATGGGCACGGGGATGTGGGCAGGGGGACGTGGGCAGGGGGACGTGGGCACGGAGATGTGGGCAGGGGGACGTGGGCAGGGGGATGTGGGCACGGGGGCGGGCCCGGTGTGGGCAGGGGGACGTGGGCACGGGGATGTGGGCATGGGGGCGGGCCCGGTGTGGGCAGGGGGACGTGGGCACGGGGATGTGGGCACGGGGGCGGGCCTGGTGTGGGCAGGGGGATGTGGGCAGGGGGATGTGGGCACGGGGACGTGGGCACGGGGATGTGGGCACGGGGGCGGGCCCGGTGTGGGCAGGGGGACGTGGGCACGGGGGCGGGCCCGGTGTGGGCAGGGGGATGTGGGCACGGGGACGTGGGCACGGGGATGTGGGCACGGGGGCGGGCCTGGTGTGGGCAGGGGGATGTGGGCAGGGGGATGTGGGCACAGGGATGTGGGCACGGGGATGCGGGCACGGGGGCGGGGCCCGGTGTGGGCAGGGGGACGTGGGCACGGGGATGCGGGCACGGGGGCGGGCCCGGTGGGCGCTCGCAGGCTGACCCCCCCCCCCCCCCGCAGACGTGCTGCTGCGGGAGTCGCCGTGGACGCGGATGTTCTTCGGGGAGGGCCAGGCGGCGCTGTCCTTCAGCCAGCTCAGCAAGGACGACGAGGGCCTGTACACCCTGCGCGTGCTGTCCCGCGGCGGCGTGCGCGAGCACCGCGCCTTCCTCTTCGTCAGAGGTCCGGCCCCGGCGGGGCCCCGGGGGGCGGGGGGCCTGGGGAGCAAGGGGACTCCGGGGAGCGGCGGGCCGGGGCGGGGGGACCCCGGGGAGCAGGGGGACCCCAGGGAGCGGCGGGCCGGGGCGGGGGGACCCCGGGGAGCAGGGGGGTCCCAGGGAGCGGGGGGACCCCGGGGAGCGGCGGGCCGGCGGGCTCCAGGCCTGGGGGGGTGGCTCGGGGAGAGGCGGGCGGGCGGCAGCGGTGGTGACGGTTACCTGTCCCAGGCGCCCGGGAACTCTGAAAGGATGTGTTGGCTCCATGTCCAGAGCCTCAGCTTCCAGGCGCTGAGGACGGAGCAGGACCAGGAGGCTCAGGGTGGGGGGGGCACCCCAGGTCCCCAATTCCCATGGATTCAGGTCTCCATGGTTCCGGGGTCCCCAGCTGGTGTTCAGCTTCAGCGCGGGCGGCCTCCCTGCACAGGCACGCCCAGCGGGATGAGCGAGCGGAGGGCGGGGCCCACACGTGTGCTCAGCGGGTTCCTGTCCTCCAAGGACTCTGAAATAGCTGAGCTCCATGGTCACTCCCAGCTGCTGAAGAGGCCACATTTTTGCTATTGTTTCTTCTGTGAATCCCCCCATTTTCATTTTTGTTTTTTGAGAGAGAGTGGGAGAGGGAGAGACCGAGAGAAACATTGATGTGAGAGAAGCTCATCGATTGGTTGCCTCCTGCAGGCCCTGCACTGGGGATGGAGCCCACAACCCGGCGTGTGCCCTGACCGGGACTCAAACCGTGACCTCCTGGTTCAAAGGTCGACGCTCAGCCACGGCGCCATGGGGCCCAGCTCACCAGACTTTACGGTGTCCCATCCAGAGCCTCTCATCACAGCCCCCTCTCCACCCCCCCCAGATGCGGACCCGCTGGTCACGGGGGCTCCGGGCGCGCCCGTGGACGTGAGGTGCCACGACGCCAACCGCGATTATGTCATTGTCACCTGGAAGCCGCCCAACACCACCTCCGAGGGCGCCGTCATCGGCTACTTCGTCGACCGGTGAGTGCCTCGGCTCTCACGGCGGGTGTTCCTGAATGTTCCACGAGGTACACGGACACGGTACTGGACCAGACGTCCTACAATCGGCTCACGACACCATTCTCTAAATGGATTTGTAAATTGATGTCAGGGAGGAAGGGAGAGGGAGAGGGAGAGAAACATCCATGAGGAGAGAGAATCATTGATTGGCTGCTCTTGTACGCCCTCTACAGGGGATGGAGCCCACAGCCCGGGCCTGTGCCCTGACCAGAATCAATTAACCAAGCTCCTTGTTTAGCTAACATGCTCGTGTCAGGGTGTATTCCCATCCCTGGAGTCAGACCTGAAGCACAGCGGGGGTCGGTCAGGGTTTACTTGGAATTTGAAAAGCAGAAAACAAGAGCTGTTTTCGGTTTTCCTGTTTGATCATTTCCCCAACTCTCTGGCCAGGTGGCTCCATGCACCTTCCCGGGTAATAATCCCCCATTAGAAAGATAAAGACACAGCCCAGCTGGTGTGGCTCCGTGGCTAAGCATCGACCGATGAACCAGGAGGTCCAGTATCAATTTCTGGTCAGGGCACAGGCCCGGGTTGTGGGCTCAATCCCCAGTGGGGGCCGTGCAGGAGGCAACCAATCTAAGGTTCTCTCATCATGGATGTTTCCATCTCTCTTCCTCTCCTGCCCTCTCTCTGAAATCAGTAAAAACATATTTAAACCCCCTGATAAAAACACAGAGCTCGGTCGAAACTGGTTTGGCTCAGTGGATAGAGCATCTGTCTGCGGACTGAAGGGTCCCAGGTTCGATTCCGGTCAAGGGCATGGACCTTGGTTGCAGGCACATCCCCAGTGGGAGGTGTGCAGGAGGCAGCTGATGGATGTTTCTCTCTCATCGATGTTTCTAATTCTCTGTCCCTCTCTCCTCCTCTCTGTAAAAAATCAATCAAATATATTAAAAAAAAAAAAAAACCAACACCGAACTCGGCTGCAGCAGACTAGCATGTGTGGGTCAGAGGACTTTCATCAACAATTCTGCCTAATTAGGGAAAAGAGAATGGATTCTTTTAAAAAAAATACATTTTATATTGATCTTTTATGATGCAGCTGCTACTCTTGCCTCTCTTCTCTCCGAAGGTGTGAGGTGGGCACCAACAACTGGGTGCAGTGCAACGACGCCCCCGTCAAAGTCTGCAAGTACCCGGTGACGGGGCTGCTGGAGGGCCGGTCCTACGAGTTCCGCGTCCGCGCCATCAACAGCGCCGGCGTCAGCCGGCCGTCCCGCGCCTCGGAGGCCGTGGCCGCCCTCGACCCCGCCGACCTCCAGAGGTTACACGGTGGGTCCCTAAAGGGTCAGGTCCGGCTCGGACCGGGGCACAGGGGGCCGTGCTGTGTGAGTCTTCCTTTCTCCCTGCCCCGACGGCGCCTGAGCCTCAGGACATGGTCATGGGTGGGAGGGCCAGAGAGGGCCAAGGTGTCCCATGGCCTCCCGGCCTCCGTGGTCTCCCCGGTCCTCCTGTGGTCTCCGTGGCGTCCTGTGGCCTCCATGGTCTCCCGTGGCTCCTGTGAGTGCCCTGGGGGCATGGAAGCAGGCCACGATGTATTCCTCAGGGTACCTTCCTGCCACTCTCCACCGGAATCCGGTTCCCGGAGAACCGGGCTTTGCCAGGCCCACGGAGGGTGTAGTTACATCACACGAGGGGGAAGGGATGGAAACCTAGCCACTCTGTTCTGGAATTTCAGTTTTACACGATGCAGGCTCCCTAACGGGCTGGGACCCTAGTTATGCTCTTAAGGGAGCCCCTGCGTGTCCCTTACCTGCATGGCCTCTTGAGTCCACTGTAAAGAGCTGCAAGTGCTGCCCTGACCGGTGTGGCTCAGTGGATGGAGCATCTGCCTGCGGACTGAAAGGTCCCGGGTTCGATTCCGGTCAAGGGCATGTACCTCGGTTGCGGGCACATCCCCAGTGGGGGGTGTGCAGGAGGCAGCTGATTGATGACTCTCTCTCATTGATCTTTCTAACTTTCTATCCCTCTCTCTTCCTCTCTGTAAAAAATCGATAAAATATATTTTTAAAATAATAACAATAATAATAAAGAGCTGCAGGTGCTGGATGTTGTCAGAACCATTTCCCCCGAGGACCTCAGGGCAGCAGCATGCCGTCCTCATCGGAGGAAAGGCCACGTGTGCCTCCTAGCAGCGAGGGAGATGGTGCTTTTTAAATGTTTCTGTTGATGTCGGAGAGGAAGGGGAGGGAGAGAGAGAGAGAGAAACATCCGTGATGGGAGAGAATCACTGACCGGCTGCCTCCTGCACGCCCCCTTCTGGTGATTAATCCCGCAACCCGGGCCTGTACCCTGACCTGGAATCACACCGTGACCTCCTGGTTCATGGGTCGATGCTCAACCTCTGAGTCACACCCGGCGGGCGAAATAGTGCTTTTTTTCAAGGGACCTTTGGGTGTCAAACTTAGCATCACCCTTTCTCTCTGCAGCCGTCCGCCTGGGGGAAGACAAAGAGATTGTGATCTCTCAGGATGAGCTTGAAGGTAAGCCGCCCTCAGCCCCAGGGACTGAGGTCGCCATTGGAGGCAGGAGAGAGGGGGAACGTGCTTGTGTGGCAGGGACAGTCTTACAGGTGAATTAGCACCAGGGGCCCGGCCTGCAGGCTTAAGGCCCGGGAAGCTGGAAACCATGCCAGGCAGAAGGAGGGAGCGAGGGTGGGGGTCCATGTGGCCGCCGTGGGCACTCACTGCTGTGTTATGTGGGGTCCAGGGACGCATTCTTTTGGGGATGGGGAGAGAGGCTGGGGAAGGGCTGGAGCCTGCTCCCCTCTCGCTCCGTCCGTTCCTGGGCGAGGGCTCAGTGCTGTCTGGGCAGAAGCTTTTCTTCTAACATTTCCCTAAGCGGACTGGCCTTCCCCGGCAAATCACGTCCCTGTTGGCCTTCCACGCTTCTTCACAGTCCTCCCCCGGACGTCCAGAGAGGCCGACTGACCGAGAAGGAGCATCTGGCCTTATTGGTCCGAAACCCAAAGATTTCAGTTGGGCCCAGAGTCAGAGGACAAAGCATGACCGTCCTATATAATCAAAGCCTAACATGCTGAGGGTCCCGTTGTCATTGGCCGTTCAACCAATCAAAGTGACACAGGCTAATGATATGCTCAGGCCACTCCACCGCTTGCTATGACGTGCACTGCCCACATGGACGCTCGGCCCCTCCGGGCCTCACCTGGGCCAGACTCACCCGCGCTCGCCGCTGTCTCCCTGCAGGCGACGTGCTGATCCCGGGGCCGCCCACCAACGTGCACGCCTCCGAGGTCAGCAGGACCTACGTGGTCCTCAGCTGGGAGCCCCCCGCGCCCCGGGGCAGGGAGCCCCTGACCTACTTCATCGAGAAGGTACGCCCCATCCCGAGGCCTCCTGTCACCGGGCCACTCTGCCACGCGGGGGCCTCAGAGACGGGCCGCTCCTGAGTCCGTCACAGAGCCGTCCGTCCGATCTGGGAGGGAGGCTCCTGCCGGCACCTGTGGGCAGTGAGCGAGGTCCCGGGCTCGGGGACTGGCCCGGCTCTGCCCCCTGCCCCCCATTCCTCTCCTCCCCCCTCCCCAGCAAGCCCGTCCCGCCCCTCCCGTCAGGAGGCTGAGTCCCCACCTATAGGGCGGCCCCGGTCGTAGTCTTCCCCCAAACACCAGGCGGCGGGCCCGGGAGGGTTTGATCAGAAGCCGCGTGGCCATGGTGGTGGCCAGTAGAGGGTCCACACTCCCGTGGCCGTGGCCAGGCAGCCGCTCTGGTCAGACACAGACCAGCTGGGGCCCTGACCGGGCGTTCTCAGGGTTAGAGTGTCCACCCGGGGACCGGAGGGTTGTGGGTTTGATTCTGGTCAAGGGCGTGCACCTCATTGCAGGCTGGATTCCCCCTCTGGTTGGGGTGCCTGTGGGGAGGCAGCCAGTCGGTGTGTCTCTCTCACATCGATGTTTCTCTCCCCGCCCTTCCCTCACTCCCTAAAAAACAATGGAAAAATATCCTTGGGTGAAGACGAACAACAGCAGCAAAAAAAAAAACAAAAAAAGGAAAGAAATAGCCGGCCCTGGAACACACATATGACACACAGACACACATGCACATACACACAAATACACGCACACACACCCATACACACATACATACACATGCATGCACATACACACACAAACACACATATGCACACGTACCCACACACATACATACACATGCATGCACATACACATAGGTACACACATGCACACACACACACCCACCCAACAAACCTCACACCCTCTGCACATGCCGTGGACCGCCTCCCGCTGTCTGTCCTTGGCGCTCGAAGCGTGGTGTCAGCGGCTGGCATGGCCGCCCTGGCCGCAGGCGGAGCCGTGGCAGATCCCCTGTGGCCACGAGAAGCCGTGGGGAGCCAGAGTCACGTGACTCAATCATTTGCTCTCGAGCGAGAAGGCTGTTGGCCAACATTTTCCACTTTAAGTAATTCTCCCCTCTCACACCGGCTTCCCTTTCGTACACACCACAAAAGGTGTTTGAGGGCCCGGGGTCGGAGGAGGGGACGGGCACCCCACTGAAGGACAGGCAGTTCCTGGTTCCCTCTGACCAGCTGGGGGGGGCATCAAGACCCCGTCTCAGCCCCTCTCCCCGCGGTCCATGGTCACAGCCCCTCCACGGTCACACCCCTCCACGGTCACCCCCTCTCCCCGCAGTCCATGGTGGGCAGCGGCAGCTGGCAGCGGGTCAATGCCCAGACGGCGGTCCGGTCGCCGCGCTATGCCGTCTTCGACCTCGCCGAGGGGAAGCCCTACGTGTTCCGGGTTCTGTCTGCCAACAAGCACGGGCTGAGCGACCCGTCGGAGATCACGCCCCCCATCCAGGCCCAGGAGACCACGGGTGAGCGTGACCACGCGGCTGGGGTCAGGACGGGCCTGAGTGGGACGGGGCGGGGCCTGGGGTCAGGGGCCCTGAGCAGGACGGGGCGGGGCCCGGGGTCAGGATGGGTCAGAGGGGGACGGGGCAGGGCCCGGGCTCAGGGGCGGGTGTCCAGGGTTCAGGGGCCCTGAGGGGACGGGGCGGGGCCCGGGCTCAGGATGGCCTGAGTGGGACGGGGCGGGCCCGCGGCTCCGGGCGGTGAATACGCTAGCCCCGCCCCACAGGAGCTGCCATTCACGTGACCAGAGAGGAGCCCCCGGGCCTCACTTTGGCCCTTTCTCAGCCTTTCTCCCGAGCCTCATCGGGGGAACTGAGGAATGGGTGACACGTTTAGGCAGTGGTCACTTTAAAAAACCCAGTCCCACCGGCTGGCGTGGCTCTGGGGCTGAGCTCCTAGGAACCAGGAGGTCACGGTTGATACCCGGTCGGGGCACAGGCCCGGGCTGCGGGCTCCATCCTCAGTGGGAGGCGTGCAGGAGGCAGCTGGTCTGTGATTCCCTCTCATCATAGATGTTTCCCTCTCTCTCCCTCTCCTTTTCTCTCTGAAGCCAATAAAAATTATGTTTATAAATTCCGAGTCCCTGGATGGACTGGAGTATCTGTCTGTCTGGTTGAGGCCCCCACACGGTGGCTCGCTAGCCGTGGCTAGCCGCTCTGTGGGCTAGCGAGTTAGCCAACCGCCGTCCTGGTGAACTCGTGCTTTGAGTCTGAGTTCCGTCAGAGATGTCGGGACGGGTGGTGACAGGCTGCCTTGCCGTGGGCAGTCTTCTGTTTCAGCCAAGTTCCCTCCGCTCAGCCAAAGCGCCCGTGTTCCCGGAAGGTCCCTCACCGTCCGGGTGGAGGGATGGGAGATTCCATGATTGTCCCCCCTTTTCCGTGGGGTCAGGTAGGGTCCCCAGGGAGGATGGAGACACCCAGCAGGCACCCCTGGGCCCTTGGAGGGTTCGCCTGCCCTCGTGTTCCTCCTCGTTTTACCTAAAGGCCTGAACGTGGCCCGCCACGCCCCGTGGGCTGGGAGGCCGTGGCGCGTCTCCCGGAACCCCAGTATCCCTGACTGTGTCCCCGTCCGCCTCCCCCGCGCAGTCGCCCCCTCGGCGCCCGGCCGGGTCCTCGTCTCCCGGGACACGAAGACGTCGGTCGTGGTGGAGTGGGACCGGCCCAAGCACCACGAGGACCTGCTCGGCTACTACGTGGACTGCTGCGTGGCCGGCTCCAACGTGTGGGAGCCCTGCAACCACAAGCCCATCGGCTACAACAGGTGCGGCCCTCCCCGCCGTCCCGAGGCCCCGGCCGCTGCCTGCGGCAAAGTTCAAGGTGCAAAACCGAGTTAGGAGCCACCGGGCCCGCTGGCAGCGCGGCCCACGTGGACACGGCCCCGAGGAGGCTGCCCACGCCGAGCCCGGCTCGTTTCCACGGGGGGTGGGTTTGCAGCCCATGAGCTCGTTCCTAGCACCTGGCTTAGGGGGTTCCTGCTGACGACCTCACAGGCATTTCCGTTTTGCCCTTGACCTCACTGGGATGTCCGATTTGCCTTGAATGGAGAATTAGAACAGCAGCCGTGACGTGGAAGGGTTTTATTCTCCCATTTTAACTTTCTGAATGCTTGAAGTGGCTCCGTTCACATCCCTGGCCGTCCCTTCTCCAGCGGCAATCGGGACTGATCCTGGGGCCTGGCTCCTCCCACCGGGGGCACCGGCACCCCCATCTCCGCCCGCCATCCATTCCCCCCGCTTCTCAAGGAGCGGGCGGGGGCGTCCCAGTGAGGGAGGGCCCCCAGGGCACGCGGTCCACGTGGCCGAGTTACCAATTCTGGCTCAGCTGTCATTCCTTTCAAACACTTTGTGTTTTTACGGAGGCACTTGGGCGCGCTGAGGTTCACTGAGGAGGAGAACAGTTTTACTCCGTCCTTAGCTGGACCCCAGGAGGCTGTCTCAGAGCAAAGCCCTCCGCACAGTCCTCTGGCGGAGGGTTACCGATGGTTACCATGCTGCAGACTCCAGAGACCCATGGCACTTTATACATTGTAATTTAAATGACGAATTATACATTTACTGAGCTCTTACCGCAGGCAAAGCACCTGAGCTGAGGTCTTTAAAAAATATCACACACACACACACACACACACACACACACTTGTACACTGAGTGGCCACCTTATTATCTCTGAACACAAAATAATCTGGCCACTCAGAGTGTGTGTGTGTGTGTGTGAATTCATGCACTGGGCCTCTAATATGCTGAGGCCCGGTGCATGAATCCACGCATGGGTGGGGTCCAGCCAGCCTGCCCAGGGGGAGGGGACATGGGCGGTTGACTGGTATGCCTGCTGGTCAAACTCCTGGTCAAGGGACAATTTGAATCTAAACTTTTTATAGGATAAACACTGAGTGGCCAGATTATTATGTGTTCAGAGATCATCATCATCTGGCCACTCAGTGTATATATATTTTAAATATATTTTTATTGAGGGAGGGAGGGGATGGGTGGGAGGGAGGAAGGGGGGTAAAAAAAAAATCAATAAAATATGTAAAAAAAAAAATCAATAAAATATGAAAAAATAAAATAAAAAAAGAAAAAAAAATAAATATATTTTTATTGATTTCAGGGAGAGAGAGAGACAGAGACATCAGTGATGAGAGAGAATCACTAACTTATAAGACCCTCCCGAGCCCGTCTTGGTGAAGGGGGGAAGGCCACGCCGCTGCCACGCCCTGTCTCCCCAGGTTCGTGGTGCACGGCCTGACCACGGGCGAGCAGTACATGTTCCGCGTGAAGGCTGTGAACGCCGTGGGCACCAGCGAGAACTCGCAGGAGTCAGACCCCATCAAGGTCCAGGCCGCGCTCAGTGAGTCCGCCAGCTCCGTGTCCTCCTGCCGGGCGGGGGCGGGGCTTCTGCCGACACACACGTGGGCAGCGTGGGCAGCGTCACCGAGAGAGGGCGGCGTGAACCGCCCCCAGAGAACGTGGGCTCTGCGGGACCCGCTCACAGGCACCTGTGTGCAGATTAGGATAACAGTTTGCAGCCAGACAGCTCAGGGCATCCGGGGAGCCGAGGACCATGTTTATGTTCTCACCCTGTACCCTGGGAGCTGGGAGCTGAGGACCAGGGATTAGGTTCTTTTTTTAAAATTTTTATTTTATTTTTTTAAAACATATTTTATTGATTTTTTACAGAGAGGAAGAGGGAGGGATAGAGAGTTAGAAACATCAATGAGAGAGAATCATTAATCAGCTGCCTCTTGCACACCCCCTACTGGGGATGTGCCCGCAACCAAGGTACATGCCCTTGACCGGAATCGAACCCGGGACCTTTCAGTCCGCAGGCTGATGCTCTATCCATTGAGCCACACCGGTCTCGGTGGGGGTTAGGTTCTTGTCCTCTGATGAGAGGAGCTTGCTGGCAGCTCACCTGAGTCTCAGGGAGCAGAGGGCGCCCCATATAGCAACTCAGTGTTGGGTGAAGGGAGCAGAGACACCTCCTCTCCGCCCATGAGAGAAGAGGGTCCCCCCACAAGGCGGGGTTCACACAGGAGCCCCGACCTCCTTCTCCCCGGAAGCCGGAACCTGATGACCCTGCAGGACAGGGAGGTTCCCTGGGGCCTCTGGCCGAGGGCGGCTGCCGCACCTCACAGGGTTGAGGGGGAAGGGGATGGGGGAGAGGACTGGGGGAGGGGAGGGAGGGGCCAGCCCCCCGGCTTTACTCGTCGGCGGGAGAGTCCTGTTTCCATGCCCAGGCCACTCTGACGCCATCATCGCCCTGGAATCTTCCGAACAGTCGAGGGGAGGGTTGTTGGGAATATATGTGAGAGGACTTTATAGGTTTTATTGATTTCAGAGCGAAGGGAGAGGGAGAGAGATACACCATGGATGAAGGCAATCATGGATCAGCTGCCCCCTGCACATCGATACTAGGGACCGAGCCCGCTACCCAGGCCTGTGCCCTGACTGGGAACCGAACCCTGACCTCCTGGGTCATAGGTCACACTCATCCCCTGAGCACGCCGGCTCTGAGAGCATTTCCCAACTTTCCCGGAAAAGAGAGAAACAGAGATGGTGACGAGGTCGCCGGGAGAGGGGCGGGGGCCGCGCCCAGGGCCACGTCCCGTGGCTGGCCGTGGCCGCAGTGGATGGTGACGGGCCGTGGCCGTGGTAACGTGGCGTCCCCACAGCCGTGCCCTCCCACCCGGTCGGGATCACGCTGCTGAGCTGCGACGGCCGCTCCATGACGCTGGGCTGGAAGGAGCCGCGGTTCAGCGGGGGCACACCCGTGCTGGGCTACTTCGTGGACAAGCGCGAGGCCCAGCACCACAGCTGGCACGAGGTCAACGCCGCGCCAGTGCGAGAGCGGCTCCTGACGGTGCGTGCGGGCATCCGGCTCCGCGGGGCGCATGGGAGCCGGCGACAACCCGGTCACACACCGCCACTTCCCGGGCCTGGGGCCGGGGCCGTGGGGTTGGGACTGTGGGGCCAAGGCTGTGGGACTGGGGCCCTGGGGCTGTGGCTGTGGGGCTGGGGCTAGGGGGCCATGGGGACATGGCCTGGGGATGGGGGGCCCTGGGGCTGGGACTGTGGGTCTGGGGCCGTGGGGCTGGGACTGTGGGTCTGGGGCCGTGGGGCTGTGGCTGTGGGTCTGGGGCCGTGGGGTTGGGACTGTGGGGCCGGGTTGTGGGACTGGGGCCCTGGGGCTGTGGCTGTGGGGCTGGGGCCGTGGGGCTGGGACTGTGGGGCCGGGTTGTGGGGCTGGGACTGTGGGTCTGGGGCCGTGGGGCTGGGACTGTGGGTCTGGGGCCGTGGGGCTGGGGCTGTGGGTGTGGGGCCGTGGGGCTGTGGCTGTGGGGCCAGGTTGTGGGACTGGGGCCCTGGGGCCGGGGCCGTGGGGCTGGGGCTGTGGGTGTGGGGCCGTGGGGTTGGGACTGTGGGGCCGGGTTGTGGGGCTGGGACTGTGGGTCTGGGGCCGTGGGGCTGGGGCTGTGGGTCTGGGGCCGTGGGGTTGGGACTGTGGGGCTGGGGCTAGGGGGCCATGGGGACATGGCCTGGGGATGGGGGGCCGTGGGGCTGGGGCTGTGGGTCTGGGGCCGTGGGGCTGGGGCTGTGGGTCTGGGGCCGTGGGGCTGGGACTGTGGGTCTGGGGCCGTGGGGCGGGGCTGTGGGGCCGGGTTGTGGGGCTGGGGATCTGTGGGGCCGGGGCCATGGGGCTGGGCTGTGGGGCCGGGAGGGTCTCGGGCGTTTTCCTTTCTCTCTGAGAAGCAGCGCGAGAAGGACAGGCAGGTGAGTGAGTGGCGGGCGGCCCGGTGGTGACGCCGAGGATGGTGATGGGTGCCCAGGCCCCGGCGGGGCCCCGGCAGGTGCCTGATCCCCGGACGGGCCAGTCAGACAGCTGGCAGCCCCGCCTTGCGGTCGCTGTCTCCGTGTCCAGGCCAGCGGCCGGCGCCTGCCCCGCGGTGGCTGACTCTCCCCACCTGACAGGTGGAGGGCTTGACCGAGGGCGCGTCCTACGAGTTCAAGATCGCCGCCTCCAACCTGGTGGGCATCGGGCAGCCCTCGGACCCCAGCGAGCACTTCCTGTGCGAGGCCTGGACAGCGCCCGAGCCGGGTAGGGCTGCTCCCTCGACCGTCCCCCCACCCCACCTCGCACCTGGGACGGCCAGGGGGACGGCCAGGGGGACGGCCAGGGGGACAGTCAGGGGAATGGCCATAGGGACGGCCAGGGGGACGGCCAGAGGGGACAGAGGGGACAGTCAGGGGGACGGCCAGAGGGACGGCCAGGGGGATGGCCGGAGGGACAGCCAGAGGGACAGCCAGGGGGACGGCCAGGGGGACGGCCAGAGGGACGGCCAGGGGGACAGTCAGGGGGACGGCCAGAGGGACAGTCAGGGGGACGGCCAGAGGGGACAGAGGGGACAGCCAGGGGGACGGCCAGGGGGGACGGCCAGGGGGGACGGCCAGAGGGACGGCCAGAGGGACGGCCAGGGGGACAGTCAGGGGGACGGCCAGAGGGGACAGAGGGGACGGCCAGGGGGACGGCCAGGGGGGACGGCCAGGGGGGACTGCCAGGGGGGACGGCCAGAGGGACGGCCAGAGGAACAGCCAGAGGGGACAGTCAGGGGGATGGCCAGAGGGGACAGAGGGGACGTCCGGAGGGGACGGCCAGAGGAACGTCCTGCATGCAGGGGGCTGACTGGTCCCCCCTCCTCCAGGCCCCACCTACGACCTGACCTTCTGCGAGGTCCGGGACACCTCGCTGGTGCTGCTGTGGAAGGCGCCCGTGTACACGGGCAGCGGCCCGGTGACCGGCTACTTCGTGGACTACCGGGAGGAGGGCTCCGAGGAGTGGACCCCCGTCAGCGAGGCGCCCACGGCTAACCGCTACCTGAAGGTGAGGCGCCTGAGCAACTGCCTCCGGGAGCGGGCTCCGTCCCATGGCCACAGCGGCCGGACCGGGGGTGCCCGGGGGACCCTCAACGCCGAGGCCCTGGGGACGGTGTGCGAGCTTCCTTCCTGCCCCGAGCACGGCCTGGGCGCCGGGCGGCACTGAGCGAGGAAGGGCTCAGACCTGCCTGTGTGTGGGCGCCGACCACGCCGTCCACGCCGTCCACACTGTCCACACTGTCCACGGGGCGTGGGTATCGATCGTTCTCCCCGCCCAAGCCCTGCACTGACTGCTTAGCTCACGGGTTGCTAATAAAGGCTTTGAAGAAAATGTTTTTATTGATGTCAGAGAGGAAGGGAGAGGGAGAAACACCAATGATGAGAGAGGATCATGGACCAGACCAGCTGCCTCCTGCACGCCCCTCTACTGGGAATGGAGCCCGCAGCCCAGGCCTGTGCCCTGACCAGGAATCGAACCCTGGCCTCCTGATTCCCGGGTCGATGATCAACCCCCGGCCATGCCGGCCGGGCAGGAACACATTTATTATTATTTTTTTTTGAGAAAGCATGTTCACCACAAGTTGCGGAAAACAGCACAGCTCCCTTCTTTTCTCTCTCGGGCGGCGCCCCGCCCTGCAGGTGTGTGAACTGCAGCAGGGCCACAGCTACGTCTTCCGCGTGCGGGCAGCCAACGCCAGCGGCGTGGGGAGGCCGTCCGAGCCCTCGGAGCCCGTGCTGCTGGAGGCCCGGCCGGGTGAGCGGGGGCGGGCCGCAGGCTTCCGGAGGGACCCCGAGTCACCCTGAGTTACCCGGGTTACGGCGTGAGTGTGGACGAGCCCCCGCTCAGGCCCGGTCAGGCCCCGTCAGGCCCCATCAGGCCCGGTCAGGCCTGGTCAGGCCCCGACAGGCCCGGTCAGGGCTCTGCGAGGAGGCCCACAGGAGAGAGTGCCCCCGTCCGCGTGGTCACCGGGGTCCTCGCCCCGCAGGCACGAAGGAGGTCAGCGCGGGGGTGGACGAGGAGGGCAACATCTACCTGAGCTTCGACTGCCCCGAGATGACCGACGCCTCCCGCTTCACCTGGTGCAAGGCCTACGAGGAGCTCGCCGACCAGGACCGGTTCCAGGTGGAGACCGCCGGCGACCAGTGAGTCCACCGGGCGGCCGGCCCCGCAGACACGGACGGATGGGCCCCGATCCCGCAGACACGGACGGGCCCTGACTCCGCAGACACGGAGGGCCCCGATCCCGCAGACACGGACGGACGGGCCCTGGCCCCGCAGACACGGATGGACGGGCCCCGGCCCCGCAGACACGGACGGGCGGGCCCTAGCCCCGCAGACACGGACGGGCCCCGGCCCCGCAGACACGGACGGACGGGCCCCGGCCCCGCAGACACGGACGGACGGGCCCCGATCCTGCAGACACGGACGGGCCCCGGCCCCGCAGACACGGACGGGCCCCGGCCCCGCAGACACGGACGGGCGGGCCCTGGCCCCGCAGACACGGACGGGCCCCGGCCCCGCAGACACGGACGGACGGGCCCCGATCCTGCAGACACGGACGGGCCCCGGCCCCGCAGACACGGACGGGCCCCGGCCCCGCAGACACGGACGGGCGGGCCCTGGCCCCGCAGACACGGACGGGCCCCGGCCCCGCAGACACGGACGGGCCCCGGCCCCGCAGACACGGACGGGCGGGCCCTGGCCCCGCAGACACGGACGGGCCCCGGCCCCGCAGACACGGACGGACGGGCCCCGGCCCCGCAGACACGGACGGGCGGGCCCTGGCCCCGCAGACACGGACGGGCCCCGGCCCCGCAGACACGGACGGACGGGCCCCGGCCCCGCAGACACGGACGGACGGGCCCTGGCCCCGCAGACACGGACGGGCGGCCCCTGACGCCGTCTGGTCGGCTTCCCGCAGCTCCAAGCTGATCTTCAAGAACCCGGAGAAGGGGGACCTGGGCACCTACTCGGTGTCCGTGAGCGACACGGACGGGGTGTCCTCCAGCTTCGTGCTGGACGAGGCAGGTAGGCGTGCGGGCGGGAGCGGGGCTCTGAGGCCAAGGCTGGTTTCCCGGGGACAGGGGTGTTTGTGGGGGGGGACCGTGCGGAGAAATGACGCCAGCTCCCAGGTGTCCTCGTCCTGACTTGGCGGCCTGGGCAGCGGGGGGCGCACTAGCCGCACATCCTCACACGGATGCCAGGCCCACGGGGAGCCAGGGGGACTCACAGTGCCCCACCTCACGCCCCACCCACGTGCCCCGCCCCGTCCGGCCCCACCCAATGCCCCGCCCAGTCCGGTCCCACCCACGTGCCCCGCCCAGTCCGGCCCCACCCAATGCCCCGCCCCGTCCGGCCCCACCCAATGCCCCGCCCAGTCCGGTCCCACCCACGTGCCCCGCCCAGTCCGGCCCCACCCACGTGCCCCGCCCAGTCCGGCCCCACCCACGTGCCCCATCCAGTCCGGCCCCACCCAATGCCCCGCCCAGTCCGGCCCCACCCACGTGCCCCGCCCAGTCCGGCCCCACCCAATGCCCCGCCCCGTCCGGCCCCACCCAATGCCCCGCCCAGTCCGGCCCCACCCACGTGCCCTGCACCACGTGCCCCGCCCACAAGCAGGGCCCTGGCAGGTGTGCGCGGTCCCTGGTCAGTGGGCACTGGCTCCTGGGGCCGCCCGCCTCCTCTCCCTTCTGGGTCAGTGTGGGGCGCCCCCTGCTGGGCAGCCTCCTAACCGGGGGCACGTCTGGGCCGGAGTCCATGTCCACGCGCTCTCTTCCTGCAGAGCTCGACCGTCTGATGGCGCTGAGCAACGAGATAAAGAACCCCAGTACGTGAGCTGGCGGACACGGCTGCGCGGGCGGGTGGGGCGGGGCGGGGCGGGGCGGGGTGCCCGGCTTGGTTTGGGGAGAGCCCTTTCCGCTCAGCCCCCAGCTGGCCACCTGCTCACTTACACCAACGCCAGCTTCGACTGTAGCTCGTAGGAACCTTCACGACATTGCGAGTTTTGAGTTTGGGGTTCGGGTGGCTGCTGGGCTGAGGGGATCCTCGGTTACTGAATCCACGGGACGCAGAGGGACCCCGGGAAGGCTGCCCGCCTGGAGCAGGGTCCCTCGTGGTGGGCTTGGCGCGGGACCGTCTGTTTCTGAGTGCCCCCCCCCCCCCCCCCCCCCCCGGCTCTCTGCTGGGGCCTCCCGGCCGCAGGGCCTCCCGCTGAGCCTCCCCCCCCCCCCCCACAGCCGTGCCGCTCAAGTCCGAGCTGGCCTACGAGGTGTTCGAGCACGGCCAGGTGCGCTTCTGGCTGCAGGCCGAGCAGCTGTCCCCCGACGCCAGCTTCCGCTTCGTCATCAACGACCGGGAGGTGTCCGACAGCCCGGTGAGTGTGCGTGTGAGTGCATGTGTGTGTGCGTGTGAGTGTGCACAGGTCCGTGTGTGTGTGCCTGTGAGTGTGCACAGGTCCCTGTGTGTGTGTGCCTGTGAGTGTGCACAGGTCCCTGTGTGTGCATGTGTGTGCACACGTGTGTGTGTGCCTGTGAGTGTGCACAGGTCCCTGTGTGTGTGTGTGCCTGTGAGTGTGCACAGGTCCGTGTGTGTGTGTGCCTGTGTGTGCACAGGTCCGTGTGTGTGTGCCTGTGAGTGTGCACAGGTCCGTGTGTGTGTGTGCCTGTGAGTGTGCACAGGTCCGTGTGTGTGTGTGCCTGTGAGTGTGCACAGGTCCGTGTGTGTGTGTGTGCCTGTGAGTGTGCACAGGTCCGTGTGTGTGTGTGCCTGTGAGTGTGCACAGGTCCCTGTGTGTGTGTGTGCCTCTGAGTGTGCACAGGTCCCTGTGTGTGTGTGCCTGTGAGTGTGCACAGGTCCGTGTGTGTGTGTGCCTGTGAGTGTGCACAGGTCCGTGTGTGTGTGTGCCTGTGAGTGTGCACAGGTCCCTGTGTGTGTGTGCCTGTGAGTGTGCACAGGTGTGTGTGTGTGTGTGTGTGTGTGTGTGCGCATGCATGCGCGCACACAGGTGCCTGTGTGTGTGAATGTGTGAGTGTATATGTGAGTGCATATGAGTGTGAGCACGGTGCCTGTTTGTGTGTGTGTGTGTGAATGAGTGTGTCTATGTGTGAGTGTATATGTGAGTGAATGTGAGTGCGCACACACAGGTGTATGTGTGTGTAGGAGTGAGCATGTGTGAGTGGTGTCAGGTTTGGCGAGTGTCTGGAACGTGTGTCCGCAGGCCGCCCCCCACCCCCATACACACAGGCCTAGGTCCCCCGGGGGCACACTGTGTCCGGTTTGGTGCCAGTGGCTCAGTGGATCCATCCCACCGTGTTTCCGCGTGTCCGGCCCCCCCGGGCGGAGGGGCGGAGTCTCACTGCGGGTCCTGTCTCCCTCGTGGCCTCCAGACACACAAGATCAAGTGCGACAAGGCGACGGGCGTCATCGAGATGGTGATGGACCAGTTCACGGCCGAGAACGAGGGCACCTACACGGTGCAGATCCACGACGGGAAGGCCAAGAACCAGTCCTCCCTGGTCCTCATCGGGGACGGTAGGCACCGGTGCCCGCGGGGGTCCCAGGCCCGTCCCGCTGGCGGGAAACGTGTCTCACGTCCCCCCTCTCCTGTCGAATGCAGCGTTCAAGGCCGTCCTGGACGAGGCAGAGTTCCAGAGGAAAGAGTTTATCCGGAAACAAGGTGGGTGTCAGCCTGCCCGCCCGCGGGTGGCACGGAGCCCAGGGTGAGGGCTGGAGGGTTCAGTTAGGCCCGTGGTCGGCAAACCGCGGCTCGAGAGCCATAGGCAGCTCTTTGGCCCCTTGAGTGTGGCTCTTCCACAAAACACCACGGCCTGGGCGAGTCTACTTTGAAGAAGTGGCGTTAGAAGAAGTTTAGGTTTAAAAACTGTGGCTCTCCAAAGACATGTCAATTGTTTTCCTGTTGGTATTTGGCTCCAACACTCTGCTCTGGACACGTGGGGCCTTTTCTGTCCTTCGCCCTTTTCCTGGGAACCTGCTGTTTTACTTAAAACCGGGGGAGCGTTTTGACTTTCACATGTTTTAGCTGCAAACAGTCCGTGTTGTGTTAAATGCATTTTTAAAAACATGCGTGCCCACCAGATACAAAGTAAAATGGATGCATTTTAGAGCCTGAACACACACATGTACACACATGCACACGCGTTACTATATACAAAAGGGCTTACTTTTCCAATGGGGTTTTTATGTGCGGTTTCTCTGCCTGTTGAAAAACATTAAAACATGGATAATGAAATATACCATCAAGACTTTTTTTTAAGTTCGTTGTTTTTGGTTATTTTTATTTTAAAAAATATTTTTATTGATTTTTCACAGAGAGGAAGGGAGAAGAATAGAGAGTTAGAAACATTGATGAGAGAGAATCATCGATCAGCTGCCTCTTGCACACCCCCTACTGGGGATGTGCCCGCAACCAAGGCACATGCCCTTGACCGGAATCAAACCTGGGATCTTTCAGTCCGCAGGCCAATGCTCTATCCACTGAGCCAAACCGGTTTCGGCCATTTTTATTTTTAATAGTCAAACATACTTTATTGTACCCCTTTCTGCAGTATGAACTTTTTAACTTTCTGGGATATGTTTATTGGAGGAATTCAGTAAATACTTTGTGTATCTGCCTCGCATGTGTGTGTTGAATGGGCTAATGGCATTGCTGTTAGGGTGTAAATTATTTCTAAGTTTCCTTTAAACAAACACACCATTTAAAAAGACAGATAATCACGTTTGAATTGAGAACATGATGTGTTGACGCTGTGGCTGGGCCAGGCTGCGTTCTCGTCGCCTCACCTCCGCTCACCTCCGTGGTGAGGGTTTTGCCGTGGCCGTGGTCGCAGTGGGCAGGGGCCTGGGGAGGACGTAGGATTCTGCCTGCTTTCCGAGGAGCAGAGGAGGCGGGAGGGCGGCAGGAGAGGGATCGCGCTGTGCCCACGTCCATGTCAAAGCCTGGAAACGGGCTTTTCCGGTTCATGTGGAACAGCTGCCTCCTTCGGCCTTAAATGCACACAAGATGCACAAACATGTGCACCCAGACACATGCACACACATGTACACAAACACCACACACAGAGACGCACACACACGAATCACATACAACCCCCATACCTACACACGAAACACACGTTTATACATGTGCACCCACACACCCACACACCCACACACAAACACACACATGCATCACACACACACAACCACACACACAAAACACACGTTTATACACACACATACGTATGCATACTCACGCACACACATATGTACACACATGCACACGTGTCGCTATATAATGTGATTCCTCTCGCTCTGCCCCCAGGCCCGCACTTTGCCGAGTACCTGCACTGGGACGTCACCGAGGAGTGTGAGGTCCGCCTGGTCTGCAGGGTGAGCGGCCGGAGGAGCGGCTCTCGGGGCCGGCGCCGGCGGGGCTGGGGTGAGCGCTGGGGGCGGGCAGGCAGAGCAGGTGGCAGCCCTGGGCCCTCGAACGCTCGGTTCCAAGGCCGTCTGTGTGGCCGTCTGTGTGGCCTGGGACGCAGACCCTGCACGGGGCCGACTGGGGGACGTGCCTCCCCCCGTGGCGACGTGTCGGGATGTCACTGCCCAGGAGCACTGCAGCCAGGGTCCTAGCCTTGGAGAATGTTCCACACTGTGAACCACTTACCACGCACTGCCACGGCTCGTCCCATCCCAGCATCGCTGTCACCGCAGGCCGTCTCCCCAGGGCTCCCTCCGCTCCAGAGGCCCGTTTGCCACCATTCGGACCCACGGCCTTCCTCCCTGCAGGGCTTTCCCCTGATTTTAGAGAGAGAGTGGGGAGTGGGGAGGGAGGGAACAGGGAGGGAGAGAAACGTCTGTGTGAGAGGGCACCGGACCAGGGACCTGCCCTGACCGGGAAGTGAACCCTGACCTTCGGGGGCCGGGCTGGTGCTCTGACCGGGGCACACAGCCACAGGCCTGAGCACCCGCCACCTCCATCGAGTGTCTGATCACACGGGGTCCCCTGAGGCCAGGCCGGGATGGAGAGCCTCTCGCCCGCGAGCCTCGGGCTCCACCTGACCCGGCTCTGCCTCCAGGTCGCCAACACCAAGAAGGAGACGGTGTTCCGGTGGCTGAAGGACGATGCCCTGTACGAGACGGAGAGCCCGCCGGACCTGGAGCGGGGCGTCTGCGAGCTACTGCTCCCCAAGGTGCGTGGCCCCGCCCCGCTCACGTGGCCCCCCACGTGGCCCCTCCCCACGTGGCCCCCCTCACGTGGCTCCCCCTCACGTGGCTCCCCCTCACGTGGGTCAGAACGGGCTCTCGGGCCGGTGGGCCCTGCCTTGTCCCTGGGTTGCAGCCTGGTTCCCGTGGTTTGGTTTGCAAAGGAAACCTGTCAGCAGGGGTTCCATTTCATTTCATTTTAAAAACATGTTTTTATTGATGTCAGAGGGGAGTGGAGAGGGAGAGAGAGAGAAACATTAATGATGAGAGAGCACCTTCCATCGGCTGCCTCTTCCTCTCCCTGCCCCGCCGTGTCCCACACTGGGGATGGAGCCCACAACCCGGGCCTGTGCCCAGCAGGCATCCCCTGTGACCTCCCGGCTCAGCGGTGGACGCTCAGCCCTGAGCCGCCGGCCGGGCAGCAGGTGGCCTGCACCTCACCACGCTGTGCTTCCTCGCAGCTGTCCAAGAAGGACCATGGGGAGTACAAGGCGACCCTGAAGGACGACAGAGGCCAGGACGTGTCCACCCTGGAGATCGCCGGCAAAGGTACGGGCGCCCGCCGTCCACCGAGGAGAGACCATCACCTCCGGGCGGCCCCTCCTGCGGCCGGAGCAGCATGGCCGTCAGCGGCCGCTGGGAGAGGAACAGGCCTGTCCTGCCGCTGCGTGGGGGGCGGGGCCACGTGTGGAGTAACGCTTGGCCGTCCTGTGGGCGGCTGCCGTGTCACCGCGGTCCCGCCCCGGACAGCGAGGCTCACCCCGCCTGGCGTGGCCGTGACGGTCTGCGGGAGGCGGTCCCATTCCGGCCGGACGCAGGGAGCGAGCGAGCCTGTCCTTGTGTACAAAGTGGACAGGGCGGGGGGGCTACCCCACACCCGCCGTGGTGACACATCTTTCCACACGCACGTGGCCATGTCTCCTGGCCATGTAATGACACGTGAGAGGGCCACACCGATCCGATGCCGTGCAGTAACCGTGCGTCTGCTCTCCCGCAGTGTACGAGGACATGATCCTGGCGATGAGCAGAGTCTGCGGTGAGTCAGTGCCGCCTGGCGTTGGGGTCGTTTGGGTGGGAGTGTCACTGAGGGGGGACAGGATGGGGTCAGGATGGGGGGAGACCCAGGTGCCCGCCCTGCTGGGGCCCCGGCACAGTGGCAGCGCAGCCAGCGGGCGGCGTCCGAGGGCTCCTCGGCCTTAACTCCCTGGAGCGGAGTGTCGCCACGCTCTGTGCTCTCCGTGGGAGCTGACGGAGAAGGGGACGAGGGGCCGCGAAGCAGGAGGCGCCCCCTGAACTAGAGCTGGTGAGTGGGATGGGGGAGCCCACTGGTGTCAATTATTATTTTCTCCCCTTTTCGTTAAGTGGACTGGGGAGATATCGGTCAGTCCGCCCATGCAGGTGTGGGTTCTGTTATGGGATCTATTACCCCCTGTGCTCCACCCCTGTGGTCGGCAAACTGCGGCTCGCGAGCCACATGCGGCTCTTTGGCCCCTGGAGTGAGGCTCTTCCACAAAAGACCACGGCCTGGGCGAGTCTATGCTGAAGAAGTGGCGTTGGAGACGTTTACGTTTAAAACATGTGGCTCTCCAAAGAAGTGTCAATCGTTGTGCTGTTGGTGTTTGTCTCTGCGGACTGAGGAGTTTGCCGACCGCTGGCCCACCCCAGAGGCCCATGGACTGTGCAGAGTCTTAGGAGCGACCACGGGAGTGTCCAGTCACAGGCCGTGTCCCTGGGACAGGCAGTGGCTCTCCGTCATCCCGGGAGCTCCCAGCGTCGAGGGCACCTGCTGCCTGGCCCCTCGGACGCTCGGTCCCGGTAACTCACGTGGACTCTCTCCTCTCCGCCCACCGGCATCCTGACGGCATCACTCTCCGCCCTCGGCCTCGGCAGCCGCCCCGGTGCACAGGGTTCCCCAGAGCGCGCTGAGGGGCCAGGCGCACGGGCACGCCGTGGTTCTGAGTGCAGGTGGGACTCGGGATATCTAACCGAGAGCACAGAAACTGCTGACGCAGCGGGTGCCGTGGCCCCAGGATGGGTGTGGACTTCCTCCCGTGGTGGCGTGGACGATGGTCTCCTGGCGGCATGCTGGTTGGGAAGAGCAGACGTGCCCCGTGCCCCCGGACGAAGGCGCACAGGGTGCCGTGGACGTGGAACCGGTCTGGTGGGCAGCGTTCCGGGCTTGGGCTCCTGTGGTTCGTCCGCTGGCGGATGTCCGGCTGGCTGGGCTCTGGATCAGTGAGCACAGCACTTCCCTGGTCACAGCTCAATCCACATCCTTCCCCCGGTCAAACGCTGAGCTAAAGGCAGGCAGGACTCTCTCGGTACTGTGTTCAGTGACTCGGGCGTGGCAGGTGCTGGTTTGACGAATGGCTGTGGCAGGGGACAGTGTGAGGGTCTGAGGCTGACAGGCAGATGCACAGGCGTGGGAGCTCATCTGCGCTGCTGGGCGAGGACCTACCTGCAGCACTGTCCCCCCTGACTCAGTTCCCACGTGGTTCCCGCTCACGTGGCTCGTACTCATGTGGCTCCCGCTCTCGTGGCCTCCTATCACGTGGCTCCATCTCACGTGGCAGGGTGTGTTTGAGGTCTGAGTGTGACCCGCTCTCTGCAGGCTTGTCTGCGTCTCCTCTGAAGATACTCTGCACCCCAGACGGGATCAGGCTGCAGTGTTTCATGAAATACTTCACTGAGGAGATGCGTGTGAACTGGTACCACAAGTGAGTCCCAGAGCTGAGGACTGGCCGTCTGAGGCGAGGACCAGGGCAGTGCCCTCGCCCTCAGCCCCTGGAGTGCTGAACAGTGTCAGGCCTGGAGGGGTGGAGGGGGTGGGGGAAGGGAAGAGGCAGGAGGCAGGTGCAGAAATGCCTGTCGGGGTCAGAAGCCGGTTCCTCACCCTCTCGATGTGGACAAGGGTGGTTCCCGGGTGGCGCATGGCGTGGGCACTCAGCGGAGGGCTGGTCCGGGACCACATGCCCAGTGTCCACCGGCTGCCTTGCGGGAGGCAGCCTGTGGAGAGAGGACCACGTCAGCCTGGGCTTACGCCAGAGAAGGACAGCTGGAGCCTGTGGGCGGGGCAGGCATTCCTGCCCGGGCCCCCAGCCTCCCCCAGTGGGGTGTCTCCCGGGAAACCCCCCTGACCTTCCTGACGGTGACAGCACCCGCCCAGGCTGCCGCCCCACCTGTGGGGGCCGCTCTTTCCCGCCAGCCCAGCTCAGAGCTCCAGGAGAGGGCGGCGGGCACGGGCCCGGGCACCCGCTGGGGGGAGGTGGCACGTGCCTTCCCCCTGGTCTGACCAAGGACATGGTGACATCGTCAGCTCCGCTGTCAGCGGGGTCCACGCACCAACTGTTCCGCTCCTCCCAGATCCAGCCCGGTGCCTCCTCGTGCCTTTATTTAATTTTAACATACTTTTATTGATGTCAGAGAGAGAGGGAGAGGGGACAGAGACATCACTGATGAGAGAGAATCTTGGATCGGCTGCCTCCTGCATGACTGAGATTGAGCCCACAACCCGGGCCTGTGCCCTGACTGGGAATTGAACCGTGACCGCCTGGCTCCTAGGTCGACGCTCAGCCATGGAGCCTGCTGGCTGGGCCGCATAGAGTATTTCAGAGTCCATTATGCCCTGGCCCGTAGCAACCCGTCTTGACACGCTAAGCGTTGGGTTTAACCTCAGAAGGCGTTTGGGTCTGAGCGACGGACGTGGAGGATACGCTAATAACACCCTGAAGAGCCCGTCCCGACACAGGCGCTGGCCAGCCTTGCACGCTCCCGCCCCGCCGGCCGCCCCGGGGACCTGCAGGGGTTGGGGTCCGGACTCACACGGTCCCGCTGCCTTTGCTGTCAGAGACGCCAAGATCGCATCCAGTGAGCACATGCGGGCGGGCGGCAGCGAGGAGATGGCCTGGCTGCAGATCTGCGAGCCCACGGAGAAGGACAAGGGCAAGTTCACCTTCGAGATCTCGGACGGCACCGACAACCACCAGCGCTCGCTCGACCTGTCCGGCCAAGGTCAGCGTCCCCCGAGGCTCGGGCTCGGTGTGTGGAGCCACGTGGAGACATGTGGAAACATGTGGAGGCGTGTGTAGACGTGTGGAGGCACGTGGAGATGCGTGGAGACATGTGGAGGAGCGTGGAGGCGCGTGGAGGCGTGTGGAGACATGTGGAAACATGTGGAGGCATGTGTAGACTTGTGGAGGCATGTGGAGATGCGTGGAGACATGTGGAGGAGCGTGGAGGCACGTGGAGGCGTGTGGAGACATGTGGAAACATGTGGAGGCATGTGTAGACGTGTGGATACACGTGGAAACATGTGGAGGCGTGTGTAGACGTGTGGAGGCATGTGGAGATGCGTGGAGACATGTGGAGGAGCGTGGAGGCATGTGGAGGCGTGTGAAAATGTGTGGAGCCGTGTGGTAGCGTGTGGAGGCGTGTGGCCCGCGGGTGGGCAGCCCTCGGCGTGGGGATCCCGTGGGGGGCGGGGGAGGTTTCTGAGTCACCGGCCCGGGCGCGTGCTGCCGGCCGCGTTGCCGGGCCGCGGGCAGGAGCCGTGGGTGACGCTGCCATGTTTCCTCGCAGCCTTCGACGACGCGCTGGCCGAGTTCCAGCAGCTCAAGTAAGACTCGCTTGCGGGCGAAGGCGCCGTCCGGGGTCAGGCTCGGGGTTATTTCGACCGCGGGGCCGAGGCCGTCCCTCTGGCTCCGGGTGCGAGGGCAGCGTGAGCCGAGTCTGTGCAGACGCAGGCGCTCTCCGCACGGGAGCGGGTGGGCAGCCGCTGCTGAGGCATGGGCACCCCGTGTGGTTTCAGCGAGGAAAGCGATGGATTTGTTTTCTTTTTTAATATATATTTTCACGGATTTCAGAAAGGAAGGTAAATGGAGAGAGAGACTTCAGTGATGAGAGAACCATGGATGGGCTGCCTCCCGCACGCCCCACACTAGGGATGGAGCCTGCAGCCCGGGCCTGTGCCCTGAGTTATCGAACCCGGGACCTCCTGGTTCCGGGCCAGCGCCCCACCACGGAGCCACGCGGGCGGGCGGTAACGTCAGCGCGGACTTCAGAGCCTCCCGCACTCCGGCACGGCAGCACGGCCCGCGCAGGGCCTGCCTGTGATGGGTGAGGGGCACGAGATGGTTAGGACCAGCGTGCCCCAAGCGCTGAACGCTCCGGGGCATCCGAGGGACCAGCCGGAGAGGGTTCCTTCCTGTGCCTGAGTCTGAACGAACCTGGGCATCCGGCAGCCGAGAGACAGCCGGGCGCCCCGCTCAGGGGGGCGGGGCACCGGGAAAGGCGTGTCCTCCAGGGAAAGCAGGCTCCCCTCCCCCCAGCCGCCCCTCCCCTGCAGCCGGCGCCCCCTCCCCCGGCCCCCCAGCCGCCCCTCCCCTGCGGGATGTGTGGGCGTTTCCTCACCACCCTCTTCTGCTCTCTCTCCTCCCCATCGACCTCCAGGGCGGCTGCGTTTGCAGAGAAGAGTAAGTACTGGGGGCGCCAGGAACATTGGGCACCCTCCATGCCGCCCCCCTGCCCCCTCACCCCTGCCCCCTCACCCTCGCCCCCCTCACCCCTGTCCCCCTCACCCTCGCCCCCCTCACCCCTGCCCCCTCACCCCTGCCCCCTCACATCTGCCCTCTCACACCTTTCCCCCTCACCCCTGCCCCCTCACCCCTGCCCCCTCACCCCTGCCCTCTTCACCCCTGACCCCCTGAGGCCTCCAGCACCCCTGGCCACCTGTCCTGCCACCACCACCTGTTCTAGTTGTTCCATGAGGTGGTTGGCAGGGGGGCTGCAGGAGGAGACAGGCTAGGACACAGGTGCTAGGACAGGCCGGTGTGAGGAGCACAGGGTGGGGTCCGGAGAGGAAGGCAGGATGGGGGAGCGGACAGGCCTCGCCCTTGCTGGGTTTCCCTGGGCAGCGGGCGGCGGGGACACTGGGGCGGCTGGATCGCACCATTTGGGGCTGTGGGCTGTGGGCGTGGTCCCTGGTGGCCTAGACCCCAGACCTGGGCTCAGGCTCTGTGGCTGGTGGTGAATCGCAGGCCCCCCCAGGCCCCCGGGCCCCCCGCGTCCAGACCCCTTCCCTGAGAGACTGAGTGACAGCCGGCCGCTCCCCTAGCTCAGCCCCAGGGGCCCCTCCTGTGCCCTAGTTCCCACCCAGGCCCTCCCGGCCTCCAGCCTGCCCTCGGTGCCGCCCCCCGCGCGTGGCTGAGCACCTGTGTGCACCTGCGTACAGCCGGGCGCAGCGGGGCGGAGGAGGGAGACACCCGCTGAGGGTTCTCAGCCCAGTCCCTCCATTGCAGACCGCGGCAAGGTGATCGGCGGCCTCCCCGACGTGGTGACCATAATGGAAGGCAAGGTGAGGCGGGCAGGGCCCGGGCTCGCCGCTCAGCCGTGGCGTCCGCCCGCAGAGAGCCACGCGGGGCTGGGCGCGGGCCTGTCACTCCGCCTCCGGCACCGGCTCCCCACCCCCCCTGGGCCCACTGCCCCCGGTGACCCTGTGCTAATACCTGGGTCCTCCAAGGCTGGGCCCTGGTCCTGGGTTTGGGGGGAGGAGGGTGACGGGTTGGGGAGGCCACCCCCACGCCACGGGACGTGCCTGCCCGGAAGGCGGGCCGCCCTCAGGCTCCGGCCTTTTGGAACGTGAGCGGCGCCGTTGCCTCGCGGGGGCGGGTCCCTGTCGGCGGGACTGCTGCGTGACGCCGCCCCTGTTTGCGTCCTGCTGCCCGGGCCCCCCGGGGCCTGGCGCGTGCTCACGTGTGTGAAGAGCACGCCGACTCAGTGGCTGATGTACAGGACCACGAGGAGGGTCAGGCCATTCCCAGGGGGTCTGACCTTCGTCTCCCTACCTCTGCCCGCCCCCCTCCCTCCCGCAGACCCTGAACCTGACCTGCACGGTGTTCGGGAACCCCGACCCCGAGGTGGTGTGGTTCAAGAACGACAAGGACATCGAGCTCAGCGACCACTTCTCGGTGAAGGTGGAGCAGGCCAAGCACGTGAGCATGAGCATCAAGGGCGTGACGGCCGAGGACTCGGGCAAGTACAGCATCAGCGTCAAGAACAAGTACGGGGGCGAGAAGATCGACGTGACGGTCAGCGTGTACCAGCACGGCGAGACCATCCCCGACGTGCCGCCGCCCCAGCAGGCCACGCCCAAGCTCATCCCCGCCTCCGCCTCCGGCCCGGCCCCCTGAGGCGGCGCCGCGGGCGGTGCCGTGTGCCGTGTGCCGTGCCCAGTGCGTGTCGCCAGCTGAGTGACCCCACGCGTGGCCAGCGAGTGGGCCTGCACCACGCGTGTTTGGCTTTGGCGTTTGTTCTATCTAGTTTAGGGCCCTCGAGGCGGGAAGCCGGGGTTGTGTGGGGTGTCCTGTCCTCCACCCCGGGGTGGACCCCTGTGCCAATGTGACCCCTCACCCTGGCTCCTGGCTGGAGCCCTGTGTGCGTGCTCCTGCCACTGTGTGTTCTCTTGCTTCCGACAAATAAAGCTTTACGAGGCGACTCGTTGTGGTTCTGTGCACCTGGTCACCCTCACCGCCTCCCTTCCGCCTTCCATCACGATGGTCAGGCAGGATGCAGCCCACAGGGACCCTGCACTCTGAGCACCTGGGGGGAGGGCCCTCCCACGCTGAGCCGGTTATTGGAGGGATTTTAGGAAGATCGAAAGCACGAGCCAGGATAGGCTGTTTGTATGGATGAGCTTGGGTGGGCCTGCACGTGGGTGGGACAGGGCCTCAGGGAGTCACTAGGGCGGGGAAAACGGTGCGAGCCAGGCTGGTGGCGGCTCGAATTGGGTGCCCACCTGCGGGCTCTGTGTGTGTGTGTGTGTGTGTGTGTGTGTGTGTGAGGCTCATGGAGGAACACAGCGCTGCCGCCCTTCTGTCTGGGAGAGAACCGCCCCAGCCTCACCCCGATGCCAGGTAACTCAGCATCTCCCCACGTGTCCCCTGCGAGCTGCTGTCCCGATGCTGGAGCTCAGAGGGTGTGAGTCCACGCTCCGTCCCTTTAAGAGGAACACCTGGGACTCCAGCTGCCTCGCCTCCCTCAGCTTCACCCCTGCTGGGTTTCACAGCCGGAAGTCAAGGGACTTCTCTCCCTGACACCGGAACCGGGCTGGGAGGACTGGCGTGGGGCTGGGGCCCCTCGTCCTGCAGGGGCCCCTCTGCCGCCGAGATGCCCTCCCCATGTTCACACGCGGCCTGGGACCCGCCGCTCCCCCTCCCGCCTCCGGCCCGCGTCCCGGTGGCTGCTGTCTGTTCTCTTTGTAACCCTCACCTGAGGATGTTTCCCGCTGAGTCCTAGAGAGAGCGGGAGAGGAACTTCCACTCGGGAGACAGTGCCTCCCACGCGCCCCAGGCCCGAGGAGCCTGCCGCCAGGTACGTGCCTGGGTCTGGGAGCCCAATCCGTGGTCTTGCTGCCACGGGCTTGTTTTTCGTTTAGTCACCCAGGGAACAGAGGCTGTGCCCGGCGTGTTTGAGAGCCCTGCGGCTGGCGGCAGTCGCTGGTTTGGGATATTTTCTAGGTCCTCAAGGCCCATTCACGCTCGGCGGGCGGGATGGTGCTGTGTTACCCCGGTAACCAAGGGGACCACGAAACTGAGCCTGTTCCTGGAGGCCAGCCAGCTGGCAGGAGAGAGACAGGGGAGAGACAGAGAGGGGCAGGGGAGGGGCAGGGAGGGCTGGAGAAGGCAGGGGAGGGGCAGGGAAGGGCGGGGAGGGACAAGGAGAGACAGGGAGGGGCGGGGAGAGACAGGGAGGGGCAGGGAGGGGCAGGAAGGACAGGGAGGGGCGGGGAGGGGTAGGGAGGGACAGGGAGGGACAAGGAGAGACAGGGAGGGGTGGGAGGGATAGGAGAGGGGCTGGGGAAGGACGGGGAGGGGCGGGGAGGGACAGGGAGGGACAGGAGAGGGGCAGGGAGGGACGGGAGGAGCGGGGGAAGGACGGGGAGGGGCGGGGAGGGGTCGGCGATCCGGTTTGGAAAGACTTGCACGCTCTCTGGGGCCCGGGCCCAGGTGCGGGCTGGCCGGCTGCTCGCTCTGGGCGGGGCGGCTCCCTTGCCTGGGCAGCCAAGGCTGGCATTTGTGATCTGACTATTGCGCTAGAGCAGAGCGCCTGCTTCCGTGGACGTGGCCCCTTTGCGTGGCACGGGAAGAACGGAGCGGCTTTGCATTTCTTTGTCAGGATATTTGAGCAGGTTTCAGTTTCTGAGCAGCGTGAGGGCCACACTGAGAGGGAGGCAGATTTCACACACACCTCCTGCCCCCCCCCCCCCCCCCCCCGGCACAGCCTCCCGCCATCACCCCGCCCCCCAGGCGATGGCCTGTCTGAGCATGGTCACCCCCAGTCCACAGCTCACCCCGGGACGCGGGGCTGCACAGCCGGGGGCGCTGTGACCCCTGCCACCTCTAGGTGGCGCCGAGAGAACAGGGATGAGCAGGCGGGTCCGGCTCCCTCCTCCTTCCTGGTTACCAAAGGCTCCTGCTGACCTGGCTCCTGCTGACCCGGCTCCTGCTGACCCGCCGTGAGGACAGGCCCGTGTTGTCGGATGTGGTTTCTGCTCTGCAGGGGGCCGGCCGAGCCTGTGAGAGGCGTGGCCTTGCCAGCCGGTGACGCCTGGGAGCTGCCTTTTCCCTCGGAGCCGCTAGAACAGCCCAGCGGCGCGGGAGGAGCCCGCCGGCCTGTGCCGGGGCCTGGACCGCGGGCCGTGTCCCGCCCGGCTGGGGGCGAAGGTGCTGGGCCGCGCCGTTTGGAAGAAGCAGGTTCCCGGGCCTCGGTGCCCCTGGGGGTCTGCGTGCCCGTGTCGGCCTTGGGGACAATGCCGTGAGCTCTGTGGTGCCCTCGGCGACTGGCAGCCCCGGCTTCTCAGAATCGCTGCTGCTTTCAGGCAAATGCCCGGAGGCCGCAGCACTGCCCCCTGCCTGTGGGGGCGCGTGGCCCAGGGTCCACGTGTGTGTGTGTGTGTGTGTGTGTGTGTGTGTGTGTGGAGGGGGGGTGCAGCAGGGCGCCGCCCGCAGGCTGCCCGGCGAGGGGCTGCCCCGAGGGCCAGGTCGCCTGGCCGGTCCCTGAGGCGGGTGGAGGGCGGCGGGCTGTTCCTGGGGCCAGGCTGGCGAAGGAGGGTCCCCTGTCGATGCCCGGGTTCGAGTGCCGGGGAGCGGGCGCTCTGGTCGGAGAGAGGGAGGGTCAGCTCCCGGCAGACGCCGGAGGGACCCACAGGCGGCGGAGGGCGGTGACCGCTCACCCCCAGGGACAGAGCACGGGGACGGAGACAGATGCCCCTCACCGGTCAGGCAGCGCCGTGGCCTCGGTGGCCAGACCGTGGCCGTGGGCCTTCGTCACCGAGGCGCTGCGTGGACGGGAAGGTGGTGGGAGCCGGGCCGCCAGGCTGGCCTACGGGGCGCTCCAGGCCCGCCCGGAGGCAGTTAGGACAACGCACGCTCTGGCCGCCGGGAGTGAGGCACGCCGTGGCGGGCGGCGGCGTGGCAGCGGGGCGTAGTTCAGAGGTTGCAGAGCGGTCAGCCTGGGGCACTGGTGGTATCGCTGTGGGTGGAGGGCTGTTTGGCCAGGGCTTGCCATCCCAGCCTGCAGAGAACTCGGCACAACCTTCACTGCAACCAGGCCACCGCCGGTCCCACCACTAGAGGGCGCTGTGGCCCCACATTTCATGGCCATGGTCATGGCCAAGGGCTCAGTCTTAAGGCAGGGACTTCAGCTGGGATTTAGACTTTTCTTCCCTCCCTCCCTCCCTCCCTCCCTCCCTCCCTCCCTCCCTCCCTCCCTCCCTCCCTCCCTCCCTTCCTCCCTTCTTCCCTCCCTCCCTCCCTCCCTCCCTCCCTCCTTCTCTTCCTTCCTCCCTTCCTCCCTCCCTCCCTCCCTCCCTCCTTCTCTTCCTCCTTCTGTTCCTCCTTCCCTCCCCAGGGCCTGTGCCCTGATGGGGAATCGAACCCTGACCTCCTGGTTCAGAGGTCAGCCAAGGAGCCACGCGGCCGGCCCTGGTCGCTGCTGATATGAGGTGGTGAGGGGTGCCATCGGGTGTTTCCACGCCTTCCTCCGCGTTTCTAACCAACACGAAATCGAGAGGCAAAGCTTAACTGGTGTTGCTCAGTGGATAGAGCGTCAGCCTGTGGACTGAAGGATCCCAGGTCCGATTACGGTCAAGGGCATGTACCTTGGTTGCAGGAGGCAGTTGATCCATGTTTCTAACTCTCTATCCCTCTTCCTTCCTCTCTGATATATATATATATATATATATATATATATATATATATATATATATATATATATATATTTTTTTTTTTTTTTTTTTTTTTTTTTTTTTTTTTAAAGAAAGGCAAAACTTGCAGGTTCCTGCAGAGGCTGGCGGTGGGGAGTCAGATGAAGGGGCGGCACAGTCAGTTTGTGTGGGTAAGTCATGCTGCCTGAGAGCGGTCTGTGTGTTCCTGATACGCCACGACAGTGTGTGGCCGCGGACAGAGGACTCTGCTTCCGTGGGGGGCGGGGCCACGGCCTCTCTCTCGCCTCCGGCCGTGGGTGACCGGGATGGTGGCTGTGGTGTCTGGCGTGGTGTCGTTTCCCTCTGCCACGGTGAGCCTCACGCCTGTCTGACTGTGAACAGGCTGTAATGGAGTAATTACGTGGCCCGGGCTCTGGCTCGTCATTAGAGAGGATTTTTATTTATCTCTGTCCGCCGCTGTTTGCTGCGGGGAGTCAGCCAGTGTTTGCAGAATTACTCTGTCCATGTCCGCATTCTGTCAGCCCTGGGATAGGAGTTTCTCGGGGAATGGGGACCTGGTGGGAGGAAGGTCATTCCCCACGACCCTTCCAGGCTCCTGGCTGAGAGCCCGGAGTGACAGACAGACCAGCGAGGGGACAGACAGAGAAACAGACAGACAGACACACAGACACACAGACAGACAGACAGACAAAGGAGCCAGAGTCTCCGGAAGGTTAAACAAATGAGCAGCGCACCTGTTCCCTCTGGGACTACAGTTTTACTCACTCATTGACTTTCAATTCCTCAGCAAAGTGTGACTGTCTTATGTTTCAATTAAAAAAATATTTTTATTGATTTCAGAGAGAGAGAGGAACATCCATGATGAGAGAGAATCATGGATCGGCTGCCTGCTGCACGCTCCCTACTGGGGATCGAGACCGCCACCTGGGCCTGTGCCCTGACCGGGAATTGAACCGTGACCTCCTG